CAAAATATAACTGGCCCCTTGATTTTACATTTTTGGAATTGGTATATAAATGCTTCACATTTTCTTTGCAAGCAGATTATTTGGGGGTAGATGCCTTTTAAATGTGGTACTGCTATCGATTTCCTCCTAATTGTATAATAAAGCCATCCAACAATGCTTGGAAGCTAGGCATTCAATATGTATGCACTCACTGAGTGAAAGAGGGAATAAATGAGTGATTTATAAAAGAATTTTTTCTAAAGCCTTGAGGGTATATATATCATTATTTTAAGGACTTGTACTTGCTCTTCAATTTTATTTTGGAGGATTCAAATTTAAATTCATACTCTGGTTGGTTCCGGCATGTTTGTCAGCACTATGGCTCTTGGGGCCTAGGTTTTACTGTCCCTACTCTCGTAGTGGAATGAGTTGCACTGACAGTCACTTACCCTTTACCTTCATCACACACACACACACACACACACACACACACACACACACGTATTATCTTATTAATGTAGACATTCATAGGTCAGAGAGGTAGTATACATATCTTCATTTCCCGGGACTATTTCTGAGGTGCATTGTGATACATCTCAGCTAAGGATCACTGCTGTCACTCTTGGTCCCTTCTCTGCCTTCAGTCCTTCCTGTAGGACTACCTTTTGATGTAGTACTAGAAGCAGGTTTCCGCTGATTACCATTGGAGCCCTTGCCCTACCCCATCAGACCCTCCTAGGTGGGGGAAGTTGCCCATAGCCTCCACTGCGGCTGCAGTGAGGTTTAGACCCACTGCTCATGTGCCTACCTTTTTTTTTTTTTTTTTTTTTTTTTTAGCATTTATTCATTTTTGAAAGGCAGAGAGAGACAGAGCGTGAATGGGGGAGGGGCAGAGAGGGGAGACAGAATCTGAAGCAGGCTCCAGGCTCCGAGCTGTCAGCACGGAGCCCGACTCGGGGCTTGAACTCACAGACCGCGACATCATGACCTGAGCCGAAGTCGGACGCTTAACTGACTGAACCACCCACGCGCCTTTGTGCCTACCTTTTCATTGGGATTCCTAGAGGCGGTGGGTAGAGATAGTTCCATGGCATTCCCACTTGGAAAATGGAAAACGATTTCTCCACATTGCAAAGCATGGTTAGGTATTACTGCAGACCGGTACAGAGTAGTTCAGGTGTGTTATAGGCTTGCTATACATCTTTCAGACTGCTATAAGGACTTAACCATATTTTTTAGTATTATTTTTCATGGGAAAAACCTTATAGGTTCCAAGCAACTGATTTGTAAGCTGGCTTTGGTTTATAAGTTGAAGACAGGCTGAATGCTTCCAGGTATGTGGTGCTGCAGGTAAGATTTGCAGGCATCGTGTCCTTAAAATGCAAAGTCTTCAAAATGTCAGGATAGGATCTGTTTTGCTTGTATACCTAGAGCACTCTATCACTGTATCAAGGGATCCTGGGATGAGTTTCAAAAAATATGTGTATGTTATATATACATATATATATATGTGTGTTTTATATACATATACATATATAACATATGTAATATATATATGTATATGTATATATACACACACATGTATATATATAGCGTACAAAAAGACCACCTGGATTGGATCAAATCTGTAAAGATACTTCTTTTTTTGTGACCATCAAAATACTACCTGGAGTTTTATTCAAAAACAGTGAATTACAAATGTATTACTTCATAGAGCCCTTTATTGGATAAATATAATGAAATCATTAATTTGTAGATTTGATGGATTTTGAGATTGTGCAAAAACAAAACAGCCTACTAGACTATTACTTCAGGGGATTTAGCTATTAATAAAATGGAGAAACTCATTCCTGTAATTTTTTTTTTTTTTTTTTGACAAATGAATTGAAATGGTGGCATTATCTAACCATTTCAGAAACCTTTATGGAAAAACCACAATTTAGGATGCTGTGGAGACACACAAATAAAATAAAAGGCAAGGTTCTGCTCGTAAGGAAATCGTAATTGAATAAAGAAAATGGAAAATAGAACTGAGAATCAACCACGAATGGTGGAAAGACACAAGATTGTAGACATTGAATTACGGGTGTCAAGAAACACACTGCTGTCCTGATACAATCTCAAGTGAAACTACATATGTAAATATTATGTAAGAACAAGTCAGAAGGTACAAAGTGAATGGTCAGGTTATCTGCATGTAATAAACTTATCCTCTCAGTTTTAATCCTACCTCACCATCCTTTATGTTTCCTATTTTTTATTCAGTAGAAGCACAACTCCTGGCTACCTGTGGGACCATGGACAAATCCCTTGCCTAATCCTACTTATTTTTTTTAGTTTTTTTTAATGTTTATTTTTGAGAGTGACAGAGAGACAAAGCATGAGCAGGATAGGGGGGATGGTACAGAGAAAGGGAGACACAGAATCTGAAGCAGGCTCCAGGCTCTGAGCTGTCAGCACGGAGCCCGACTCAGGGCTTGAACTCAGGAACTGTGAGATCGTGACCTGAGCCAAAGTTGGACGCTCAACTGACCGAGCCACCCAAGCACCCTATCCCTTGCCTAATCCTACTTATTTCTGAAATGTAATTATTCCTATTGATAGTTACTTGATCAGAGAAACTAATGCATGTAACATTTTTATCACACTTTCTTATATATAGGGAAAATAATAGCCGATAGTTTCACTTTTGCTATGGCTGCTTGTTATTTTTTTTTGAGCAGGTTCTGAAATGTCAACAAGTCAAACTGTTTTCTCTTACAGAGTGCTTCAGATTCTATACTATGCTGTTAACCTAGGTGAATCCGGGCTTAGATGGGTAAATTGGCATCAAGATCAGAAACCTTTCTAAATAGTGTTCCTGGATGAACTACATAAAAGTATTGATACTTCCCCTCAAAATCCTATTATTCTTTAAATATGCATTTTTATCACTAGCTTGCAAAGAGCATATTGCAGATTTGGTTGCAGACCACTGCAATAAAGCAAATGCAGTAAAATCAGTCAAATGAGTTTAGTTTCCCACTGCATATAATAGTTAGTTTACACTATTCTGCAGTCTGTTAAAGAGGGTAATAGCATTCTATTTAAAAAGGGTACATACTTTAATCCAAAATTACCTCATTGCTAAGAAGTGCTAACCATCATCTGAGTTTTCAGTGAGTCATAATCACTGATTACGATAACAAAGACAATAATGAAACATTTTGAAATATTGTGAGAATCACCAAAATGTGACACAGAGACATGGACTGAGCAAATGCTGAAGAAAATGGCACCAGGACTTGCTTGGCACAAGGTGACCAAACCTTTCATTTGTAAAAACAATGAAGTATCTGTGAAGTGCAATAAAATGAGCTATGCCTGTAAATTATTTTATTTTTATTTAGTTTCATTAAGGATCTTATTTTTGGTTCAGGTTTGTACTTTTACACTCTTCGTAAATGCTCAGTCATTCTTCTACAATTGGCTTTCTATCATTTCTACTTGCATAAGCCTTGCTTTGTTCTCTTAAGTGACTTAAATGCTCTTAAAATCTGGTGGTAAATGAAGTTTGTTTATTCACGTAATCAGCATTAAGTGTCTACTATATACTAAGTACTGTGCTGGCATACTAATTTGAGTAAGAAATGGTTTCTGTTTTCAAGGGGCTTATTGTCTACTGCAGATGTGATAATATCACTGTTGCTGAAACTACTGGAGAGGAGTCATTTTTTAGCTTATTTTAAACTTTTCCACTTAAGTTTTGTCTTTAAAATGTTCTAGTGTACTTCTGAAAGTTTCTATTTAGGTATCTCCAATTTTCATACCTTCAGAAACTGAAGTAGGATAGCCATTAGAGTGTAGGCTTTGGACCCAGACTACATGGGCTAGAATCACAGCTCCACTAGTTCCTGCTGTGCGACCTTGAGTGAGTAACTACTTTATACCTGTTTCCTCTTCCATTGTAAAAGTTAAGTGAATCATGATATACACCAGATGCTTAGAACAGTGGCAGGCATACAGTAACCACTCAATAAATGTTAGATATTGTTATTAGTTTCTCTAAAACATCAGAAATAATCTAATTCTGAGTTTTAGGGGTAAATTATTTTATAATTGCTATTCATTAGTCTTGATAGTATCTCAAAAACATAGGCTTCTGATGTTAAGTATATGCATTTATCAATGTTAGAAAACTTTTTTTTTTTTTAAATAATCTCTACACCCAACATGGGGCTTGAACTCATGACCCTGAGATCAAGAGTTGCATGCTTTACCAACTGAGCCAGCCAGGTGTCCCCAAAACTTTCTCTTTTTTATAAAGAATTTTCAACTTCTAGTAACATGAACTCAAGAGCAATGTGTTGCCAGGAAGTAAGAAAATAAGTGCAATATGTGTAAGTAAAATTGGGGAAGAGAGATGTAAAAACCATATAAGGAAGTAGATGCCTTGGTGAGAGAGCCTATATCCTTCCTTTAAATTTTTTTTGAAGTTTATTTATTTTGAGAGTGAAAGAGAGAGAGAGAGAGAGAGAGAATGCCAAGCAGGCTCCACACTGGCAGGGTGGAGCCTAACATGGAGCTCGAACTCATGAACTGTAAGATCATGACCTGAGCCAAAGTGAAGATTCAGGATGCTTAACAGCCTGAACCACCCAGGTGCCCTATATCCTTTCTTTAACATACAATTTCCTAGTGTTTTATAAGTTGGAATATGGGCTTAATACTAATAAGTTTGCATATATTTAAACATATGCCAATTTTATTTTTAAATCTCTGAGCACAGGCATATGATTATGGTTTATATTTAAATTCATGAGAATTATGCAGGTAGAGTAACTGCTTCTCTCTTCTGTTTAAAAGTTATATTTCTCAGAATCATAATGATAATAAGAATCAATAAAACTGCTGAAGCAAAGGAAAATCTGACTTTGTTACGAACACCTTAATTTTTTTTTTTTTTGGGTTCAAAAGAGGTATAAACATTTTTAGTTATGGCAGTTACTTCTTTAAAAATTATCAAAAGGCAGGCAAGGGCATAGGTTTATTCCAGGTTTATTTAAAATTTTAATTTCCGGTGAAATAACGTGACACTGATACATAAGAATACAAAGACGGCAAGTAACCTAATTCATCTTCCTGGTTTGCTCAAGCCTCCAGGCACCAGTCAAATATCGAAGTCGTATAAAAAGTAGGTCCTTGCCCATTTGTAGCCAGCTCCAAAATGGAACTAATTTAGAACCTGTGATTTAAAAATAATTAAAAATGAATTAACTTAAATAAACTCTGGAGAAAATATATCAGTGTGAAATTATATTTTAGAAGTCAGTCTACATGACCTTTGTGAGCTTCTAGTCACCTTATTTTTTATATTAGGTATGTATGCATGTAATTATGTATATGTGTATATATTTAATTCCATCTATACATTTAAAAATGTTTTTTGGGGTGCATTTTTTTTTGGTTTTGTTTTACATGCTACTTTTCAGTCTCATGTACTATAGAGAAACAGGTACATCTCCACATATAATATAGATTAATAATCTGGGAGAAGAAATATAAGACAAAAACTCACTTTTTATTCTAATTCTACCAAAGACTCTTCAGTTAGCTAAGATAAATACTATCTTAGCTACGACATCTTCTTGTCCAGTGGTTGCCAAGAGGCAGTATGCCAACCCTAGTTGACTATAGGAAATCTGCCTCCTGGAGCATGTTTTAAAAGCTTGTATTCCTTGATTTTATCCCATAGAACTGTTTTTTCAGTAAGTCAAAAATAGATTGCAGGTCAGGTAACGAGTGCGAGGTGGTAAACTGTCACAGACTGATTGGTGACAATTTTCCACATTTAAGCCCAAATACTCTGGCTTCTTCCTGTTTTTCTTTCTTTTTTCCCCCAAATTTTGAGGTAGAGTTGGCAAAATTGAAATATATTTAAAGTGTTGAATGTAAGGATTTGATATATATACATATATAAACACACATACACTTACATACACATACTGTGAAATGATTACCACAATTAAGTTAATTAACACAGTTAATTAACATATCCACCTTAATTTTATTTGTATCATTTACAAAAGAAACATCTTCAAAGCTGAAGTGAGTGGTTTCTCTAATAACAACAAAAACAAAACATCTTGGAAGTGAAATGAAACTGGGAAGGATCTAAATTGTGGAAATTTTGGATGGCCCTATTATAGGGAGGAGGCACTGAGTATACATGGCCGACGATTCTGGGAATGACTGATACAAAACCGCGGCTCATTAACGGCCGGTTAAGGAAAAATAATACACAACTATCTCTGAAATGCAAATGAACAAATGATATAAATATGAAACCCATTTTTACTTTTCCCCACTTCAACTTCCTACAGAGTCTATGCTGGGCATAAATCAACACAGATCAACACAACAGATCTTACAAATCTGAGCAATCTTTTACCAGCTTCTCAATCCCCTTTGATCTAGGTAGCTACTGCAGAGAGTACTAAAATTTTTGTAAGCTAAGTTTGATTCAGCAAGACTCCAAGACGTTTGCATTTGTTCTGTACTGTATAGTTTGTATGATCCCCAGACTGCTTCTTAACCTTTTCCTGTCCCTAAACATCCACGGTTACGTAACAGTCATGGTATACTGCAACAGTGACTTTCTGAGAGGAGGCCATGCTCAGCAGAGGAGGAAGGACTCAGTTGAAAAATCTCCACTTGAAAGGTAAGTGCGCCCACACTGTGAATTAACTTAGGGGCATTGTAAGGTAAGCAAAGGAGAAAACTAGAATATTTTTTACGTTCTACAATATAAGCTTTCAAAGCTTTTTCAAACAGGAATTACTAAGATTTCTGATAGATTTCACATTATTTGAGATCTTAGAGATTTTCACATTTTTGGATATATGTACAGATACCAGTTAAAGACTGGCTCTGAATGGATGTGGACATTTGCGGTAAAAACAACTATAGTTCCTTATTAAGCTCTGCATGGTGGCTTGTAGGTAATCAATACCTACTGAGTAATGAAGTAAGACAATATTAAAAAAAAGATGACACAAACAAAATTTATCTTAAAAGACTTCCCAACTTTCTTCTAACCTCAGATTACCATGATCTTGTCTGCTGTAGAAGTTTTACTGAATTCTACAGTGGGGTAGGGTAGTAGGCCTATTGAAGCCCCCAGGAGGAGACTGCAAGGATAGAGAAGGTTGTGTGCCATCTGGAGGGTGAAGGGGATTAGTAGCCAGAACTCTACACAACCACGTCTGAGTCAAGCCAGCTGAGGAGGTCTTGAAGGGGGCAGCCAGTTAAGTTTACTGGACTACTGTATTGTCTCCTATCTCCCCACCCCACCTAGGATCAGCTGTAACATCAACAATGTACTCACCTTCAATTTCAGTCCAGTTGACAGCAATTTCTGCTATTGGAATTTTAAAGAACTGTGCTATGTAAAGCAGTTCTACATCAAATGCCCTGAAACAGAAAATATATTGATTTTTATTTTTAAAAAGAGAGAGAGAGTGTAATTAAATCTCTACTCTGGCATGTTTTAAAGAAGCTTAAAAGGCAGATATAGAGCTTATATAGTAAAACTGAAAGTTCACAGAAGGTCAAACAAAAGGTTAAGTAGTTCAGGAGCTTCAGGTCAATAATTTAGTGTGTCAATGCATAACATTTAAATGAGAAATATGGTGTCTCCATCACAAGTCAGAAACCCCCAGAGGTAAAAAAGGCCGCTTGGGCTCTGAGAAAATTTAATCATGGAAATTTTTCAAAATCGATTGCTTTCAATCCCAGGCTTCACTACCTCAAGGTACAGAACTCATAGCATTTTCAACTGATTCAGAGAGTTGATAAAACAGAACTCTGAGCAGCTCTTAGAGAAAATGTCCATCACTTGAGAGTTGTTTGATTTCATTCATCTACCACCTGAGGATCACGGTTTCTTTTCTTTTCTTTCTTTTTTTTTTTTTCAAGTTTGTTTATTTTTTTTTTTAATTTTTTTTTTCAACATTTATTTATTTTTGGGACAGATAGAGACAGAGCATGAACGGGGGAGGGGCGGAGAGAGAGGGAGACACAGAATCGGAAACAGGCTCCAGGCTCTGAGCCATCAGCCCAGAGCCTGACGCGGGGCTCGAACTCACGGACCGCGACATCGTGACCTGGCTGAAGTCGGACACTTAACCGACTGCGCCACCCAGGCGCCCCACAAGTTTGTTTATTTTTGAGAGAGAGAGAGAGAGAGACAGAGCATAAGTGGGGAGGGGCAGACAGAGAGGAAGACCGGATCCAAAGCAGGCTCCAGGCTCTGGGCTGTCAGCACAGAGCCCAGTGTGAGGCTCAAACCCACGAACCATGAGATCATGACCTGAGCCCAAGTTGGACACTTCACTGACTGAGCCACCCAGGCGCCCTAAGGTTTCTTTTTTAAATACATGGTTCACTAGGGCCTTGTTTTCTCCTTTGCCCTTCCTCATACGTCCTGGGCAATATAGTACTGCCAGCTGTTGAAAGTAAAAAGCCACTTTAGTCTGAAATGCTCTTTGGGTATAACTAAATACATACACGGGAATTCGATATATTGTCTCATTTTCACTTAACCCTGTTAAAATCATCTCCAGTCTGAATTCCCAGTTCATCCTTCCTTCTCCCTATGAAAGGCTCCAGAAGCTCCTCTTCAGTGGTTTAGGTCAAATCTGCTTTCCCTAGTTTCTGCATCTTGACTTCGAGATTTTCCTGGATTCTGCTTACAAAATTCTTGAAGCCAGTTTCCTCCTCTCACTGGCAGTGAGCTCAGGGAGAGCAGCACCATCACCTGCTAAACCTTCTTCACGCTCTGGTAACTGAAAGTGCTCGAGTCCTTCACAGCTTTGCTTTCCTCTTGAGCCATTAAGCCCCCACTTTCTGGACTGCATGGAACACACTTCGGACTTCCAGGGGGTTGGTTTTCAAATATTAGCACAAACACGAAAATACCTAAAACCCACTTCTGCTTGATTTCCCTGATTTCAGACAACTTGAATTTGGGAGTTCTGTCTTCTTGGCCACAAAACTGTGACTGTCCACTGTGTGACTTGTTTAAATCCCGTGTTTGCATAAGTGAATATGAAAACGTTTAAAAAAAAAAAATGTAATGCTTTTTCTTATCCTAATAAAATATTTACTTAAGATGATAAAACCATCTACAAAGGCGTTCTTTGTGTTGTTAAAAGGACTGTGTAAAACTTCTGTTAACTAGCATGGGACACTCACGAAAGGAGGAAATTTTATGAATATTAAACCTGGTTAACCCTTAACCCTCCCCTTTAACACAAAACCAAAAAATACCCAAAAGGTTGAGTTGGTTCTAATGATATGCAATAATTTGAACACGATTATTAAATACTGTTCTAAGGATATCAGCATATGATGACTTAAAGACGCAAAACAACATAAGAATGATGAGTGGAAAGGAGTGGGGAAAAAGAAGCACGGATTAACTGAAATTACTTTATATTTACAAAAAAACCCTGTAAGGACTATTCATCTTCTATTACTTTTACTAGTATCCTCTTTTAACATTTTAAAAGACATGAAGATGTTTGCTTAAAAAGAAATTTCCAGTTCACATCACCATAAGAGACCAATCTGTCACCAGGGCAAACATAACTGAAATACCAAGTACTTCTGGATAGAACCTCATGCTATGGCACATAAGCAGTGTAAGGGTCACTCTCCATCTCTGATGCCTTCACGTGTTTTCACAAATGCGGGGAGGGCAGAGCCACTGTTTTCTTTTGTTACTCAGTTCCTCGTATAGCTGTGACCTCACAGATCTATTCCTGAAGAACAAAGGGCGTGTTGATACTCTTTTAAACACACCAGGCACACATGTCCTCTACTGCTCCCTCCTGAAGTCCCACTAAAATTAAAACAACAATGATGGAATAAACACGTAAGAACAAAGAAAGGATGAAAGTAATAAAAAAAATCTGAAACTTGGAAAGTAGCTGGACAACTGGGAACTAGGAGAAGTAGACTGTGAGAAGGGAGAAGCCTAGAAGCAGGCTATGGGTCCCGCAGAGCTCTCCAAAGGCTCAGGCATCCCTGGCCTCACTGCAGATGAGGTCTGCAGGTGGTGCAGGTGGGGCTTCAAAAGGGAGGACTCACGGAAAAGCTCAAGGGGATTCTCCTTTCCTCAAGTTCGTTGTGTGAATGCTGGCAGCCAGGCTCATTTCCACCAGACAGGAAATCAGGAAATCCCACTTTAGTGAAAACAACCAGCCCAAAAGATAAGGACAGTTGAAAGTTTCCCACATAAAGCAGCCCACTATTTAATCCGTGGTGAGTTGATCAGAGTTCTCTGACCATGTACACAGCTTCCGATGAGCTTTGTAGTACCACAGTAAATACGTGTGAGGCCAGACTTTAATGATAAAAACAAAATTGGGACAACAGAAACAATGGAGAGAAAGAAGAAAATGTCACAGTTTTTTTTTTTTTTTAAATCAACTCCTTTTTTTTTTTTAATTTTTTTTTTTCAATTTCAACGTTTATTTATTTTTGGGACAGAGAGAGACAGAGCATGAACGGGGGAGGGGCAGAGAGAGAGGGAGACACAGAATCGGAAACAGGCTCCAGGCTCCGAGCCATCCGCCCAGAGCCCGACGCGGGGCTCGAACTCGCGGACCGCGAGATCGTGACCTGGCTGAAGTCGGACGCTTAACCGACTGCGCCACCCAGGCGCCCCTAAAATGTCACAGTTTTAAATGAGACATTAAGTAGTGGAAGGTACTGTACTCATGAAACGAATAGGGTAAAAAAAATGAATACTAGAAAACAAGAGTTGTAGGAAGTTAACATTTTTGATAGCAGAAACACAAATTTAAAAGGAGCACTAGATGATAAAACTGAGGAAAATCTCAAAAGACCTGAAACAGAAAAGAGAAGAGAAAATTACAGGATCAGCACAGAAGGCTCACATTTGTTTGTAGGAGAGAAGGAAAAACTAGAGAAATTATTTAATGACTAAAGGACATTTGTCAGCAGTAAAGGACCCAGGCTTCCAGATTTAGAGTGCCTACTGCATACACAACAAGATGCATGAAAAAGCCACATTAAGTCCCTGAATCATGGTATTTCAAAACACTGTGGAGTAAAAGCTTCCAAAAGGGGATGGAAACAACGTGCCATAGACAAAGAATCAAGATTCAGATTACTGACAGAATTGGACTTCTCTCCAGAAACACCGAGTGCCAAAGGCAACAGAGCAATGTTCTCAAAATCCCGAGGAAAAATGATTTCCAACCTAGATCTCTGTCTCCGGCTCGCTATGAGGCAAATGTGAAAGGAGAATAATGCAGTGCATTGCCAACGAAGTCTCAAGATTTTGTTGTCATTTCTTTAGGAAGATTCACAGAGGATGTGCTCTACTACAATAGGGATATAAACCCAGGAAAAAAACAGGAGCTGTGCAGCAAGCCCGAGAACAGCTAGAAAGGTGAGAGCCGATGAGACGTCTCCAAGAAAAAAGTGAAACTGATGCACAGTCTGGAACACACGGATGCACTGGAACACACGGAGAGGTACTTTCTACTCCTCACGGAGTGTGAACGTAAGTAAGTGACAGGTCCATCGTCAAGTAGTGCGACAGAAATCTCCAGAAATTTATTATCTTCAGGAAAACAAAAAGTACTACAAGAAAGGTAAAATAATCAGATTGTACACTATGGCTTGAATGTGAATTATCTTTACATACCTGTACCCATCAGTAGGGATCTGTATTTAGAAACTGTATTAGGAGGATACGTGTGAAAGGTATACAGGGGTTTAAGAAAACTATACTTCTCCATTGATTTATTTTGGAGTAATACCTAAAACTGAAAAAACGGAGACATGGCTATGCAAACCCATTATTTTGAATATGAAAGTAATTACCACAAAGGAACAGCACATAGCTGAAAGTGTCCATAGCCAGGGAGTAGGAATTGGGTTGAGGCACAGGGAGCAAAGGACGATGATTTTTTAGAAGCCTTATGGAAGTGACTTTAAATTATAACCATGTATATAACATTGATTTAAAAAAATATTCATGGGAAGAAAGTACATTTCAAGGACTCCATTTTTTAAATTACTCATAAACTGGGGCTGGGTGGCTTAGTTGGTTAAACATCCGACTTCAGCTCAGGTCATGATCTCACAGTTTGTGAGTTCGAGCCCTGCGTTGGACTCTGTGCTGACAGCTCAGAGCCTGGAGCCTGCTTTGGATTCTGTGTCTCCCTCTCTCTCTGCCCCTCCCCTGCTCATACTCTGTCTCTGTCTCAAAAACAAACATTAAAAAAATTTTTTTAAATTACTCATAAAAAGAGTCAAATTATACCTTAATATTAAATGGAAATAATTTAGGTGAGATAACAGTTCTGAGGATGGAGATTTTATATATCTATATACACACATATATATATATATATGTGTATATAGATATATAAAATTAAATATATTTATGTGATGTTAAATATTATGCTTAAAATTTTATGTTTAAAAATAATGTTAAAATTATATAAATATTAACATACATAAACATACATTTATTTTATTTATTTATTTTTTTTTAATTTTTTTTTTCAACGTTTTTTATTTTGGGACAGAGAGAGACAGCATGAACGAGGGAGGGGCAGAGAGAGAGGAAGACACAGAATCGGAAACAGGCTCCAGGCTCCGAGCCATCAGCCCAGACCCTGAAGCGGGGCTCGAACTCACGGACCGCGAGATCGTGACCTGGCTGAAGTCGGACGCTTAACCGACTGCGCCACCCAGGCGCCCCAACATACATTTATTTTAACATTATGTATATCTTTACTATTTAGCATAACCCATACTAGGTCTGTAATTCTGAATCAGAGATGCCTGCCTATTGGTTTTTAATTATAGCTTGATGTATTCTAATACCTAGAAACTCTACTTGACTTCAATTTCCTGAAAGTTATGAGGAAAACTGCAATGAAATTTTAGAATAAGTCCTTAAAATATCAGTCTGAGGGGACACTTACATTGGACATAAAGAGTAGATGCACAACTTGGTTTCTATAACTTGTGCTGCATAAGAAAGAAATACTTTATAGTCTTTCTTGATTTTAAGTGCAGGAACAGAGATGCTTGAATAAAAGCCACTGATGCAACATTAATATGGTGATGGGCATATTGTTAATCAAGTTGATACATGTATATTTAGTGGTTCTCCTTTACAGGCATAAAATAAACATATGTGGACCCTAAAGAGAGATGTGAGAGGCTAAAATTTTAAATGAGGTCAATCCTATGTTAATCAAGCCCAAATAAATCATTAAAAAGGCATGCACATGAACATAAAATTTAAAAGAGAAAAAAAGTTTAAAATGTTAACTTAAATAAAACTCTAGAATTATGCTGTCCAATATAGTAGCCACATGAGCACTTGAAATGTGGCTAGTCTGAAGTGAGATGTACTATAGTTGGAAGACATGGTACACAGAAAAATGTGTAAAATACCTGAATATTTTTTCATACTGAGTGCATGCCGAGACGATGACATTTTTATACGGTGTTAAAGTACACTATTAAAATACATTTTGGGGCTCCTGGGTGGCTCAGTTGGTTAAGCATCCAACTTAGGCTCAGGTCATAGGTCATGATGTCATGGTTCATGAGTTCCAGCCGCACGTTGGGCTCTCTGCTGTCAGCAAGGGTCCGGCTTTGGATCCTCTGTCCGCCCCCACTCTGCCCCTCCCCTGATTATGCCCTCTCTTAAAACTAAATAAACATTAACAAAATAAATTTCATCTGTTTCTTGTTACTTTTTTAGTGTGGCTACTAGAATATTTAAAATTACAAATATGTCTCACATTATATTATATATTGGACATTATATATTACAGAACAGACATTATATTGCCAGAACAATTATGACAAGAGAAACTTCATGATTTTTAAGTTATCAACCCTAACCCTAACGTCCTCAACCCTTAGTTCCCAACTTCCTTTCAAACTACAAAGAACCTAGCTTTTTGACCCTAGTTCTGAACCCAACAGTTGACTGAAAACTATATCCAGAGGGAGGGCTTTACTTCTAGAATGGCTTCTTAAATTAGATTCACTGATTTTGGAGTCCATTAACTATCAATATATTTTATTTTTCAACATAACAGAAACATGTATCTGAATCTGAAGATCAAATATACATTACTTAAACAATTTAGGGGTGCCTGGGTGGCTCAGTCTGTTAAGTGTCTGACTTTGGCTCAGGTTATGATCTCAAGGCTCCTATGTTCAAGCCCCATGTTGGGCTCTGTCTGTGCTGATAGCCTGCTTTAGATTCTGTCTTTGTCTTTCTCTGCCCCTCCCTCACTCATGCTTGCTCACTCTCTCAAAAATAAACATTAAAAAAAAATTTTTTTTTTTAAATTTAGGATAGATATTAAAAACCATGTTTGATAATTTTAATCCTGAAATTATAGTTTTTTAAAGTTATGGGGGGTTTATATGATATCTATTTATAGGGAGATAACATATCTTTGCAAATAGATGCACAAAAGTTACAGAAACTACAAAAATGGAATCTACTGGAATAATTATGTAGATTCCCACCATGAACACAATTCATATAGAACCCATGAGTAACACTAAGTATTAATTCTTTCAACAATATTTAGGAGCAGCTATAATGTGCCAGACACTCTATTAGATAGGGGGATGGATTTATTAGCAAACAAAATCAGATGGGATTCTTGCCCTTTTGGAGCTTATGTTTTAATAGAGACAAAGAAACATTATGCAAATAAAAACAAAAACCTAATGATGTGATGGGTGCTGTGAAGAAGGGCTTATGGTACAGCAACATCGTACGATTAGGGGCATGTGATCTGATTTGGAGAGTAAGAGTTCGTTGCCCTATGGAAGAGCTGAAGGAGAAGTTGAAAAGGGAAGGGTCCCTATATAGAGACATGGGTGGGTAGATTATGCAGCACCTCTCAAGGCCATGGGAAGACACTGGGAAGCTACTGAAGGATTTTAAACAAAAAAGGTGCATTTGATTGATTACTTCTAATTTTGAAAAGACTGACTCCTTGGGCTACAGCGTAGGACATGATGGTGTCTTGGATGGTGGGGGGAAAGACAAAGAGAAACAAAGGGACATAAAAGCCAAAAGTAACGGGTCTGGGCCATGAACTGGACATGTGGAGGACCTGTGGGAATGTCAGAGCTGACTGCAAGGTTTTAAGCTTCCATGTGTCAGTGTTACTCACTAAACCAGCAGAGAGCTGAGGAGAGGTCTGGGATGAAGACAGGCCAGGGGACTGGGATATGTCCGGAGAGTGAGCTCAGAAGTATGGAGCACTGCTGATGGGTTAATTAAGACAGTAAGTGGCCATATCAAACATGACCACTGGGTTTCATGACAGGAGGTAACGAGATGCTTAGATGGAGGGGCGGGGGAAAAATCCACACTGAGGTGGCGTAAGGCATGAGTGGGAAGTGAGAAAACAGGGACAGTGAACATAGAGTGCTCTTTCAAGAAAAGCTGGCTGTGAAGGGAAAAAGGGCTGGAGCTGGAGAGGTACTGAGGGGGGCTATCAATAGAGAGAGGCTGTTTTTTGTTTTTTGATTTTTAAATGGCAAGGGAAATTTAAACCTGTTTTAAAAACCTGTGTAAAAGATGTGGTTAAGGAGAAAAGACAAGACAAAATAAATGAACAGGATGAAGTTTTTAAGAAGGTAGAAGGTGGAGGCGGGGTGGGGGGGTGCCTGGGTGGCTCAGTCAGGTAAGCGTCTGACTTCAGCTCAGGTCATGATCTCACAGTTCGTGAGTTTGAGTCCCTCATCGGGCTCTGTGTGGATAGCTCAGAGCCTGGAGCCTGCTTCAGATTCTGTGTCTCCCTCTCTCTCTGCCCCACCCCTGCTTGCACTCTGTCTCTCTCTGCTCTCAAAAATGAACAAATGTAGGGGCGCCTGGGTGGCGCAGTCGGTTAAGCGTCCGACCTCAGCCAGGTCACGATCTCGCGGTCCGTGAGTTCGAGCCCCGCGTCGGGCTCTGGGCTGATAGCTCAGAGCCTGGAGCCTGTTTCCGATTCTGTGTCTCCCTCTCTCTCTGCCCCTCCCCCGTTCATGCTATGTCTCTCTCTGTCCCAAAAATAAATAAACGTTGAAAAAAAAAAATTAAAAAAAAAAAAAGAACAAATGTTAAAATTTAAAAACAAAACAAACAAACAAACCACAGAAGGTAGAAGGGGATGCAGAGGTCCAAAGACTGGTTTGTCATATGCCGGAGAGGGAACTTACTATCGAAAAGGAAAGAACAAAAAGAAAACGGGTACCCTCTTTCACTTTGCTATTTCTGAGCTTTTTTTTTTTTTTTCTTCAAAGGAAAAGAAGGAAGCCTAAAGAAACAGGATGTTTTTAAGGCTTTTCAATTTGTACCATCCACAAATAAGGTGAAAAAATTAACTTTATACCATATGTTTGGTTTGAGATTTTGAAAATTAGATCCAACTCAGTAAAAGAATAAAGGTACAGATTAACTTTACATACATTAAGTGTCAATTTTGTTTAAACTTCAGTGTTCACTCTGAGAATATAGGGCTGTTTCTCATTGCATGGAACAATTGCTGTGTAAGATACGCCCAGGACATCTGCTGGGAACTTACCATCGTTCGATGTGCAGAGATGAAAACGTCCGTGAAGCTGCTTCTCGAGTTAATAATTTGAAGCCACACTGTGTGTCTCTGATCCCTTTGACACAAAGGAACCACACCAGAAAGTGGAACCCATACATGAGCAGAGTACGGAAGTAAGAACGCTAAAACAAAGACAAAATATAAATGATTTTTCCATTAATCTGTAGAGGACAATTGAAAACACCTGGCTGTAGACAACTGCATTTTAATATTTAATTGACTGGGTAGATCTTACATATGAACACCATTGTTCTGTTGGCTTCACTGGCAAAGTATATTATATTAGAGCAGGGGAGTGGTACCAGGGGAGCAGTTACTCATTTCCCACAGGTTCGAGAAGAATCAGACAAGAAGAATCACAGTACCTGTGAGGGGTCAGGGCTTTACTCTACCAGAAGTACACCACAGCAGTTTTGGGCTGATGAACCAGCATCTGGTTCATCTATAGATTTTTTGCCTGTTTTCCCCAAATAGATTTCAGTTTCAAAAAAGGTGACAGTTACTGGAGATTCTTGGAAAAACAAAACACTATGGTTTCAACCTAAAGTTCTGTGCTTAGTTAATGAGAATACTGATAGAAAAAGTACAGCAGAGTATCTGTCAAAAAGTCACAGACTAAGGAGTCTGAAACAACAGTCTCTTCAATTAGGTATGGCAGACATCTGATAAATATACTTTTAACAATTAAGTTTTTTAATGCTTTGGATATCAAACCTAAGTGGTCTGTAATCCTATCTGAATATTCACTATTATTAGTAATTACTTTTATTAATAATAGTAACACAACATAATATTCCATTATACATTAAACATTGCAAACGTTAAAACATAAGATAAATAGGTCATTAATTATCATATTCAAGACTTTCATGTTTAAGATTAAAAGTTTTCTCAAATGTAACAGATCCATGGAATGATACACGATATCATATGTGTATCATAATGCTCCACTAGCAACCTACTAAGAATCTATGTAGAACATTTAATATTTCATACTATTTAGTGTTTCCCTTCCTCCTTTTGGCTTTTGCTTTTTATAACTGTAATCTGTAGTGTCATTCTTCATTTACGTGGCTTTTTCTATTATTATCAAACAGAACTATGACGCACCAGTGATAACACAACAAAGTACAGAAAGCCAGTGACCTGAGCAGACTGATTATTTGAATCCTGGCTACATTAATGATTAGGGTGGCCTTGAGCACATTACTTCAACTCTCTATCCCACTTTCCTCTTTTATCAAATGGGAACGAAAATGCCCACCTCACAAAGTTACTGTAAAGATTAAATGAGGCAAGATTAAAGCCTTTAGCCAAGTGTTTGGCACAGACAGTAACAGGAACTCAATAAATGTTTTTAATAAAGGAAGAAAGCTTGGGACCTCACTTTACATCCTAACTGCAGTTTCATTTGTGTATTAAACAGGGCAGGAAGGGAAAAAGAATAAAACACTTATCTGTAAGGTATGTGAAACATTTTTTTTAAGTGTGTGTGTGTGTCTGTGTGTACGTACTTCTCTGTTTTTATTATATTTCACATCACAAAGGAAAAAAAGTGAAATAATACAGTGGAACAAAATAGCTGCTGTGCAAATAACTGAAAATGATTAGTCTCCATTCTTTCTACATTAGATAAAATTTTAGAACTCTCTAGAAATAAAAAGTGAAACGAGTACTAAAGCAAATTGGAAAGAGCATAAGAGCAGCTCACAGAAAAGGACACAAGAGAGCCCTTTGAACATATAAAACAATGGTCATTCTCATTAGCAACCAATAAAAGCAAATTTTAACCATAGCGTGATACCATGTTATACCCATCCAACTGGCAAGCATTAAAAGGAATCATAGCATTAAATCTTTTGTTAGGATGTGGAGCAATGGGATTATTCCACTAATGGAAATATGAATCAGTTACCACTTGGAGTTTTGCAAAATGTTTGTCAACTGTAAAACAAACTTTTTGGAAGGATCTATCACTTCTCACTTATCACCTAGAATCATTAGTTATGTTCTGATGTAAACAGGTCTTACCTCTCTAAGCAGATAGGGCAGAAACCTCATCTTAAAATACTTGGGTAATCTCATACCAGCTTGCTCAGAGCCTTTCACATAAAATATTTCCAATAAATACTGGTTGACTGATTAAACCTCCAAAAGAGCACTTATGCTTACAAAAGGAACAAATAGAAACTGAAAGATAGAAAAATTAAAATCACAAGGTAAAAAAAAATAATAATAATAATGCCTATAAACTATTTTCCTTGAATGATCTTCAATGTGATTTAGGTGAACTTACTGGTTACCAAATGGAAATATTCATGGCCACTCTTGCTTGGATGTTAATAGAAGATTTTTGTTTGTTTAAGGATAATGGTTATTTTTAAAAAACCAGAAACACATGGACTTCATATGAAGAACTTAACTTATTTGATTCCTAACATACAAACAAGAGGATCTCCCTTTAATTTTTATTTTAACTTTGCAAAATATCTTATAATTTATAAGACATCTAAAAATATATTATGCAACGGACTTAGTTACATAAAACTAACAGTCATAGAGTAACATTATACGAACTTCTGAAACAGACATTTAAAAATATGAAGGAAAAAGACATTCACTACTTCATTATTAACAATATTCTCTCTAATGCTGATGAAATGTAAACAAGGAATTCAGGTGGAATTTAAAGCTGACTGGTACTTTTATTATCTTAAAATAAGTTCAAAGAAGTCCCAAGATGTAACCCAAGACTCTTCGAAGAAATTCTAAGGACATCAAATAAACACCAATGGATTCTATTTTGAATCTTTTAAAAATAATAAATGCAGGAATACCCAGACAATATAAACATCCCTGTTATAACTGTTACACAGAACATATGGGCATATGAACACACTCTCTTGCCTTCACTAGCTTCTTAATTACTCTCTTGCTTCCTATTTTTCCAAATCTTTTTTCCTTCACCAAATACATTATCCTTTCTACTTTTCTACATTTTTTAAAAAGGAAAAAAGTAAACATAAAATCATTAATTTAATATCAGCCTGGTCTCATTAAGTGTTTTTGTTTATACAGATAATTTTTACATAAACAATTATGTAGTATTTATAACACTGTACTCTTTTTCTTCATATAACCTAATATTTTGGATATTTTCTCATATTATTATAAAGCCTGCATGATCATCTGTTTTATTGGCTGCATATTTCATCCAGGAAAATATCTGTATTTTCTATTGTTGGAATTTAGCATTTTATCATTTCTTTTTTGTTTTTAGATATCAAGTATTAGGTTTTATTTTTTATTTTTTCTATTTTAGGGAAAGAGAGAAAGAGGTGGAGAAGGGCAGAGGGAGAAAGAGAGAGAGAGACAGAGAGAGAGAGAGAGAGAGAGAGAGAGAGAGAGAATCCTAAGCAGGTTCTACACTCAGCATGGAACCTGAGATGGGACTCGATCCCACAACCTTGGAATCATGTCCTGAGTGAAGATCAAGAATCAAATGCTCAACCAACTGAACCACCCAGGCACCCCTATAGTTTCTATTATTTTATAATTATAAAATTATAAAATTTATATAAGTATAAAATTATAAATAATGTAAACATCTTAGACATATACTCTTCCTCTTCTTATCCCCTGTGCATCAGTAAATTGATGAAGCTGGACTAGCTAATCTCTAAGCACTCTTTCAATTTTAAATTTCTAGGAGTATGATAACCTCGATGGTTAACAGATTACCTTTTTTAAAACCAGTGAGTGTCCACAGAGACATGGAACACTGGATTAGATGCTGAAGGTATTAAAATAATTTCTTTCTTAGGAAGAGTCTAGGTTTCCATACCTGAACATAATTCTTAAGAGGTTCTATGACCCTGCCATCAGTATATCTTAAAAAAAAAAATTTCTTTGTGTCTTATTTCAGAATCACTGAGGGAGGGAAAGGTTTAACCTTTTATTCCACTGGTTCTCAAACTCTGGGTGTAAGCGTGGCCTGGGAAATTGTTAAAAATGCAGATTCCTGGTTCATTTCTATAGTCTTATTCAGTGTGCCTGGGATTGGCCTAGAAATACACATGTTTAAAACCAAAGAAAAAAACCTCCCCAGATAATTTTGACCTTGGATTGAAAAATACTGCTTTATTCTTGATCTATTTGGCGACTCCAGTAGATGAACCATAAAGAATATAATGGACAATTACTGGGCTTGATACACTGGGCCCACATTTTTAAGTGAATAATTAAAATAATTTTAAAAATTAAAAAAGAATTTAAAATTGCACAGAATAAATTCCTTATTATTTTTTCCTCTCAAGTTACTCCAACTTTTGTAGCCCAATAATACAAATTACAAAATGAAGAATTTAAGGTCTTTAGTGAGGGCAGTCACAACTTGTTAAACTTTAAGATATAGTGCTTTTCTAAGAGGAATAAAGTTAAAAAAAAAAAAAAAAGGAAAAAAACAAACTTTAAATGTACTTCAATGTGACATTAAAAGAAAAACTAAAGGTAAGCTGAATGGTTCAGAACTGTATCATTTAGAAAAGTTTGCCTTATATCAGAACTGAATGGGGACTCCTGTGTCTTAAAAAGAAAAAAAAAAAAATTAAGCTGCTTGCATCCTAAGTCAAAGTGAAGTTTACATCCTTTTTTGTAAACTCACTGAAAAAAATAATCAATTCCTAAATGTGTTAATCTTTCACACAGTAAAAAATTATTTTCTTTCCCTTTGAAAAGAAATTCATTTTTATGAAATTAAACATGAAAGCTTGCTTTTTGCTAATGAGTATGAAAAAAAGAAAAACAAAATCTGATCCAGGCCAGTTAGTAAAGCCTCACCTGAGCAATTGATTCTTTTTCCAAGTGAGCTCGAGATCCACATGCAATAGCCATTTGGTCCTGAGGAAAAAGCAGTAAAATGATTTGTCAGTATTTGAATATTCTATTTGAATATCAATAATCAAATGTGTATTACGCTAAGCGAAATAAGTCAAGAGAAAGACATATACCATATGATTTCACTCATGTGGAATTTAAGAAACAAAACAGATGAACAAATGGGAAGGGGGGAAAAAAGAGACAGGGAAACAAACCACAAGAGACTCTTAACGACAGAGAACAAACTGAGGGTTGATGGAGGGAGGTGGTGGGAGATGTGCTAGATGGGTACTAAGGACGACACTTGTGATGAGCCCTGGGTATTGTATGTAAGTGATGAATCATTGAATTCTACTCCTTAAGCCAATATTGCACTGTATGTTAACTAATTAAAATGTAAACAAAAATTTTTAAAAACAAATATTAATAAAAACATTTATTTTCAATCCAAGTATCTCATTTTTTAGACACTGATTTTTTTTTTTAAAGTCACATTAAATATCTTCAAAGGCTTACTAAGGTATTCAGAATATGTACAGCTTCAAGAAGCCTGATTATACTTACTAAGAGGCCAATATTCAGGGCTAAATATCAGGGGCAGGTACAACTTGAAAATTCATATTTTTAAATGATTTTTCTGATTAAAAACACTGTATCAACATAGTTAGAGGGAAAAATAGTGGTATTAGAAAGAAAAGGGTATCTGCAGATGGTATGATTATATCTATATAATCATTACTTTCTGGAAAATCCAAGATTATCAACTACTATAGTAAAAACTACTACAAACATTAAGGGAATTAAAAAAGTGGAACAAAATGAATATATATCATACTAGTCTTCATATGTACAAACAATAATCAGAAAATATAATGGAAGACAGTATTTGTAAAGTCAAGAAAGGAAAATCTAGAAATAAACTATACAAAAACGTAGCAATATCTAAATAAAGAAAACATGTATACGGTACCAAGGGAAACAAAAGAATTCAACACATAGAAGGGCGTACCATGATCATGGATGAGAACATGTGTTGACAGTATCAAAAATCAATTCTCACTAAAATTAATCTTTAAATTTAGTACCATACTGATAGAAATATCAAAATAATTTTCCATTGAACCAGACAAGCTAATTTTTACAGTTAATATTGAAAAATAAAGAACCAAAAGAACCAGGAAAATTCTAAGAATGAGGAATGACTAGCCTTAGAGGATTTAATATACATTATAAAGCTATAATAATTAAAACTACAGTACTAGAAAATGAATAGATAAGTCCATGAACCAGAAAGGAAAAGCCAGAAACACACACACCACACAAATATGGATATTTAGAATATGACAAAGATGATGTTTTTAAGTAGTGGGTAAAAACTGAATTGATAAATGCTGTGGGACATCTGGGTAGCCACTTGGAAACCAAATTAAGTTGAACCTGGGCCTCATACTGAAAAGTAGGATATATTTCAGATACATCAAAGATTTAAGTGTAAAATATCAGGAATAATTAAAAAAACTTTTTTAATGTTTATTTATTTTTGAGATAGAGAGAGAGAATGACTGGGGGAGGGACAGAAAGAGAGGAAGACACAGAATCTGAAGCAGGCTCCAGGCTCTGTACTGTCAGCACAGAGCCCAATGTGGGGCTTGAACCAACAAACTGTGAGATCATGACCTGAGCTGAAGTCGGACACTCAACCGACTGAGCCACCCAGGCGGCCCAGGAATAATTTTTAAAATGACCTCAAGGAAAACATAAGTACACAAAATCTAGAAGAAAAGATAGATCAATTTGACAACAATTTTTTTTAAAAAACTGTGTAGAGAGAGGGGTGCCTGGGTGGCTCAGTTGGTTAAGCATCCGACTCTTGATTTCAGCTCAGGCCATGATCTCATGGTTTATGAGATCAAGCTCTGCGTTGGGCTCTGTGCTGTCAGCACAGAGCCTGCTGGGGATTCTCTCTCTCTCCCTCTCTCTCTGCCCCTCCCCTCGTCTTAAAATGAACTTAATTCTTTTTTTAAATTTTAACAAAAACCCAAGCGTTTTCAAAATTAAAAGACAAATATATTGGGGGGAAATATTGGTAATTTATATTACAGACAAAAGGATTACTTCCAAAATGCTAAAGTACTCCTACAAACTATTATAAAAGTATCCAACTCAGTTGGAAAAGCGGCAAAGTCTATGAACAGACTGTTCATAAAAGAGGAAGTGAAAACTGCTCTTAAACAACTGAAAACATCCTCAATCACACTTAAGAGCAAGGTGAACAGTGTTTACTATATGGTGCCTACACACTCTACAGGCAGCAATGTGACAAATGATAAAAACTACAAATATACATATAATCTGACCCACCAATTCCACCATCAGGAATTTTCCTGTAAATAAACTTGTATATGTGGGAAAGGACTTTCATTCAGGGTTAATCATTTCAGTATTGCTTCTAGCAGCAAAGCAATCCTGTAGATCTATCCAAAGGCATTAGTTACGATATTGTGCAAGCATAAGGAAGCACTCTGCTATATAAATGTGGCTCAGTCTCCAAGGTACATCATTAAGTGGAAACAACAGAATAGTAATAGTGTTACAATCTGCATTTTTAAATAAAGAATACTTATAGCATCTTCCAGATGGATATGCAAGAAATAAATAATACTGGTTACTTCTGAGAGTAACTAAGTGACTAAGCTGAGCAATGAAGCGTGGGCCTCCTTTCACTGTTTTCTTCTTATACCATTTGACCTTTAAACCATTCACCAAAATAAACAGAATAAAAAAGTGCATATTGAAAAAAAAAATTGTCAAGCACGTAAATTTACACATAGTAAAACTTTATTATAAAGAGAAAAGTCATGTATAATCTCACTACCTAAAAGCAGCCACTGATAGTATTTTATATATTTTTTTTGTATTCTTTTTTTTCTCTGCATTTAAAACCATAGCTGAAATTCACCTATATGTCATGTTCTTTTCCATTTAAAATAATCCAAAAATTTCTTATGTTCAAGTTCACTGTTTTGCATAAAAGTAGAGAGAATTGGAAAATGAAGCCCTCATGTACCCACAACGTGGTTCAACAATTATCAATACATTACAAAATATTTAAAAAAAAACAAAAAACCCAATACATGGCCAACCTTGCTTCTTCTACAGCCCCTCATCACTACCCCACTCAACAAATCGGCTGATATTTCTTTTACCTGTGGGTTCCCCCTACTCTTTTTTTCTTATACTTATTTGTTGAAGAAACTATGTAACTTGTCTTGTAGACTTACCCAGGTTTTGGATTTTGTTGATTGTATCCACACTGGTGACATTTATCATGTTCCTCTGTTCCCAGTGTTCCCTGTAAACTGGTTGTTTGGGTTAGAAGCTTGATAAGATTCAAGTTTACTTTTCAAGAACTTATCATAGCAGTGTTGCATGTCCATCTTTCTTTTTTGTGTCAAGGGCAAGTGCAATATTATATTTCACCATAGAGATTTACCATACTTTCAGTGTTTGTGTATGTGTTGACTATTTCTAATTTCATGTTTTCAGAAAGGGGCTCAAAAGACCATCTTTGGATATAAAACTCTAATTGTATTTTGGATTTCCTTCTTTGGAAAAAGTCATACAAATAGAATACTAAGTTGAAAGTATGAATGTTTTAAATATATATGAGCCAAATTATTCTTCAAAAAGCTCTTTATATTCCCACTAAATGGGTATAATATTGATTACCTCATCCAATCCTTGCCATTTCTAATTATTCTCATTTTAAATTTGCTAATTTTAAAAGGGAAAAATATAACCCTTTGTGATATAATTTCCTTTTCTTTTTTTAAATTAAATGTTTATTTATTTGAGAGAGAGAGAGAGAGAGGGAGAGAGAGAGAGAGAGAGAGAGAGAAAGGGAGGGAGTGGAGGAGGGGCAGAGAGAATGGGAAAGAGAGAATTCCAAGCAGGCTGTGAGATGTCAGTGCAAAGGTCAATGCAGAGCTTGATCTTACAACTGCAAAGTCACACCCTGAGCCAATATCAATAATCAGATGCTTAACTGAATGAGCCACCCAGGCACCCCTAATTTCCTTTTTTTTTTTTTTTAACGTTTATTTATTTTTGAGACAGAGAGAGACAGAGCATGAACGGGGGAGGGTCAGAGAGAGGGAGACACAGAATCCGAAACAGGCTCCAGGCTCTGAGCTGTCAGCACAGAGCCCGACGAAGGGCTCGTACTCACGGACCGCGAGATCATGACCTGAGCCGAAGTCGGCCGCCCAACCAACTGAGCCACCCAGGCGCCCCCCTAATTTCCTTTTTAATGAAAAGGTAAACTTTGAGAAATTTTACTGGCTATATTTTCTTTTGAAAATTATCTGTTATATATTTTGCCTACTATTTAGTAGTAGGAATAATTTCTTCCCTTCTTTTTCTGGCAGAGGAAGGGAGAGAAATGCTTTTCTTTATTTTATTTTTACTTACTTACGTATGTATGTACGTGTGTATGTTTTAGAGAGAGCATGAGCAGGGGAGAGGGGTAGGAAGAGAGAGAAAGAGAGCGAGCGAGAGAGAATCTTAAGCAGGCTCCGTGCTTAGTGCAGAGCCTGACACAGGGCTCAATCTCACAACCCTGGGATCATGTCCTGAGCCAAAATCAAGAGTCGGATGCCCAACTGACTGAGCCACCCAGGTAACACCTGAGAATGCTTTTCTTTCTTTTTTTTTTTTTTAATTTTTTTTTTTTAATGTTTATTCATTTCTGAGACAGAGAGAGACAGAGCATGAACGGGGGAGGGGCAGAGAGAGAGGGAGACACAGAATCGGAAACAGGCTCCAGGCTCTGAGCCATCAGCCCAGAGCCCGACGCGGGGCTCGAACTCACGGACCGCGAGATCGTGACCTGGCTGGAGTCGGACGCTTAACCGACTGCGCCACCCAGGCGCCCCGAGAATGCTTTTCTTAAAGAAGACCTATATAAAAAGTTCAAATAGTATATGGCAAATAAACTTCAACTTTAAATCCAAAAAGAACAGTAATGTTACCAAGCAATAGGAAAAAACAAAACAAAACAAACGGACCTCCTCCCACCTTTCAGAGACTAAATAGCATTAAAATGCCATTTAATTAAACAAAAACAAATAAAAACCAAAAGCTTTCATTTAAAATCTCCTAAAAGCTTTTAAGAGAATTTTGTTTATCTTCAGTTCTGGTGTAAGAACTGAATCCCTGGTACTAATGTCACTATCGCAAGGAATTCATCTAAATGGCTTTTAGAACAGTTAGTTATTCTTCAGGAAAAGATAGTCTTGTTTTAAAAACTGCTCATATTAGACAATGTATGTAAACATGGAGTCACTGTCTTTTATGCCTCTTTCAGAGTATCACTAATTTTCTTGTAGTATTGAAAAAAATGAGTATTTCAGTCACTGAAATATTACAGCTAGCTTTTAAAAGTGGTAAATTGGTACCATATTGTCTTCTAGAAAGAAATGTTTAATCAGAACTCTGATACTTTTCCATTTAAGTATTTTCTCACAATTCACTGGGGAAAAGGAATAGACTAGAAGAATAGAATTGAAGGACTAGGTAGATCTAATTTATACTAACAATTATAAACAGTAACATTAGAATTAGCTCTGAGAATTAAGCATAAGGGCTAACGTTTATAATTAGAGATGATGGTTATTGAGTGCTGGACATAATGATAAACACCTGACATGCATTTTAATCATCACCTCAGGATTTCTTCCTTTTTTTAAATTAAATGTTCATTTCTTTAAGAGAGAGAGAGAGAGAGAGAGAGAGAGAGAGAGAGAGAGAGAGAAAGGGAGGGAGGGAGTGGAGAAGGGGCAGAGATAATGGGAGAGAGAATTCCAAGCAGGCTCTGAGATGTCAGTGCAAAGCCCACTGACCATCACTGTCCATAGGCTCACTGTCCATATGTCAGTGGTGAGGAAAATGAGGTGGATGGATTAACTTGTCCAAGGTCACATGGAATTTGAACCTAGGTGCATTTGAATTCTGAACCCAAAATTAAGAAACCTACTGAAGAGAAATGGAAAATTGGCACAGGTACTCCATGAGGCAAACGTGACTCCAAATGAGATAGATATATAGAAATGAAGTTGAAACAATTTATGATGAAATCAGTCATATTCATCCAATATGGGCAGAAATGGAAAACTTAGCATATAAAGCAAAGTACTGAGTTTAGCAAAATTTGTATTTATTAAAAAATTAAAAAAATCCTATACCCATTTTCCTCAAAAGCAATAAAGTTTCATTGTTAAAAATAAACAATAAAATTAAAGAAATATAAAAATTTGAAAAGATATCCATAATTCCACTATCCACAGACAATTCCATAGGTAGGTAACTAGATATAACTCTAGCTACCTATATATATCCAGATGTTTAAAATTTATTTTTTGGGGGTGGCTGGGTGGCTCAGTGGGTTAAGTATCTGACTCTTGATTTCATCTCAGGTCATGACCTCATGGTCCTGAGATGGAGTCCGCATCAGGCTCTGCACTAAGCGTGGAGCCTACTGAAGATTCTCTCTTTTTCCCTCTCCTTTTGCCCCTCCCGCACTTGGGCACATGCTCATGCTCTCCGTCTCAAAAAAATTTTTTTCACCTAGTTGTATACAATGAATAGCATCCTTTATTATAATGAATTTAACCTGTGTAAAGTAATATTGAACACTTAAAATTGTTTCTAAGTTTTCCTTCTCTTTAAAAAACACTGCTATAATAAAAAATAAGCAAAAATCCTTGAAAATTTGTTTTTATACACATTCTTAATTATTTCCTTAAGATAAGTTTCTCAAAGCTGGGTTAAGAGATATGTATTACTGGATCAATGGATGTGAATTATTTAAACCTTTTGATTATTATTAAAAAATTTTTTTTTCAATGTTTATTTATTTTTGAGAGAAAGAGACACAGTGTGAGTGGGAAAGGGGCAGAGAGAGAGGGAGACACAGAATCCGAAGCAGGCTTCAGGCTCCAGGCTGTCAGCACAGAGCCTGACACGGGCTCAAACTCATGGGCCATGAGATCATGACGTGAGCTGAAGTCAGACGCTGAACCGACTGAGCCACCTAGGCACTCCTTGATTTTTTTTTAAATTTTATTTATTTATTTTGAAAGAGAGAGAGCATGAATGGGGGAAGGGCAGAAAGAGAGGGAGACAGAAAATCCCATGCAGGCTCCACACTGCCACTTTGGAACTTGATTCAGGGCTCAAACCGATGAACCAGGAGACCGTGACCCAAGCCAAAATCAAGAGTTGGACAACGAACTGAGCCACCTAGGCACCCAAACCTTTGATTCTTACTTTTAACTTGTTCTATAAAAATACTGTATCAAACTGCACACTCAACAAATAAATTTGGCAACAAAAGATGCCTAATTATTTTCCTCCTTTTAAATTAGGATATCTTCTCTTGACAATCATAAGGATATTAAACTTATGAAAATTTTATGTGGTCAGCAAAAATTATGGTTAACATCAAGATTTCAATCTTCTAGAACAAGGTTGGCAAACCATGATTTGTGGGCCAAAAACAGCCTGCTGCCTGTCTTTTCATGACCTATGAGCAAGAATGATTTTTCAAGTGTTGTTAAAAAAAGAGTATTGCAACAGGGACCACATGTGGTCTACGGAGCCTAAAATATTTACCCTCTGGTCCTTTAGAGAAAAAGTTTTGCTTTCTCTGTACTTAAGAGATATCCACTTTCAAGCCAGGTTGGTTGGCATTATATACCTGCTTTGATAGGCAGCTCTTGTCCTTCACAGGTGTGGGAAACATACTTTGTGATCTGCTGAGACAGACTGTCCTAAAAGGTCAATTACATATACTCTTCCTCTTTTTACATTTTCAAAACTATCTTCTTAATTTTTCTTTTCTCCCTTGTTTGATTTTCAAAAAGATCTCACAAGAATGCTGGGTCTATAAAACAAATGATTTGGGAAGTTCAGGGATCTCTTTTGCATGCTTGGTCATCTGAGAGGGTGACACAAACATAACAGGCTCTTGAACCTGCCCATGGTCACAAAAAAAAAAAAAAAAAAAAAAAGGAAATAATAATTGTCACGTTCCTGTTTAATGAAAAAGCCAAACCATGTATACATATATGAAGTTTTGGTGTACCAAACCCACATTTTGGCCCAGGACTACTGAATTGAAGACAAAGGAACATTCAGGGCCACTAGGTAGCAATTGCTCCAGACTGAAGGGTGTGTTTGGGCGTGGGGTGGTGGCGGTGGTGGTGATTAATATCTGCCCCTATAGTTTTTGTCAATGCAGTTTTACTCCATATCTCTTTCATATGTTACCTTTAATCATTTGTGCCCTTCAAAACCTAAAAACTAAGTTTTTTGAAACTGTGTCTAAATGAGAATTTAGGATCCAAGTCGTGGCCTGAGGAATGACTCTATGGTTAATAGAATGCAGACTTTTTGTCATCTATTTTACCTGTTCAGGAAGTTTTGATTCTATTGTGAATAGTTAAGCAACTAAACAAGTGACCATCATATATTTTGGCTTAGAAAAATTATTGCAAACCCAAGTATATTTTATTAAAAGAGGTAACATAATTACTGGTTAAGAAATTGAAAAGCTGGAGCCAAATAGCCAAAGCAATCTTGAAAAAGAAAACCAAAGCAGGAGGCATCACAATCCCAGACTTCAAGCTGCTATATGACAAAGCTGTAATCATCAAGACAGTATGGTACTGGCACAAGAACAGACACTCAGATCAATGGAACAGAATAGAGAACCCAGATATGGACCCACAAACATATGGCCAACTAATCTTTGACAAGACAGGAAAGATTATCCAATGGAGTAAAGACAGTCTCTTCAGCAAGTGGTGCTGGGAAAACTGGACAGCAACATGCAGAAGAATGAACCTGGACCACTTTCTTACACCATACCCAAAAATAAACTCAAAATGGATGAAAGACCTAAATGTAAGACAAGAAGCCAGCAGAATCCTCGAGGACAAAGCAGGCAAAAACCTCTTTCATCTTGGCCGCAGCAATTTCTAACTCAACACGTCTCTGGAGGAAAGGGTAACAAGACCAAAAATGAACTACTGGGACCTCATCAAAATAAAAAGCTTCTGCACAGCAAAGGAGACAATCAGCAAAACTAAAAGGCAAGCAACGGAATGGGAGAAGATATTTGCAAACGACATATCAGATAAAGGGTTAGTATCCAAAATCTATAAAGAACTTCTCAAAGTCAACACCCAAAAAACAAATAATCCAGTGAAGACATGGGCAAAAGACATGAATAGACACTTCTCCAAAGAAGACATCCAGATGGCCAACTGACACATGAAAAAAATGTTCAATATCACTCATCATCAGGGAAATACAGATCAAAATCACAATGACGTACCACCTTACACCTGTCAGAATGGCTAACATTAACAACTCAGGCCACAACAGATGTTGGTGAGGATGTGGAGAAAGAGGACCTCTTTTGCACTGCTGGTGGGAATGCTAGCTGGTGCAGCCAGCTGGAAAACAGTATGGGGCTTCCTCAAAAAATTAAAAATAGAACTACCCTACAATCTAGCAATTGCGCTACTAGGTATTTATCCAAGGGATACAGGTGTGCTGTTTCGAAGGGACACATGCACCCCAATGTTGACAGCACTATCAACAAAGTATGGAAAGAGCCCAATGTCCATCGATGGATGAATGGCTAAAGAAGATGTGATGTGTATATATATATATATATACACACACGCGCGCGCGCACACACACACACACGATGGAGTATTACTCAGCAATCAAAAAGAATGAAATCTTGCCATTTGCAACTATGTGGATGGAACTGGAGGGTATTATGCTAAGCGAAATTAGTCAGTCAGAGAAAGACAAATATCATATGACTTCACTCATATGAGGACTTTAAGAGACCAAACAGATGAACATATGGGAAGGGAAACAAAAATAATATAAAAACATGGAGGGGGACAAAACATAAGAGACTCTTAAATATGGAGAACAAACAGAGGGTTATTGGAGGGGTTGTGGGAGGGGGGATGAGCTAAATGGGTAAGGGGCATTAAGAAATCTATTCCTGAAATCATTGTTGCACTATATGCTAACTAATTTGGATGTAAATAAAAAAAAAAATTTAAAAAAAAGGAAAAAAAAAGAAATTGAAAAACTAGGATAAAAGTTTTGCACTTAAAGAAAAAAGATATACAGATAAAGTATTTGGAACTAAATGTAAATCCTATTTTATTTGTGTGTTACACAAAACTCTACCTAAATTACATATATTTAATTTAAAACCTTAAAAGACCTTCTTCAGAGAAGAAATTGCAAGCAACTTTTCTAAATTCATTAAGAATAATCTGACCAGAACTCTAAGAGGAATTAAAAGTACAAAGTAGTAGTAAATTTCTTTTTGTTGCCATTAAAAATAAAATCAACTGAAAAAACATTAGAAGCCATTACAAATGTTCTGGAGAGTCAACACAATGCTGTAAAAGACATTTAACTATTGTGTAGTAGATTAGTACTAGTGGGTTAGTATCTAGTGGGTTAGTCATGTGGTCATAACAGGACTTCACTACTTTGAAACCCATGTTCTTGTTTCCTTATTTTCAGAACTAGTTCTGAAAATTCTAGTCAATTTTTATTTGGGCTCAAGGGAATATATGCAAGCCACGCTTATCAGATTTGTGACTTCATTGAGAAGGGAACGGCAATTTCATTAAAGATGGAAAAAAAGCCCTACACCCTAAGAAACAGAAATCAAATATGCTGATGCTTAATAAAGAGCCACACTTCTGTTCCTAAATAAAACAAGGCAAAAGAAACACAGAAACAAAAATAACTGTGCCAGTTTGAGGATAGGGAGACAAGGTTCAATGGCAATGGCACTGCATATGAAAGAGTTGGCTACATGAGGTAACAATGTAAATGCAGTATAACCAGATCCATGCTAACTGAAACATCTTCAGTGGAAAATGACCAGGATGATAACAAAAAGAAATATGCTGTTTGAAAACTGGAAGAACTATTGACAGCTTAGAATAGAGAAGACACATGGAAATCGCTTTAACTCTCCAAAAGGCTGTCACAAAGGAGAAGTAGACTATTTTGTGTAGCTATGAAAAACAGAACCAACCAAAGGGGATATCAAAAGGAGGCATATTTGCATTTAATGCAAAAAGGAACTCTGTAACTGAGTTGAGATACATGGGCTGCTTGGGCATCACTACAGCTATGCAAGCAAAGACTAAAAGATCACTTGGTAATTATAAAAAGTTTCCAATACTAGATAAATGACTGAATTAGCCCAAGGGTCTGTAATCTATAGGCTGTGGCCCAAATCTGGCCTGCTGCTTGGTTTTGTAAATAAAGTTTTATTGGAACACAGGCATGGTCATTCAATTATGTATTATCTAGGTCTGCTTTTGTGCTACAGTCAGGGTTGAGTAGCAACAGACACTGTATGGCTTTGAAGGTGAAAATATTCACTCTGTGGGCCTTTACAGAAGAGGTCTGCCAACCTCTGAATTAGATAATAAAGATTTCTTCTAATTCCTCTATGAATGTTAGCTTCAGAGTACAAGTTTTCTGAGTAATGCCCGACTGTTTGAGTTTTGTCATAATCATGAGTAGACAGCATCCCAATTCAAAAATAATTATTACTGAGTTGATCCAGACAGTGGATTTTAGAACTCTGTCACTTCTCTGCCTCCTTCAAAAAGAGATATATGATGCATATTGATTAAAATTCTTAATGAACTGAGTTCAAATTCATTCAAGTGAATTGTGATATACTCTTAAATAATTAGACATATTGTGAGGTGCTGTAGACCAAGGCTGTGAATTAAAAGTTTAATCATCATCAAATGCTTTCATTCTTTAAAACTCGATATTTACAGTAACAATGCAGTAAATTAGCTTATGATAATGAAAAGGATGGCATCAGAACTCCTTTCCTTTTCAGAGTTGTATAAAGGGAATTGGGATTCACAGAAGGTTCAGATTTTTCTCCTGTTTATTGTTTGTTCACCCTCTGACTTTGGCTAAATTACTTAATTTTTCTTTGCCCTACGTAGAATGACACAAAGTCAGCTGCAAACAACCTGACATCTTCCATCCTCCCTCCCACTCATGGCTCCCCCAAGCTAGAGGCATAATGCATTAGAAACATTTACCAAATCTTTGTCAGTTCTCTGGGAAGGACTAGGGGAGAACTGGGGAGAACTAGGACAATCCTCTTGACAATCATGAGGGTATTAAATTTATGAAAATTTTCTGTGGCGTCTCTTTTAATATCATTCTGTTTTGTCCTCACTCTTTTTTTTTTTTTTTAAATTTTTTTTTTTTTCAACGTTTATTTATTTTTGGGACAGAGAGAGACAGAGCATGAACGGGGGAGGGGCAGAGAGAGAGGGAGACACAGAATCGGAAACAGGCTCCAGGCTCCGAGCCATCAGCCCAGAGCCCGACGCGGGGCTCGAACTCCCGGACCGCGAGATCGTGACCTGGCTGAAGTCGGACTCTTAACCGACTGCGCCACCTAGGCGCCCCTGTCCTCACTCTTTCAAATGCCTGTGTTGCTGAATTATTTTCATTATTTGTTCAGCAAAAATACTTTGGTATGAAACTTTCTTTTTCTATAGTAGTATGTTGGTATAGCTGACATTTATTTCATTTTGTCGTGATTAACATGGGTAGCACTTGTACAGTACAAGGGAATTTTCCTTGATACACAGGTATCCCCCGCTTTTCAAAAGTTCTTGTTAGGCCATGTTGCTTTTATAAAAGACTGACAGTAGCTGTGTCTTAAGGTGTCAGAAAAGCCTAAGGGAGGTTATTTTTTGGGTCAGGGAACATTCAAAAACATTTTCCACATGAATTAATGGTAATTGCTTCTTTGCTTTATGCCATCTGGGCTTACAAATGAGAACACTCTGCTTCTGGATAGCAGGGGAAACCTGTACTTCTACCTTTGGTAGCCCCTGGTTTTCCCCCTCTGAACTAGAGTTTCAAGGCCTGAATATTACACCTGGGGGAAGGAGGGAGCTCCCTTAGAGCTCAGTGTAGCTTTGGTGGGTTATATGGGTTCTTTGTTATTGTGAGATTTTCCCATGTCCTGTACAAGGATACACTCCACTGAGGAAGGGGTCTAATCACATGGATCTGTGCCCTAACTGAGCTTGAAGCCCTGAAACTGGCAAGCCCTAGCAGTTTTTCTGGCTGCTATTGAAATCCTCGGATACTGTGTGATAGCAGGTAGGTGTACTGATTAATTTTGTCCCAGGGTGCTTATTCAATGTCTCAGTCTGATTCTTTCCAGGTTGGGACTATTTGGTAAAAAGCTCAGAATGTGGTAAATTCGTCTTTCTCTAAATGGCCTTTATTTTTATTTATTTTTTTCAATATATATATATGTATATACATATATATATACATATATATATATTTATTTTTTTATTTTTTTTATTTTCAATATATCTAAATGGCCTTTAAAGAGTGGAAATGGGGGGCGACTGGGTGGCTCAGTCGGTTAAGCGGCCGACTTCGGCTCGGGTCATGATCTCGCAGTCCATGAGTTCAAGCCCTGCGTCGGGCACTGTGCTGACAGCTCAGAGCCTGGAGCCTGTTCAGATTCGGTGTCTCCCTCTCTCTGACCCTCCCCCGTTCATGCTCTGTCTCTCTCTGTCTCAAAAATAAATAAACATTAAAAAAAAAAAAAATAAATAAAATAAAGAGTGGAAATGGCACCAGGAGTTTTCTTTCTTTAACTTCCACTTTTTTTTTTTTTTTTTAATGAAATGTTGATACCTGCTTTATTCATAATTGCCAAATGCTGGAAACAACCCAAATGTCCTTCAACAGTTGAATGGATAAACAAACTGTCATACACCCAAGCAATGGAATACTGCTGAGCAATTAAAAGGAACAAATTATTGATAAACATAGCAATATGGATGAATCTCAAATGCTGAATAAAAGTCTATCTCTACTTTTTGAAACTATGTCATGAAGGTGCACATGATCTTTACTGAGTGGTTCCTGCTTAGGTCTGTTTCATCAAAACCAAGTCTCTGTGATCCAGTTTCATTTCACATCTTTACCTGGGAGGCTCCATCTATGCTTTTAAATAAAAGCCTTAGCTGAATATATAGATAATAAATATTAAAACTCTGATAGAAGGGATTGAAAATGGAGTGATATGGCCAGAATATTAAATAAGTAATTGTTAAGTAAATCTCAGACCATCAGTGAATGTTTATAATAAAATGATTACGGGGCGCCTGGGTGGCGCAGTCGGTTAAGCGTCCGACTTCAGCCAGGTCACGATCTCGCGGTCCATGGGTTCGAGCCCCGCGTCGGGCTCTGGGCTGATGGCTCAGAGCCTGGAGCCTGCTTCCGATTCTGTGTCTCCCTCTCTCTCTGCCCCTCCCCCGTTCATGCTCTGTCTCTCTCTGTCCCAAAAAATAAATAAACGTTGAAAAAAAAAATTAAAAAAAAATAAAAATAAAAAAATAAAATGGTTAGCTTTTCTGTGGGACTGTATACAGGAATGTCACACACAAAAAAAACACCAGTTTTTAAACTTGTATGTAAATTCCATTTTTTTGTTAGTTTTTTTTTTGTTTTGTTTTGTTTTGTTTTTTAAGTACGCTTCACACCCAGCATGGGGCTTGAACTCACAACCCTGAGATCAAGACCTGAGATCAAGAGTCGGGAAACTTAACCAACTGAGCCACCCAGGCACTCCCGTAAATTCCATTTTAATGTTACTTTAGACTCCCCGTGTTCTTGACTGAAGATTATTTAATCTATATTCTCATACTCACAGGCCAAGGCTGTAGATCATTCAGTCCCTTTTCTAATTTCTCAACATCTGGAAACTTTGTGGCTCCATCAGCATCTGCCATAAGGATCTTTTCTCCTCGAGAACTGAATATACCCTGTATTTAAACATTTCAATTAAAAGAAAGTTGCTTAAAATTAAGGCTAAATCCAATGACATATCAGTTTGTTCTGCTTGACTTAAGATAACTAATATTAGATAATCTCATATCTAATACTAGGTGTGAAATGGCAGGATGCCAAAGTTCCCTGAAAACAAATTACATTGGTAAGATTCTTCCAAATGTATCTAATGCCTAGTTCATGATTTTAAAAACTTTGTGAGGTCCTACCACTATTACTTTGGAATATACCATGATAGGAATATAGATTTGGATGAATAAAAGATATCCCACATCAGTAAGAACAAAAGTAAAATATCTATCATGTATGTTATATATGTGTTGTGTGCATATCAGGAGCTACTTTAGGACAGCATATGAAGAACATATTTATGAGTGGATTGAACAAATACAATATATACAGACTTGCTGTGAAACCCACCATCAGATAGATCTTTAGTATTCTTTGTTTTTTTGAACGTTTATTTTTGAGAGACAGATAATGAGCAGGCCAGGGGCAGAGAGAAAGGAAGACACAGAATCTAAAGCAGGCTCCAGGCTCTGGGCTGTCAGCACAGAGCCTGACATGGGGCTTGAACCCACCAACCATGAGATCATGACTTGAGCCAAAGTCGGAGGCTTAACAGACTGAGCCACCCAGGCACCCCAGTATTCTTTATTATGGAATCTAAAGCAGTTTAAATTAATTGTTGAACAAAGAAATATGGAATGTCACTAAAATTTGGGAAGCATGGATATATCCAAATACTATTTTATGTTATTTGAATCATCTGACACTTAGCAAAATTATGCCTCTCAATACTGAATCAATTGGCCTTTTGTGCAAAATATGGCTCTATCAGTGTACATTTCACATGGAAACAAACTATACATCAACTCTTAATTCATGGTCCATTTGAATGAATTCATTGTTTCTTAAGTATAAATATATGTACGGCTTGATACAGGAGAAATATAGCTTCTGATATTACTTAACAGTATGTGAATATAGATAAGATATATACAAATGTAGACAAAACTTTGATAATTTATTCTATGGGATAAGCCCACTAATTAGTTTCTGTAATTTTTTTTTTTTAGTCATATCAGTTAGAATACAGGTGAGGGGGCTTGGGTAGTTGAGTCTTTTGAGCATCCCACTCTTGATTTCTGCTTAGGTCATGATTCCTGGGTTGTGGGACCGAGCTCTGAGTCAGGCTCTGTGCTAAGTGTGGAGCCTGCTTAAGATTCTCTCCCTCTCTCTCCCTGTCCTTCTGCCCCTCTTCCCTGCTCGCACTCTCTTTTTTCTCTCTCGCTCTCTTTCAAAAAAAAAAAAAAAAGAAAAGAATACAGGTGAAAAGGCAGAATAAAAATGTTTTGTTTAACATCTGGACAAAAAAAACTGAAAAAAAAAACAACAAAGGACTATTTCAGCAATACATGTTAAGGGTGAACTGGAGGTAATTATTTAACATTATGGAAAATGTCTTTGGCTTTAAATCTTGTTTAGTCCACTTTATTATTTTATCTTTTTTTTTTTAATTTTTTTTTCAACGTTTATTTATTTTTGGGACAGAGAGAGACAGAGCATGAACGGGGGAGGGGCAGAGAGAGAGGGAGACACAGAATCGGAAACAGGCTCCGGGCTCTGAGCCATCAGCCCAGAGCCCGACGCGGGGCTCGAACCCATGGACCGCGAGATTGTGACCTGGCTGAAGTCGGATGCTTAACCGACTGCGCCACCCAGGCGCCCCGATTATTTTATCTTTTAAAAAAATTTTTATTTTAGAGAAAGAGAGAGAGCATGACCAGGGGAGAGAGGTGGGGGAGCATGGGGGGAAAGGGAGGTGGGGAGAGAAGGAGAGAGAGAGTGAGGGAGAGAGGGAGGGAGGAGGGAAAGAGAGAGGGAGGGGGGAGGAGGGAAGGAGGGGGAGAGGGAGAGAGACAGAGAGAGAGAGAGAGAGAGAGAGAGAGACAGAGAGAGAGAATCTCAAGCAGGCTCTACGCTCAGCACAGAGCTTAACACGGGACTTGATCTCATGATCCTGGGATCATGACCTGAGCAGAAGTTAAGAGTCAGACACTCAACCAACTCAGCCACCAAGACACCATATTATTTTATTTTTTAAAGGAGGTTCTTCAATGCTGGCTATTCTCCACTCTACCGACAATGGCCTTCACTTCACCACCAAACTTCTTGAAAAGGTAGTCTATCCTAGCACTTCCCATTCCTGTCCATTCAATCACACCCTATCCCTTCTCACTGCTTACACTGTTCTTCCTCATGAGCCGCATTTCCCCAAGGCTTGGTTTCCAGCTGTCCTTTTTCTCTATACCTTCTTCCTTGCCAACTTAATGGGTTCAACTACCATCTGATGCATGTGGACTACTCACTCACATCTTCTCTACCAGGCTATTCTGGATACCACTACATGGTATCTCAACCTTAATATGGCTCAAACTCAATTAAAGTTGTCTTTTAAATCAGCTCCTTCTCCAGTGTTTCATTCCTTCTATGACATTCTCCTTCTCCTTGGCCTCCTCCAAGGTCTTAGGTAACTTATTCCTCTCCCTGATCACCTGATACAATTCTATCTCATTTTTGCCCTCCACCCCTACCATATTGGTCTCTCCTCTTCTGATGCTGCATCACCATCATAATCCAAATTAACAATCCACTTGTACCTTGCTTACACTACTGTGCTGGCTACTGTCACTCTGTCAAAGGTGAAAGCCTATAAGTCCCTACCCTAAAAGTTCAGGATATGAACCCACCTACCCCCTTGAACTTACTCCTATAAAGTCAACCCACATGTACCACTAGCAGTTCATGATTGTAGTGCTTTCTCTCATACCTTTGGTCATGTCCCTCCTCTGCAAGCTCCCTGCCCCAACTTTTGCCTGGATAGAATTTCTAGTCTTCCTTGAAGATTCTGTGCAGAATTTACCTCCTATGGGAAGTCTCCAGCTGTTCCTCCCAGCTGGAAAGTGGCGCCATTCTATTACAGCGTTACAACACTATTAAAGTATGGTATCTTTAAGGATAGGATGGTTGTCTTTCATCTAAGTATCTCTAATAAGTGAATGGATGGATTTAAAGGCCACCATGATATTACACCAACCCTATTTTCTTTTTCTCCTCTTTGCATGGCTTATGACCTAGTCAGAGCAAGCTCACTGTTCCTAGTATGTATTCCAAGAGTTCTGAATTCTGTCCTGCTGCTCTTCTCTCAACATTTCCCACACACTAACAGAGATGTTAGGTTAAGAGTATGGATTTCAGGGTACTAACCTAATCTAAATCCTCATTCTGACTATGAATAACCCTGTGACCTTGGTAAGTTGCTTTACTATGTGTCACTTCCCTCAACTAAGTAATTGAAAAGTAGGACCTAACTCATGAGACAATATGAGGAGGGTTAAATGTGATAATTATGTTGAAGTGGCTAATTTACTGTTCAGCTGAAAATGACCAGTCGAGTGGAATAACCAGGTGGAAGCCAGTTTTCACCATTGCTGGAGGCTTGGCTTCAGTGGTATCTCCTTTGTCAAGTTTGCTTGACATGTGCTTGAGACTGATAGTTACCTACTCAAAATCTATTCTTTCCTTCTGTTTTACTAATGGATGTCTCATCAGGTCAGGAATGAAAATGTGAGGAAAAACATTTCTCAGCCTTCCTTGGAAATAGGGGTGGCCTTGGGACACTGTTCTGGCCAATGACAATTAAGTAAATTTTTAGATGGAGCTTCTAGGAAAGTTCCCCAAAAGGGGGCAAACCAGCCAGCATATGTCTTTTGCCCTCTGCCCCTCTCCTTCTTATCTGGAATGTGGATGTAATGGCTCCCAGGTACTCCAGGAGTCACCTTGTGTGAATGAGGAAAAAGGGAGTGAAAAGTTAGGAGGCAGAGTTTCTGATGACACAGTGGGGTTGCTGAATAAGCCCGGGACTGCTTGTACTTAGAGTTCTTTTGGGGGGGGGGGGCAAAATAAAATAAACCTCTAAATCATTTAAGACACTATTTGGATTTTCTTCCACATATCTTGACTTGTGGTCTTTCTTCAGAGTATCTTGACTTCTACCTGACATGCCTCAGCTGAAAGTAACCTATTCCTTTTGGAATTTCTATAACACATCATGTGTACCTCTCATCAGTATAATCATCTTTTCTAGCAGACTGCCAATTTCATCAAGATAGACCCACATCAGATTTATCTTAGTTCAGGTACCATGTTAAGCACAGTGTCTTCATATAGGTAAACCTTAATATGTAAAAGCATTTTATAAACTGCAAAAAAATCATATACTCTTATTATCTGGTGACTGTATTAAAGACACACAGAGGCAGATGATAACATTATAAATTTTGATTAAGATACACCTATTCTCCTGAATTACCCAGTATATCATAGATATGGCATGATTTTTAAGATTTGATCACATTATATATAGATAAGTATATGAAGTTCTTGTTAAAACTAATTCACCACTAACCTGAAATGGTGGTATTCAATTAGACAGCTGTAGAAAACAAACATATTAGTCTGCAAAAGAATTTATTAAAAAATGTTTACGTTTCAGATTAAAATGCTGAAACTATGTATTACCATCCTAATAGCTCCGCCTTTCCCACGATTCTTCACCAGCGTGATCACTCGTACTTTGTCGCTTCCGTATTTCTGGCAATATTTAAAAGCTACCTGTCAAATTATATAAAAGTCAGAATAATATCAACTTGGATTCTAAGACAGTAAACCAGGTTTCTGAGTTTGGCTTAAATACTGCTATTTCCGTTACACTGTTCTTCTGACTAGATTATACACACTGTACATTTTAGTGGCCCAGAGTTGTTGAATTCCTTCAACCCACTAGGTTGAAGTCACAATTCACCTTTCTGCAGAGGCAACAACAGAAGAGGCAGTGGCTGTCTCTTATTTTGACTCCTTTATTTATGCTAATGAGCTGCTTGAGAAAATAAAACCCATGCGTTGATCGACTGGTACACACTTGTGATCCTCCCCCTGACCCTGCCGCTTACTGCTTAATGACTTACTTACGTGTCAGCAACTGATCTTACTCCCCACAGAAGTTGCTCATATCCTGGAATATTTCCCCCAAATCTTTTCACTCAACTGCCATTATTTTTTGATTTACAATCAAAGCCGTGAAACAGTGATCTGTATTTGCTACACACATCTCTTCATCACTCATTTAGTCATCAACCCATTGTAGTATGGTCCATGCCCTTTGCTTTTCCACATCGCCTTTCTATATTACCTATCTTCATCAACAGCCCTCCCCCTCATTTTTTTAAGTAAGCTCCATGCCCAATATGGGGCTTGAACTCATGACCCTGAGATCAAGAGTCACATGTTCTACCAACTGAGCCAGCCAGGTGCCCCAACACCTTCTCCTTTTGACCCTCATCTCCATAGAGAGTGTGAAGTTATTCTCATCTGCTGTTTGCCCTCCTGGCAGACCAACTTTTAGGGTTTTTTTTAGCAGCTTAGGAGCTATAGGTCTAAGAATGCAGGAATGAGAGAGGATAATACTCTAAGATACTTGTTACCTCCTGTGGGTAAATCCAGATAGAGGTATGCCAAAGGACATAGCTGATACCCACTGCCAGATATGAAGGCATCTTCCTATTTGCATGACTGCTTAGAAACTGTAAGGCAAGGTGGAGTATAAAGAAAAAAAAAAAATGATGCTTAGGAAAAAAGGAACCATATATTGGTAGGCAAAGAAGGGTCCCAGTGGCCAAGGTGAATTGTTGTTGTACATGTTTTCTCCCAATGTGATGATCTTCAAAGCTTCCCTGGTCTTATGGAGTAGTAGAACAGCAGGTTTATCTTCCAGCTTTCCATAGGTGAAACCTCTCTGCTTTTTTGACTACCCACACTGTAACAACAGAGAGTGCTGGCACAGCTTTAGCACTCTCTGATGACCAGAAATAAGACTTTACATTTGTTAAATTATTCTACATTTCTATCCACTGGCAATCCTAAAAGCAAGTTTACTTACCTTTGAAGTTTGGTCTTTGCTGCCATCATCAACTACTATCACCTCATACGTGAACGTGGGATCTTGCTTCTGCAAGAAGCAAAGATAAAATACCTCAATTTGGCATAAATGCCATCAAGAATTCTGATAAGATTGCAAAGAGTTTAAATAACAACTGTTTGGTTTTTTTTTCAGTCTTTGTTCCCTCTGGAGAATACATCCTTACTCTAAACCCAGTGGGGTTACATAAGTCAAAAATAAGCAAAAACAGACAACTGTCACAGCAGAGACTCCCAGAGATGCCCGTCACTCCTGCCTCATGCTGCATTTCTGCTATTTGCTGTTCCCAAGTACTGGCAGGGGCATCCTATGTAACATGTTGCTATTTGCAATGAATTTGCTTGGCTTTTGTTTGGCTGGGGAGGGAGGCAAGAATAGCTAAGAATCCTTACTAACTCATGGGTTTCTTCCTCACTTCTCGTGTCCTCTAACCCAAGATGCAAGCTCTTTCATTTCTTTCTCTAAGTTTACTTGAGTAGCTATTTCTCCCAATTTCCTGTAGGCTAGGAATATAAATCCCGGACATTTATTTAGTTTAACCAAATCCTACCACAATAAAATAGTTTACCTGTCCTTGAAGGTTATAAATAATAGTTGTTATAGAGTGATATGTAAGGGCACAAGTCACATAAAATAAAAAGTCCAAGAACCAAAAGGAAGAGAGATGCTGGGCAAGAGCAGAGAGCAAACACTGACTGAGTGTCCGTGAGTCCTGCTCTTGCCCTGGTCCCCCTGCACCAAACCGGTGGGAGCAGCCACGTGCTTGCTGTGCTGAGCACTTTGGAGACAGGCTACAACCTATGACCTTAGGCAAGTTACATTTTGGCCTGTTTTCCCATTTAAAAAAACAAAAAAGCAAAAAACAAACAAACAAAAAACCCCCACACCCAGTCTATGTGGTTGGTGTAAAGAACACATGTAATAGAAGAGGCAGAAGCCACACATTTAATAAGGGCTCCATTCTCTCCCTTTTTCCTTCTTTTTTTTTTTTTTTTTTTTAAGTAATCTCTACACCCAACATGGGGTTCAAACTCACAACTCCAAGAGCAAGATTTGCACACTTCACTGACTGAGCCAGCCAAGCGCCCCTCTCTCCTTCTTTTCTTTAAATTTAATTTTTCAACATGTCCTCCTCTCTTTCAATGAATCTTCTATGTTCCTTTTACAAAGAAAACATAAAACCAATGTAAATCAAAACAAGGAATTTTCTTAAAAAAAAAAAAAAAAAGAACCAGCCACAAAACCCATTTGTTTCCTTAAAGTCTCTAAGGAGATTCCAACAGCAGCTGATGCTATTAAACAAGGGCACGTATTACTTTTCTTCTCTTTATTCAGGGAAAGAAGAGAAAATAAATGAGGGGAACTCCTCTGCATAATAAAGAAAAACAAAAATAATTTCACTCTAATTATAAGCCTTTTTCAAATAAATGTCTTTTTAAAAAGTCACAAAAGTAAAAACAGCACTGTGCTGCCAGAGTCTGCAGATGTACTCAATTTTTTTATTTTTATTTTTTGGCTGCTTTATTTTTTATTTTTATTATTTTTTAAAATATATTGTAAAATTGGTTTCCATACAACACCCAGTGCTCATCGCAACAGGTGCCCTCCTCAGTGCCCATCACCCACTTCCCCTCTCCCCCACCCCCATCCACCCTCAGTTTGTTCTCAGTATTTAAGAGTCTCTTAGGGTTTGCCTCCCTCCCTCTCTGTTTGTAACTATTTTTTTTCCCCTCCCTTCCCCCATGGCCATCTGTTAAGTTTCTCAAGATCCACATTCAACTTTAAATGTACCATCAGGCAAGAAGATAAAAGCGGGTGGGAGGGTACATAAATAATGTCAGCTTTCCAGTTTGTTCTGGGTTCACCCACCTGCTGCTGGAGGCAGTGAGCCACGTGCCGGGCTTGCTCGCTGACAGCCCATGGCAGGCAACAAGCTGAGCACGGGAGGCCCTGTGACCTTGACGCCCCGGCCATGGCCAGCACTGCCTCTTACCGTCGGTCTAGCCAGGATCTACAAGTTGGTGATCTAGTCTGGTTTTAATTGGAGACATCATATTGAAAGAGAAAACATGATACCTGTCTCTCCTCTAGATAGCCCAGCGCTTCATCCATCATTACAGGCACTTAAAGAAAAAAATATATATATATATATATGAAAAATTGTTTTTGAAAATGATTTACCAAGCCTCAGAACACTCAGTTTACATATGGAAAAAGTCTGAAGAGTCTAATAGGCTCCTCTGGGACTTTCCTCCAGTGGCCGTTCCCATCTGGAAGGTCTGCTGTTCACATCTAGCTACTCTAGTCTCTAGAATACTTCAGTCCTACCACTTCTGATGCTGACCCTATCCTCTGCAGCTAGACTCGTTTCCCCTCTTCTGAACTACATCTACCAACTATGCACTCACCACAGCCCACATCTGTTAATGTTCTGGCAAAGACAATAAAGGTCATACTTTAAATTTCCTTTTCTTCCCAAATGACCAAAAAAATGAAATCGGGCTTACACCGTTTTTCTTCATTGTATGAAGGCACAACAACAGAGAGTTGCTTGGTAGGTGAGTCCCATATGCTGGGCAAAGTTTCCTTCTGTCCTCTGGCATTTAAGAAGAACTTCTCTTCTTCATATTGATGGAGATGTGGCATTTTTGTAGCAGTTATAAATGCAACAAAGGAAATCTAAAAGCAGGTATGTTAACAAGAAATTATGTTATGTTGACATTTTTTTTCGATTTGTTATATGAGAACACATCTTTACATAATTTTTTTTTGTTTGGTGGAATATTTACTCTCAGTTTTTAGTCCATTAACAATTGTCTAGAGATGAAAATTCAAATCCCTTACTTATGCACTGGTTATTTTCCTTTCTTCAACTGGTAAGGTACTAATAATGCCTTAGGGGGCTCTTTGTCTCTTCTGACCTGTCATCCCCAGGACTCCATTGTCCTAGATCTAATAGAGAACAGTCACTAGAAGTGCAATCTATGATGCCCTGAACCTCCAATCCCCCGGCAAGCACATAGTTAGGTCTGATTCCTACTTGGAGCCTGTATGTGACAGAAGGTAAGTTCACAGTACAGGCAGAATGTGTGGAATGAGGCCAGACCTCCCATCTAGGACCAAATCAAGCAAGGTTTTGAAGAAACGACCCCCCCACCCCCATGGTAGGGGCCAGTAATGCTTAAGAATATATTCTTGACACTTATCCTAGATTTGAATTCAGAATACATTATTTTTTGGGGTGCCTGGGTGGCTCAGTCGGTTGAGCATCCACCTTCGGCTCAGGTCATGATCTCACTGTTTGTGAGTTCAAGCCCCACATCAGACTCTCTGCTGACAGCTCAGAGCCTGAAGCCTGCTTCGAATTCTGTGTCTCCCTCTCTCTCTCTCTGCCCCTCCTCCACTCGCTTGCTCTCTCAAAAATGAACATTAAAAAATTTAAAAAAAAAGAATACATTGTTTTTTAAATAAAGTATCAAACTTGTAAGCTCTGTCACCATGCACTACTAACATTTTATAGCTCCCTTCCATTTTTATTTGGGAGTGAGCCCTGTAAATAACCATTCTTTGTAACACTGTTTCTACTGGTACACTTCCTGCTTTTATTTTTTTTTTAATTTTTTTTTCAACGTTTATTTATTTTTTGAGGGACAGAGAGAGACAGAGCATGAACGGGGGAGGGGCAGAGAGAGAGGGAGACACAGTATCAGAAACACGCTCCAGGCTCTGAGCCATCAGCCCAGAGCCTGACGCGGGGCTCGAACTCACGGACCGCGAGATCGTGACCTGGCTGAAGTCGGACGCCCAACCGACTGCGCCACCCAGGCGCCCCTACACTTCCTGCTTTTAAAGCAGTCAATCCACAAATATTTGGAATGCTACTCATTTTTAATGTGGTGACCATTTATAATATTCCATTGGGTACATAATGAAATTGAACTTGCTCTGATTAGTAGAGGCATGGAAGCAGTATCCCGACTAGTGGTTAAGAGTTCCTGTTCTGGGGGTGTCTGGGTGACTCAGTGGGTTAAGTGTCCGACTTCAGCTCACGTCATGATCTAATGGTTCTTGAGTTCCAGCCTTGCATCTGGCTGTCTGCTGTCATTACAGACCCCACTTTGGATCTTCTGTCCCCCCGCCCTTCCCCCGTTCCCCTATTCACATGCACACGCACTTTCTCCCTCTCCCTGATAAAAGAAAGTTCCTATTCTGCACCCCAGTGTCCAGAATGTGATTTCTAAATTCAATTTCCTAACAAAAGTAATCAATGCTCTCTGTAAGATGCCACAGAATCACCTCATTATTTTGAAAATTCTGCCTTTTGTCTTACCTTTTATAAGTGAAAGATATGTCAGAGTAACTGAATGGCTGAGAATGAATTTTTTTTTCATTATAGAATTCCAGGTAATACACGAAAAAGGAATGATAACAATTAGAATATTCCACCTTGCAACCCCCAGAGAAATAATGGATTTAGGTTGACAAACTTTATGATTGGTCGGTCAGGCTAACAAAATTGAACTCCTGGATCCTCTCAACATCAGAAAAAATTAGATATAACAAGCCTTCTGGTATGATACAAGAGGAAGTATTCAGCATCAATCACATGCCTTTTTTGATTAAAAACCTCAAACATGCATTTGATTACATATCTAAATATTACTACCAGTTTATAGGAAATCCAGGAGACAGAGTAAGATGTTAACAATCACCAAGGGGATGCAATCAGTATAATTCAGATTGTTGGAAACTCTACAGGACAAACGACTACTTATTAAAGACAAGGAAAAACAAAAACAAAAACGCAAGACAAATTGTTACAGATTAACATACTTGAGACATATCAGTTGAGTGCTAAGTGTATGTGAATGCTCAATGGAAAAGACTATACTAAAACATACATGAGGCATTTGAACAGATGGGATATTTGAAATCACTTAATAATGGTTAAAAATTTTAAACATCCATGATAACACGGGGCACCTGGGTGGCTCAGTCAGTTAAGCATCTGACTCTTGTTTTCAGCTCAGGTCATGATCTCATGGTTCCTGAGTTCAAGCCCCGCATCGAACTCTGCACTGTCAGTGGGGAGTCTGTTTGGGGTTCTCTCTCCCAGTCTTTCTCTCTGGCTCTCCCCTGCTTGTACTCTCTTTCTCAAAATAAATAAACTTAAAAAAAAAAACATGATAACTTTATTATGGTTGTATTTTAAAAAAGGGAATCTTGTCTTTAGAGATAAATGCTGGGGATTTACAGATACAGTGTTATGTCTTAGATTTGCTTCAAAATAATTCAGAAAAGAAGTGGGGTGAGGAAATGTCTGGAAGGTGGATATATATGAAACTAGTTTTTTTTTTTCTTTTATAATTTCCTGCTCTGGCATTTAAAAAAAAAAATGAAGTTCCACTAGCTGTGTGACATTTTCATATGTGAAATCTCTCAATCTCAATCTGTTTCCTCATCAAATAAAGCTAATGATAATAACATTTATGTCAGCATTGTTTTAAAGATCACAAGGGATGCCCCTGTTAACCACTGAATACAATACCCAACATATTATAAGTCCTCAATAAATGGTAGTTCGTATAATCACTTCAAGCCAGTGGGATCAAATACTTCCAGTATACCCTCATAATGGACTCATTTAACTCTGTGCAACAGACAGATTTAACAAGACGATTCAATCCCGGATTCTGTCAAAATTTGCCCCACTGAAACCCTGACTTGCTCCAAACCCCGAAAAAACCCAGAATCTCCACTATGGAAGAAAGAAGACCCCTTTCTCACTCAGACACAAATCACCGAAGTAGTCAGGACACATGGCTTTTTCTCTATTGTTTCTAAACCGTGAGTTTGCAAACCTAGCAAGGTGGAAGAATGGCCTTCCTAGCAGTGCTACCTAGAGGGCTAATATGAGTGTCAAGGAAGCTGAAACTTCCTTTTACTCCTGGAAGTGTACTGGAGTAAACTCCATTTACTAACTGGATGGCAGGTTCATTCCAAATTATATGAGGGAAAGGTCACTTGGCAAATTGACTATTAGTTATGGATCGGCAAGTGTTTATACAACGTTTCTGTTTCCACAATAAGAGCAAAGAAAACACGAGTTTGAATTCTATTGTATAGCCTCATTCCGAGGCAGCGAATTTAGGGTGTTCAATAATGGGACGTAACGACTCCCAGACACATGGTAACACCACGCCTGTGTGTCTTCGTCTTACTGTGTCCCTCCTGAGTCTTCTTGATCCACGAATTTATTCCAATCTGTAACAGATGGCTCTCGGCGGTGCGCTATCACCACTTTCTGTTTAACATCAGGAAAAGGGTGAGTCTAGAGAGCACACACCTCCTGGGGGCTCAAGACCTTCCTGGGTGGAGCCAGAACTGCAAAGGCTGCAGGCCCGGGGGTGGGGGTGGGGGGTCTTGGAGAGGTCGGGACAGATAAGACAGGTGGACAGAGGTCCAGGGACCAGGGGGCAAATGGAGACTGGTAAGCACGCCCCCCAGTGAATAAGCGTACAAGACTCCGGGCATAGAGGGAGGTAAAGCTGCAAAACAAAAATAAATACGGAAGAAAGGGTGTGTAGAATTCTAGGAGAAGGAATCCTCGGGTCAAGATTTGCGGGAAGCCTGGTGGGAAGGGACCCGGCGAAGAGTGGGCAATGCAGAGGAGATGCGTGCCGGCCGAGTCTCTAAGACAGCAGTGAGCCTGGGCCCGCGGCGATCCCCCATCCCTCTCCTCACCAGTATCAAGGCTGCGGCCGCCAGCGCCACGCCGAGCACCGCCAGCTGCAGCACCAGCGAAAGCATCCTCCATGCCCAGGTCGCCGCCCGCCCTACCAAGTACCTACACACACGCGGAAGAGCCTCGGAGCAGCCCCGCCTCCAGCCGGCAGAGGGGCCGCGCAGGCCTGGCGCCCGCCGCCCACAGCGCCCTCTCGCGGCAAAGCGAGGAGAAGAACATGTAGTTCTTGGGAGCCAGGGTCAGCTGTGGAGGCGGGCCCTCTGTTCCACAGTATGGTGGACAAAATCAGCAAGTAAAAATGCAGGATGTCCACTAACTTGAGTTTCAGATAAGCAATGAACATTTTTTTGTTTTTTTTTTTTACAGACTTGTTAAAATATAATTCGCACACCATACAACCCACCCATTAAAAAAATTTTCGGTATATTACACGAGTTTTTAAAAACTGATACAACATAGGGGCACCTGGGTGGCTCAGTCGGTTGAGCGTCCGACTTCGGCTCAGGTCATGATCTCCCGGTTTGTGAGTTCGAGCCCCACATCGGGCCCTGTGCTGACAGCTCAGAGCCTGGAGCCTGCTTCGGATTCTGTTTCTCACTCTTTCTCTGCCCCTCCCCTGCTCACACTCTGTCTCTCTCTGTCTCAAAAATAAAACATTAAAAATAATTAAAAAAAACTGATACAACATAAAATTTGTCATTTTAACGAATTTAAGTGTACACTAGTGTTACTAATTACATTCGCAATTTTCTGCATCCGTCACCGCCATCTATTTCTAAAACATTCTTTGCTCCCCCACAGCCCCTGGTAACAACTAATAGCATGTATTGTTTGGGGTATACACACTGTACGTTAGCCAATTTGACAGTAAATTATATTTAAGAAAAACATTTTCTCTTTGTTTATCTGACATTCCAATTTAATCGAATGTCTTGTACCCTGTCCGGCAACCCTACCTAGGAGGGAGGGAGAGGTTTTGAGCCGCAACACAAGCCACTCCTTTGGAGCCTGCTCCCGGGACCTGCAAAGTATAACCTGGTGCGGATAGTGAGTGCACAGAAAGTTTATGTAATTCTCCAGTAACTAGAGCCGGGAGCCCTTTGCTTGGGAGGGGGCAAGCCCAGGGCCCAGCCTAAGACGGAGGCGGGAAAAGGACACAGACACTCTGGAATAATGCTCCACTCTTAATACTCAATTCCTGGCAGTACGGTCGGTTTTCTCTTAAACTCTTGAACTACCAGACTGTTTCTAGAAAGATACACTCTCGTCTTCTCTGATGGCAGATTCGTCAAAACGCGTCCAAGGGAAAGAAGAAGCCTAGGGGCGTTGCCGGGACAGAGAAGGTCGAAGCAAGGTGGGCCGAGAACCGCCCGCGCCGCGCCAAGCCGGCTGCGTCTCAGGCAGCGGGACCAGAGCGCAGGCGTCCTTGTCGAAAGTTTGGAGGCGGTGTAGGCGAGCGGTCGCGAGGCGCGGCGTTGCTCTGCGCAGGCGCACGCGCGCGGGCGGGAAGATGGCGGCCGGGTTCAAGTGAGTGTCGGCGGCCCGCGGGCGCGTGTTTGTACCCTGGCGGATGGAGGCTTCCTTTAACCCTTCGCTGGGATTTTTCACCTGGAGGCCACCCTGCCATTTTCCCACTCCTTTTTCTAACGGAAGCAGGCGACGGGCGGAAGGACCTGGAGGTGGTCGTAGTGAAGGGAAAGCGGGCTTTCCCGCAGTGAGAGGGGAGATGGAAGGGACTGTGTACAGAGTTCAGTATCGGCTGCAAGCGCTTGTGTAGTGGACGCGCGGCCCCACCAGACACCGTCATAAATCTTTTAAAAAGTGTTGTATCAGAACCACATACCACCCTATTCTCCCTCTCCCTGATTGATTTCTAAAAGACTGTGCCTTCTTCGGAAGGTTTTACTTAAGCCTCTTTTGTGCCAGTCTGGTGAAGCCTGTAGATGGTCCTCAGAGTCAAGTTTTTAAATGGATAAGATATAGACGATTCCAAAGGAAAACAATTATGTTGACACAGTTTTCTTTCTATTTGTATAAACTCTGAGTTCTTGATAGAGTGATAAATATATGCTTTTCGAAATTAACTTTCTTAAACAAGATCTAGTGGGGAGTATAGTAACAACTGGAATTTCAAAGTAACGAGTTCGCGCACAACCTTCGACAACTCCAAAGTAAAACGAAAACATTTAATCTGTGGTTGTTAAAGTTGCAGGCACTAATATTTTAATGAAGGCATAATTCATTATTCATTTCATTATTGCCTAGTCATAATTGAAGAACATGCTAAATTTAGTTACAGGATAGTGCGAATACTTTTTTTTTCTTATGCTTCGGAGCGAAACTGACATTACTAATATTTTAACAACTGGATGTATTAAAGATGTTCAAAGGTTTTGGGCTCCAACCTGTGATTGTTTAAGGTAGAGTTAAGGACAGCAGTTGAGTGTGATTGCTACGGGAAGAGTCCTAGCTGGCAAAGTAAACATCAGAATTCATGAAAGAAACTTAGTTACAAACTGGGGAGATTTATGCTGCATGATCACATTAAGATCTTTGCCAGTTTCGGGATTTATGTTAAAATTCATTAATTTACCTCGATATATGATTCCATGTTTCAGAACTGTGGAACCCCTGGAGTATTACAGGAGATTTCTGGTGAGTAAAGGTGGTTTTGTACAGGTTGTATTGTATCTTTTGATAACAGTATCAGGTGCCTCTTTGGAAATTGACTTATGAATTAATGAGGCTTAATGTGTTTTCCCTGGTGTGTGTAAAATACAAATGTAGATGTAATCTTCTTTCATGTAAATGTGTTTATTTAGAAAGAGAACTGCCGTCCAGATGGAAGAGAACTTGGTGAATTCAGAACCACAACTGTGAACATAGGTGAGGTATTTTCAGTTCTCAGAATGAAATTGCTTCAGTATTTTTCTTTTTTTTTTTTATGCTAGTATTTTTATTTGTAAAGTTTTTTTTTTAAACTATCGTCTCAATTGATCTTTTTAAAATTTGAAGTTTTCCTTCCTTCAAAATCTCCAAGACATGGTTTTCTTTCTTTGTTAAAATGTTTATTTTTGAGACAGAGAGAGAGACAGAGTGTGAGCAGGGGAGGGGTAGAGGGAGAGGGAGACTCAGAATCTCAAGCAGGCTCCAGGCTGTCAGCACAGAGCCCAGTGTGGGGCTTGAACTCACCAACCACGAGATCATGACCTGAGCTGAAGTCCAGTGCTCAACCGACTGAGCCACTCAGGTGCCCTGTTTTCTTTTTTTTTTTCTCTTCTTTTTAATGTCGGAGAGAGAGAGTCAGGAGGGGCAGAGAGAGAGGGAGAGAGAGAACCCCAAGCAGACTCTGCCTTGTCAGGCGCTGTCAGCACAGAGCCAGATGTGGGGCTCAACATCTCATGAGATTGACCAGAGTGGAGACCAGGAATCTGATGCTTAACCTACTAAGCAACCCAGATGCCCCACAAGACATGGTTTTCTCGTATGTCTTATACTTACTAAACTTTCTGTTGCAAACACAGAATTTTCCAGTTTAACCTGTCTGACATTCCTAAATTTTAGTCAGAGCCATTTAAACAGTATTTCAGCCAAATTCTATATCTAAGGGAATCCTATTATTTTGTGTTAAGAGGTTTTTATCTGTACAACAGTTCTGTGACTGAACGAAATGGTTAACTCAAATTCAAGGACAGGTGAATAATTCCTAAAACAGTAATTTTATTTTTTTTTTTTTTTAAATTTTTTTTTTTCAATGTTTATTTATTTTTGGGACAGAGAGAGACAGAGCATGAACGGGGGAGGGGCAGTGAGAGAGGGAGACACAGAATCGGAAACAAGCTCCAGGCCCCGAGCCATCAGCCCAGAGCCTGACGCGGGGCTCGAACTCCCGGACCGCGAGATCGTGACCTGGCTGAAGTCGGACGCTTAACCGACTGCGCCACCCAGGCGCCCCTAAAACAGTAATTTTAAATAGTTACATTACTTAAAAAGGGCTTGAGGTATGAATACATTTTAATAAGAAACTGAGATACATAGCAAGAAAAATTATATGTAGAAAATGAACACTTTCTGTGAACTCTTTCATTTTGCTTATCTTTCCAGGTTCAATTAGTACTGCAGATGGTTCTGCTTTAGTGAAGCTGGGAAATACTACAGTAATTTGTGGAATTAAGGCGGTAGGTTTAATATATCTTACTGAGATTTGAATTACCAAATTAGCTTCATATACTTGTTAGATTGTAATTTACACTGATAATTCTGTTGATTAGGCAGTCAGCTGTCAGTTTTTTAGTATTTTTCATTTTCCAAGAGCTTTCACCTTTGATAATACTCAAAGTCTAATGACTTTTATGAACATTTGTCAGATGGACTGAAATGAAACTATTTTTTAAAATTTATTTTGAGAGAGAGGGAGAGAGAGAATGAGTGGGGGAGGGGCAGAGAGAGAGAGGGACAGACAGAATCCCAAGCAGGCTCTCTGCTGTGAGCACAGAGCCTGATGTGGGGCTTGAACCCATGAACCATGAGATCACGACCTGAGCTGAGATCAAGAGCCAGATGCTTAATCCACTGAGCCATGCAGGCACCTCTAAAATGAAACAATTTTTTAAATCCTCACTGCTTTTAAGTTTTTAAGAATTTGGTTGAGAAAGGGATTTTTGGTGACCTCCTGTTAGCCATTTAATCTGTGCAAATTGAAATTGCTCAAAAGAAAAGTTTGAGGGAGTAAGAGCTACTATTTACTGAGTAACTGTTGTGTTCCAGGCACCTTAAATTAGGTGCTTTATTACAAAATTACCAGTTTAATCATGAGAACAATCATTTGAGAACAATCATGAACAATCATAAATGATAAACAATCATTTATATGAGGTTCAGTGACTTGTCCAGGAACATAACTAGAGCTTAGATATAACTTCGACTCCAAAGCATGTATTTTTTCCAGTATACTGCACTGTTGAGTTTTTGGTTACTAAATGATTGGAAGAGGGTGGTGCAGAAACTCAATATGTATTTATAAAGAGCCCAGGTAATTTTATTATTATTATTGTTATTATTATTATTATTATTGAGCCCAGGTAATTTTGGTAGCACTAGAGTGTAGGCAGCTATGTCATCCTGCTTTTTTATCTTGTAGACTTAATGTGAGGATTGGCTCCAGTGTCCATGTAGCCTGATGACTCCCAAAGCATAGTAGATGCTCTTGTAGTTAACTAGCTAAGGTGGTCTTTGCTGAAGGGTTCTCCAAGTGATTGCTAAACTGTCTTCACAATTTGAGTAGCATCTTTCATAGGAAGTGTGTTTGCTTCTATAGGAATTTGCAGCACCACCAACAGATGCCCCTGATAAAGGATATGTTGGTAAGTTAAATGGTTTTGTAATTTTAATACAAATACTCTAACACATTTAATTCTGACCTTAATGCTAATGTTAAGTCCTAGTAGTTGAGCTGAAGAAAATTTATGATTCAAAAATACATAGAAATGAAGCAGACATTGCTGAAAAGTTTTCTGTATTGTTTAGAAGATAGCCTAGTAGCAAGATAGAGAATTCTGTAAAATTTTCAACTATGATCTGTTGTTTATATATTCAGATGTCAACCAAGAAAATAAAAATCTTAGGAGAGTTGCAATTACAAACGTTTATGTTTCCATAAAGATTCATTTATACCACTATGCAATGTTCTTCTTCCTTCGACCATCTGTTTTTTATGGTAGGAACCAACATTTTAAAAATGCAGGCAGCTGGGTAATGAGTAGAGTGCTATATACTGTTACAGATTGACGTATTTTGTTAAATATATTTTTCTGAAGGATTTAGGATGATTGAGGCCTTAATAGATGCTTTGTATTTTTTTGGTATTATTTGTGTGAGAAAGAAAGTTGGAAAATGTAAATTTTATTTTATCTAAGCCTAAGAATCTTAGACCAAAAACGAAATGATGTGTTACAGTGTTTTCCACTTGGCCAATCCTAGCTTTGACCACTGTCACCTTTGCAGTGGATTGATTAATGTCTTTAAGACTTCCATAAACCAGAGGTGAAGTTTAGTTCATAGCTGCAGTGTTTCTTTCAGTTCCTAATGTGGATCTACCACCTCTGTGTTCATCGAGATTTCGGTCTGGACCTCCTGGAGAAGAGGCCCAAGTGGCTAGCCAGTTCATTGCAGATGTCATTGAAAAGTAAGATCATTATAACATTTGACTGTCATTCATTTTCAGATAATTGTTGACCTTTAATTTATTGTACTTTATTATTAAATCAAGTTCACAGATAATTCAGAAAGAGGACTTATGCATTTCTCCAGGAAAGGTAAGATGAATAAAGAAGCTATGAGGTTTTATTAATTCTGAATTGTTTTTTGTGGGAAGAGAACAGGGGAATTAAAATAGTAGACCACAGGGGCCTCAGATATGAATGTCTTAAGCTGGAATTCAGCTTAAAAAAAATCAGGCTTACTCTGTAACATCTAAATAAACTATGTGGTTTATAAAAAAAAAAAATCGACTTAATTTATTACCTGATTGCGAGCTACTTTTTGAGCTGAGGTAACTTTTAACACATAATTAGTCCACTGTTTATTCCATATAGAGTATTAATATCTGATCAGCCAACGTGTTTAGGGTAAATCTACACTATAAATTTTAAGTCTGTTTAAAAGTTAGAACTAAGTTGAGTAGGATGTAGAGGCTTTTTGTATTTGTGGGAAAGTACATTTTGGGTTTCATTTGGAACTTTCAAAAGCATTTCCTTCATCTGCTAATTTGTTTCTGTAGCCCTTGATGGAAATGTAGATGTTGTTACCTGACAGCTTGATAGTTAAATGCCAGCTTTTACCAGACCTGTCTACTATGTTTGGTTACTGGTTGTGTACTTCGTAAAGTTTTTAAGTTTTTGAGCCTTGAAGGTTATCATGCTGGTCTACCCAAGGGTCCTGTGTGGTTTTAAGTTGTTCTAACCATTGGAAGGCTGTAATTTATACTCTGTAAACTCTGTTTTAGCTTTCTTGGGTTCTGTACTGTGATATCATTTGCCTGGACTATGATGGGAACATCTTGGATGCCTGTACATTTGCTTTGTTAGCAGCTTTAAAAAATGGTAAGCAACTTTAATAAAAGGGAATATTCCTTTTTATATATCAGGATATTCTGTTAAACATTATCAATAAACTTTAAAGGTTTTTTGTTAAAATTTAGTGATGTTTCTAAATTAAAAACCATGTTTATATCCACTAAATTTACCTTAATTATCCTAAGATAATTTTTTTAAAAAGAATATTTCTAGACAATTTAATGAGGGAAAAGTGAATTAACAAAGCATAGAAAGCTGTATTTATTAAACTACAGTGATTTACTTCACATATTTGCCTTTTCTAGTACAGCTACCAGAAGTTACTATAAATGAAGAAACTGCCTTAGCAGAAGTTAATCTAAAGAAGAAAAGTTATTTGAATATTAGAACTCATCCAGTTGCAACTTCTTTTGCTGTATTTGATGAGTAAGTTAATCAAATGTCTAAAAATATTGTGTATTCAAGGTAATTATGGACTGTTACTCAGCTTTCTAACTTTTCAGGAAGTGCCTAAGCTGACCATACATCCTAGTTTGCCTTGGACACCTAGATTTATAGCTGTTGTCCCTGCAGAATTATCAGCTAACACTTACACTTTCAGCTCTCCCTACCTGTTCCTTGATTTCCTTATTCCTGTGTAATTAACCTTCAATTATTTCACAGATTTACCTTAGGCTACCTTCTGTATTTACTACGGGTATTAAAGATTCTAACAAGTAGTAGAATATTAGGTTGCTATTAACTTTTCTGGTTTCCTAACAGTTCTTTCTGGTGTTTGTATTTGACATTAATACCTAAGCTAAAAGGCAAGTAGTGATTTTATTCTTTGCAAATGAAATTTGTTCCGTGGATTGATAATTTATACTTTTTTTTTTAAATAGCACTCTGCTCATAGTGGACCCTACTGGAGAGGAGGAACATCTGGCAACAGGAACCTTAACAGTAGTAATGGATGAGGAAGGCAAACTATGTTGTCTTCACAAACCAGGTATGTTCCTTCCATTCAGTCCTTTAATTTTTTTTTTTTTATGTTTATTTTTGAGAGACAGAGTGCAAGTGGAGGAGGGGTAGAGAGAGAGGGAAACACAGAATCCGAAGCAGGCTCCAGGCTCTGAGCTGTCGTCAGCACAGAGCCCCAATGTGGGGCGGGGCTCAAACTCATGAACCTTGAGATCATGACCTGAACTGAAGTTGGTTAAGGATGCTTAACCAACTGAGTCACCCAGGTGCTCCACGCCCCCCCCCCCATTCAGTCCTTTAACATGTAAAGTAAAAACTCAATGTGAGCTTCTTTGTAGTAGAGAGGGCCAAGTGGAATGTTTTGTTGTTTGCTAATACAAGTTACTGTGGTTTCTTGGTTATCTCAAATTCCTTACATTTCTATATATATGTCTACCATGGTTCTTAAGGTATGCATCAGAATCATTTGCAGGTCTTGTTAAAACAAAACCTCAAATCTTGAGACAGTCTCACTGGCTTGCATTATTGAATTTTTTGTTTTATAACATGATATTGATTTTTTATAAGTAAAACATCTTAAAAGTGTTGGCACAACAATTTTTCAGGTGGAAGTGGGCTGACTGGAGCTAAACTTCAGGACTGTATGAGCCGAGCAGTTACCAGACACAAAGAAGTAAAAAAGCTAATGGATGAAGTAATTAAGAGTATGAAACCCAAATAAACCACCACCACATTTTCAAAACGGATTTGTAAAAACTGTATTTGTTACACTGTGCACAAACCTTTTATACTAAATAAATATCAAACTACATTCTTCTGAAAGATGTTTCTAGTATTTCTTAGGTCACTTCCACGTGTATTATGTACAGTGAAACCATTTTGAAAAAGCAGTAACTTAGGCAAACCAACCCTAATGGTTCATTAAACCATCTCCCTGTTTTTACTTAAAAATGCTAGGGTTGTGCTTCTGTATAAAGTTTGTACATCTAGCAATGTAAAATACTGACATTAAAAAAAAACAAAACCAAAAAATGAAGTAGAAACTCAGAATCCTTTTGATTCAATGCTCTTAATGGTTTTAAAAAAGAAAAAAAGGCAAGACTCAGAATTTTGGAGTGGTTGGCGTGCCTCTCTTCATTTTACTTTTTGACTGGCTGCCTGTATGCCGATGACGATGTAGCTGAGCTGTTTGTGCTGCTGCTGCTGCCATAGCCATTTGATGCTGCAAGAATCGCAACTGCTGCAGAAGGGAGGGAGAAAAAAGTCAAGTTACGTTAAATGTAGGCAGGTATGGAAAGGTGCTTTTCCTGAGAGATGAAAACAACAAAACTGAAAGGGAGAAAGCACCAAGATAACGAAAAGGGACTATACCACACTGAGACAATGCACAGTCAAACAGCACCAGTGGCACAGAAGCCTGCTGAGGGCTTTAAAAATGGTTCTTGGTAAACTTTAAAAATATTTCTGTTACTTTGCCCCGCCAGTCTATATTGTAGTAACTCAGCAACTTCAGTTACACTATTTTGTTGTAGGATAGTTTACAGCAATATAAAACCACCCTGCAGATCAGAGAATCAACTATAATACGCTGACTTCCTACAATCCTGGAATAACATTTTCCTAAAACAGGTATGACATTTACTAACAGGAACACTGGTATACTTGCCTTTTTCTGCAGTACAGTATCAAAAAGTTAACCTTTGGCACTTAATAGATGTCTGTTTCAAAATCTACTGGAAACTACAAAATGTAGGTTATTGTGCCACCAGCACTTCATGAGAGATTTTAAATGAGGAAGAGTATGGCTTAAATGTACAAATTATGTTCCGTGCTCCAAGTTGACTAGCTAAAATGTCAGACTTTCAAGTAAAATTTGCTAAATTATTTATCTACTACCTTATAGTCTTAAAAGACAGTAAAATGAAACTAAAGGTATGTTAAGGTACTTTTGGAGCAGAGTATCTTTAAAAATGTAATCAGAGTGAAGTTGCTGGATTACTTGTATCTGTTGCTGCTGCTGTTGAAAGGCAGAGGAGAGCTGGAATCTCTGCTGAGGAAGGCTTTGCTCAGGTCTGTTCTCGGCAGAGCCAAGCTGAGACAACACTACAGAGAGGAGAAGGGGAAAGCAGGCCAGTCAAAAAGTTTGAAGGCTACCAGGGTTAGAAAAGGACAACACAGAAAATGAAATAATAGAAAAGTTATCAGTATGATTAATCTTAAGTATCAAATCACAGACATTTCAGAATAAATTTAGTATAGTCTCCTGTTAGTTGAGGGTACCACTGATTATAAAATCTGCTGGATATGAAAGGGAAGGGAGTGCCCACGTGACAAAGCACTGTATCCCTCTTAAATTTCAATGAAATTTGGTATTAGTGCTATTTTGTTGAGAAGGCTTTCTTGCAAAATGTAAAATACAGTATGTACTTTAAAATATAGTCAGTGAAGTAGGAAAAGGGGTGGGAGAAGTCCAATCTACTAGTCTGATGAAACTGGTGGACCAGTGCTTTAAACAAAAGATGCTGCAATGAGTTTAGACTACACTACTAACAATGGTGATTAACTGAGACGGCATTCATTATTCCATTTCTTTCCAAGCTGAGTGGGGCCAGAGTAATCAGTTCAACCCTCTCAATGTACAGATGAAATTCCAGGCCAAAATGTAATCAAAAGTAATCATTGGCAGGGCTAACGCTACAAACATTCCCATGATTTTTCAGCCTAGATTCTTTCCAATAATGTATACGACAGCCATTTTAGGAAATTTATAACTTGGGTAATAAAAGGTTTATGGTCACAAATTTCCATCTGGAAATTTACCAGCTGTAAATAGGACATTATGTAAGACCTTGCTTACTCTAAATTCAGACACTGGGAGTTGTATATAGATAGGACAGTGAGCCCAGTGACATTTCGAAATGTTGATGGTATGTTCATTTACTCAATACTCAAACTCTATCATAGGTTACTTACACATGTGGCTTCATGATTTTAATTAAATGCAAAGTTACAATTACTGTCTTTAAGTGACAAGATATTTTCATTAGAGGTAAATCTTTGGTTCACCATTTATTGCCAGAAGTGGTGAACAGTTATTTAGGATAATCTCAACTTTTTTTTTTTTAACTGATGGTAAAAGTGGCTTATAAAGTTATATCTGACCATTAAGTCTTAATTCACGCAATTGCAAACTACCAAAATGACTCAAAAGATTATGCAATCGAGAAAAATGCAGTCTCAATAAGAACTCAGAAGAACTGAAGACTTAATAGCTTTGGTAGCTTCCTAGTAAGTTGGGTAACTGTATAAAATTCTGCTAACAAACTGTAATGTGAGTAAAACACAACTGCTATTAATGTATGTTGGTAAAAATACTTTTAATCAACTGTCAAATTAAAAAAAACTCAGACGGCTATCAATTGACTTAATAGTTCATGCATTAAATAGAATATATTTTTTCCCCAGTCACTGCTTGTAACAGAAGGAAAATTAAAATACTGAGTGAGATCCCTAAGTGATCAGTTATTTTTAGTAAAGTCAACATATGAAGGTATGAAGATACCAACCAGCTGCCTGTGACTGCATGAAACTTCCTACTCCAGCAAGGTTAATAACAGCAGCGTGCTGAGCAGATAAGGCCTGTTCTTGACTGGTAGAACCTTGTTCAGAACCCTGAATTAAAAAATGATACATGACTTGTACAGAAAGAAAAACAATTTGAATCAGTGAAAAATTTTTTTTCTTGTATGAGGAAAAATACCAACATTAAGACTACATCTTGTAAAAAGAGTAACAAAAAAATATTTCAAACATATTTAGAATTAGCAAGAATAAAGATGTGCTATTTCTTTTTAATTTTCAAATAAGCTCTATGCCCAATATGGGGCATGACATCATGACCCAAAGATCAAGAGTCACATGCTGTCTTATTACTGGCACTCCAGTATGTCGTCATATTTTGAAAGCAAAAAAAAACCAATCTAATTTCCCAGAATTCATTCTTTATTGGTTTGTTTGATGCTGTATTAATAATTCCTAAGCTTTCTATAAAGCTTCATCAAAACTATTTTTTAAAGCTTAAAACTCTTTGCAATGTAGTTCTAGAATTTCTTTCTTTCCTTTTTTTTTTAAGTACCAGAATTTCTAATGATCACAATGAAAAAAGGAAATAAAGAGACAAAAAAAGAAAACTGTCTTTATTTGCAAATGGAATGACTATCTAAAAGGAAAATCATAAAGAATCTACAAAAAAACTCCTAAAACTAATAAATGAGTTAGTTCAGTAAGATTTCAGAATATAAGATCAACATACAAAAATAAATTTTATATACTATTAGTGAACATGTGGAAACCTGAAATTTAAAGAAGTACCTACCATTTATAACTCAAAAAAAGAAAAACAAAAACCCACTTTGGTATAAATCTGCAAAACATATATAGGACTTATATGCTGAAAGGTAGCTGATTCTGGCTTAGGTAGAGACAGTTCCGTGTTCATGGACTAGAAAATTCACACAGTAAAGATGGTAAAGTCACTCTCGAACTGACGTATGGGTTTAAATTCAATTTCTTTAAAAATCCCATTTTTCCTCCCCTGCCCCCCCGCCCCTTATCTATAGACAGGATGATTCTAAAATTTGTACGTAGGGGCGTCTGGGTGGCTCAGTCGGTTAAGCGTCTGACTTCGGCTCAGGTCATGATCTCGCAGTCCATGAGTTCGAGCCCTGCGCTCAGAGCCTGGAGCCTGTTTCAGATTCTGTGTCTCCCTCTCTCTCTGACCCTCCCCCGTTCATGCTCTGTCTCTCTCTGTCTCAAAAATAAATAAACGTTAAAAAAAAAAATTTTTTTTTTTAAATAAAATTTGTACGTAAAGGCAAAAGATCTGGAATAGCTAAGCAATTTTGAAAAACAAAACAGGAGGAAAATCTTTGCCTGATTTTAAGATTTCCCATATAGCTTACACAGATCAAGACAGTGTGGTACCAGCACAGGGACAGAAACATAGATAAGTGGAAAAGAATAGAGAACACAAAGAGCCATGCAAATACATCTTTACAAAGGTGCAAAAGTAATTAAACCTATGAAGATGGCATTTTCAACAAACAGTGCTGTAGAAATTGGACAATGTTCCCTCTTTGCCCCCTACCAATGTGGACCTAAGTCTTATACCTGACACAAAAATTGACTGGAAATGGATCGCAGATTTAAATGAAAAGTTATAAAGGTGTTAGAAGACAACTCAGGAGAAAATCTTTGGGGTCTAGGGTGGGGTGAGGCATTCCTAGACATAATACATAAAGCATAGTCTATAAAAGAAATAAACTGATAACTCAAACATCACCAAAACTAAAAACTTTTGTTCTGAAAGACTTTGGTACCACCAAAAATAGTGTCTGAAATAACATTTTAGTAAACAACATTAATTCAAACATTTCAAAAACGTTGTAAGACATTTATCTTCAAGGGACTTCCCTAGATACTGCACAGAAGAGCACAGAACTGACAGAAGAGGACCCTCTTGAACTTGGAACTCTGCTCATGAAATGAATAGGAATAAGAAAAACAGATTACATTACTTCTATAACAAATCTATCCTAAAACAAAGGAAAACTCCCCAAATATAACTCCCCAAAACTTCCACCCAACTAGCACAACTTCTAAAAACACCCTACAGTGTTAAACAGAACTGTAAGACAAAAACCACAAGATCATCAAGAAAAACTCAAAAAACTTGAGAGAACTGAAAAATACATGTTTTTGCAACACAATGGAATTAAAATAGGAAGCAATTACAGAAAGTTATCTGGAAAATTCTCAAATATGTGGAAATCAAATTGCACACATCTAAACAACCCATGGACTTAACAAAGAATTCATGAGGGACATTAGAGAATACTCTCTGATGAATGAAAATGAAAGCACATACATCAAAATTTCTGGAAAGCAGCTCAAACACTACTGGAGAAAGAAATTTATAACACTGTTTATTTTAGAAAAGAAAGGCTGCAACTCAATAATCTAAGCTCCTACCTTAAGAAACTAGGAAAAAAAAGGAGCAAATTAAAACTACAATGCAGGAAATTATTCCAGAAATAAAGACCTGAAGACACACATTAAAAGGGCCCATAGGAAAGGATGGAAAGATAAATTCTGACAGTTTCAGACTTTAAACATAAAAACAAATTTTCAGGGTTTCTAGGCAATATTCTGCAGTTAACTTACAACAAACAGCAAGGTAATTGTAACTAGTGCCAGACTTTCCAAAAACCTACAAAGTAAGTGAACAGTGGGCAGCATTTTCAACAAATTAAAACTATAGAACTCTCAGAAGAAAACTTAAAAGCTTCACAACACTTGATCTGGCAAAGATTTCAATATGACATACCAAAAGCACAAGCAGCAAAAGTAAAAATAGGTAAGTGGGGACTACATCAAAATTAAACACTTCTGGGCATCAAAAGACAATCAAAAGAGTGAAAAAGCGACCCATGGAGTAGAAGAAAGTATGTGCAAATTATATACTTGATAAAGGATTAATAAGAATTTCTGTAACTCACGAACAACAAAACCCCCAAAAAACCTGATTTAAAAAATGGGCGAAAGGAGCTGAGTAAACATTTCTCCAAAGAAGATATATAAATGATGAGAGCAATACATGAAAAGATGTTCAACAACACTAATCATTAGGGAAACACAAACCACAAGGAGAGATTACCTCACATCTATTAGGATGGCTACTATTTTAAAAAAGCCCAGAAAATAACAAGTGTTGAAACCTGTTAGAATGTGGAGAAACAAACTTTGTGCACTGCTGTGGAGAATATAAAATCGTATAGCCTTATGGAAAACAGTGTGCAGGTCCCTCAAAAATTAAAAATCCTACTCCTGGGGATTATCCACAAGAACTGAAAGCAAGGACTTGAAGAGCTATTTGTACACCCATGTTCACAGCAGTATTTATCACCACCAAATGATGGAAGCAATTCATGTGTCCACTGACAGATGGAAGAAACAAAATGTGTGTGTGGGTGTGTACAGATATCTCGAGATCTATGGAATATCCACAATGGAATTCCACAATGGAATATTATTCAGCCTTAAAAAGTACAGAAATTTTGACACACTAAAACACGGATGAACCTGGAGGACATGACAGTAGTGAAATAAGCCAGTCACCGAAAGACAAATACTGTCTACAGCAGTCAAACACGGAGAAAAAGAAAGTAGTTGTCAGGACTCGGGAAGGGAATTAGGGAATTATTGTCTAATGGACACAGAGGTTCAGTTTTGCAAGATGAAAATGCTCTGGAGACTGGTGCGTGACAATATAAGTATACTTAACACTACTTAAGATGTGCATTTAAAATGACTGAAAACAGCAAATTATGTATTACGTGTATTTTATCACAATTAAAAAACAAATGCAAATCAATTTTTCTATCCAGCCAAGTAATCCTTCATGAGTTAAAGAATAAAGAAAAATTGTTTTGAATGTGCCCTTCCTGAGAGTCTATTAGAGGATGAGCATTTTACCCAACCAAGACTTGACTGGGGAATCTTTGTGCACTAAGAGAAAACTCTGGGGCGGTAGGACCCCAAAATCAGTATTTTTAGTTCCCAGATCATTCCAAAGTATAGCAAAGGTTCAGAAAAATATGTAGTTTCTCCTAATTTAACTTACTGCAGCTATTATTCAATCTCATTCTGTTTAACAACATATAAATATTTATTTGTGTGTCTCTTCCCTCTGCCCTAAGCTTCATAACAATAGGGACATCTCTATTCCAACAGAGACAAAAAATACTATACACAGAAGATTGATGACTGGCAAAAGTGCATGGGCAATAGGAGCAGAAAGAGGATTTGAAATAGGCACCCAGTAACTCATCACTAGTACTGCTAATAAAGAAAAGCAGAATAAGAACTGTTTGTTTGAACAAACTAAAAGCACATCAAATATGCCTGAAATATACCAAAAAAAAAAAAAAAAAAGTTGGCAGTTCTGTAAGACAAAGCCAATGGAGGGCTAGGAAGTACATACCTGCTCTCCTGGCTGCTGAGGACTGGAAGTGGTGGGCTGCTGAGGCTGCTGTGGCGTAAACTGAGAAAGCTGCTGTTGCTGCTGCTGCAGAGTGTTAAAAATGAGTGAACCACCTGGAAGCTATTAAAGAAGAGCTAATTAGCTGATTTCATATTATTTAAATTTCTTTATTCCATACATACTTTTGGAACATTCACTGTGTATCAAGGCATTTTTCTCTGGATTGAAGAAAACAGGTGAACAAAAACCAAACCAAACCAAACCAAACCAAACCAAACCAATATCCCTGCCTTTAAAGAAAATCTAAAAACAATTTCTAAGTGCTACAGCTTTGGGCTCTCAAATATGTAAGTAATCTCAAACATGTATTTATCTGCTTCAGGTTAATAGTTAGCTATCCAAATATACATTGAACTCTTCTTACACATCAATATAAAACAGCATCAAATGACTACAAAGTATAAAGGAAACTAGTGATGATCAGAGACACACATTAAGAAAACTTCTTTAATTTGTTCTAGCTTTATGAAAACCCAGCATGCATGGATTCTTATGTAACACAGTAAGGAATTTCAAAGCTGCAAAGGAAGTGCATTAGATACCCATATTTTTAGTTTGGAGGTACTACTCGCTGCTGTCATTACATTATCTAAAATACTCCAAAAAACAAACCAAACCAAACACCCCAAAGCACTTGTTAAAGCACCCAGAAAACTCCATGTTAAAAATTAAAACTATGGTTTCCAAATGCATCAGGAAACAAATAGTTTTTCCATTTATTCTATAGGGGTTTAAGTTATAGTAGTCCCCGTTTATGCATGGTTTTGCTTTCCCCGGTTTTAGTTACTACAGTCAACTGTAGTCCACAAGCCGATGAGCCTCTGGATATGGTCAGGTCAAAAGTGGCCTAATGCTTTGTCACAATGCCTACGTCATTCGCCTCCCTTCATCTCATCACATAGGCATTTTATCATCTCACATCACAAGAAGGGTGAGTACAGTACAATAAAATATTTTGAGAGAGGAACCATATTTACATAACTAATAGTACGCTGTACTATTGTAACTGTTCTATTAGTTACTGTTAATCTCTTACTGTGTCTAATTCATAAATTAAACTTCACTGTAGGAACTGTTAAAATAAAGGGAAGCCTAACTAGAGTTAGGAGGCTCAATGTCATTTATAGGAAGATTGTCAATTATAAGACCCCAACAAAAGAATCCTCAACAGGAAAGAATTATCAGTGACAGTTACTGGGATGCATACTACATCTCCTACAAGAAATCAACCACCCTGAAACTCATCCAATGAGAAGCTGTCATTACCCTGAACTTTTCTCATTTGGACTTCATTCAAAACAACCCTTTCCAACTTCCTCCTCCATCATAAAATAACATTCCTCTCCTTCATCTGTTGAACTTGCCTATGGTTTTGTCATAGCTTGCTTGGCCCAAATAGCAATTTTCTGTTATTTCCAAATAAACCCATTTTGTTGGTAAAATACCTGACAGTTTTATCTTTAAGGTTAACAGTACGATGTATTAGAAAAAACAATATATACAGGGTTTTGGTACTATCCATGTTTTAGGGATCTACTGGGGGTCTTGAAACATTATCTCCTGTGGATAATGAGGGACTACTGTGTAAGCACACTGAAGTCCTTATAAGAAAGTCTGAGCAAATAAATACCCAACTATAGAACTGTTAGATCTGCATAGTCAAAAAAAAAAAAAAAAATGTGTAAGTCAAAATCTCTAAACCCAGTACAGCTCATCGTTAGACAAATTTGGAAATTTGAACATAGCCTAAGCCAACTGTTCCTTCCTATGTCAGGTAATAAATGTAGCAAAACATAATTAACGTATAAAGTGGCCTTGTTCCTTATTATTAGTGCTATTAAGGAATATGCAGGCAGGAACACTGGCTAAATAAACCAATGTGATTACATTCTGTAAATACACTGTCTGCATCTTGTGTAAGAAATATTTTTTTAAGTTTTGGCTTAAAATACATTTCCTGATTTGTTTCTTATTCCTGAATACCAGGTTGGGTTGATTTGTCTGGTTCTCTTATTTCCCAATAATCCAAAACTCCGCCATTTTGTGTCTAGACATTTAGAATCTAAATCTAAAATTCTCTGTAGATAATCCTATTGATTTTCCAACCTGGTAGCTTTATATTGGACTTCATCCTTCAAGTACTTAGCGTAACACCCAGAATATTCTAAGTTCACAACGTGTACTAAATTCTCCACTTTCAATATCTATATGTTGACACTGACAACATGTAAGTAACGCCTCATCATTAGACACAAACTAATCTGACACACATTTATTGAATGACTATTAAGTGCCTGGCACTGTGCTAAACAATCATATTCTACTTAGGAAAGAACAAATAGCTATTTTAAAATCTCTCTTCAAACAAACAGTCATACATACAATGTACACATAAAATGTCTGTTGAGAGAGGAATTATTTTCTAAGTATATTGATTACTGCTATTGTAGGCAAGTGTAGTCCTTGGTAGTTGACTAGGCAGGGTGCTGGAACCAGTGAGCAGGGTATACAGGATACAGATTCTTTCTCCTTACACACTTTCCATGTGATCATACAAAAAGAGCAACAATTAACCACACCCTTAGAAGATTTCAAACGGACTTCAAAATTTCAAATGCTCATATGATCAGACATACATCATTAAAAAAGATATAAAGTATACAAGCTTCAATCAAAAAGTGTTTCACATTTACCTGGAGTAGATTTAAGGGCCTGAGATTTGAAGTATTTTTTAAACCAAATGGAACACCTGTTAAATGAAACTCATGGTTAGAACAGGGAATTAAAATTTTATTACACTTCAAAATATTTTAGATGTTAGTGTATAGGAATATAACATTTTAAGTACTTTCTGCATAGATGTGGTTATTTTTTCTATAGTTTCAAAATATGTCAGAAAGCAACAAAAAAATTCATCACTATGGAGCACCACATGTACATTTTATAGGCATAACTCTGAGATATTGGGGGTTCAATTCCAGACCACTGCAGTAGTCTGGAAGGAAAACTGCAATAGCAAATATTGCATTAGATCAAGTTAAATGAATTTTCTGATTTCCCAGAGAATATAAGTTATGTTGATATTATAGTCTATTAAGTGGGCAACAGCATTGTGTCTAAAAACACAAGGTGCAAACCTCAATTAAAATATTTTGCGAAAAATATATCAGCCAAGCTTTCAATGAGTCATATTGATGGCAGATGACTGTAACAAATGCAATTAATAATGAAAAGACTTGAAATATTTCAAGAATTACCAAAATGTGACCAAGAGGTATGAAATGAACAAATGCTGTTGGAAAAATGGCATCAACAGCTTTGCTTAATGCAGGGTTGCCACAAACCTTCAATTTGTAAAAGAAAATGCAGTATCTGCAAAATGCAATAAAGCGAGGCATTTCTGTAGTCTATCGTTTCACAAATGATAACTTCCTTATTACTGTTTTGAGTTTTGGCTGGAGAAAGTAGTAACTATTGCGTAATAAAACTATCACTGTTACAGAAAAACATTTCAGGTATTGACATATATTTAAATCCTTTCATGCTAAGTATCGTATATACAGTAATAATCCTATCTTTGAGAACCCAAATGCTATTTTTTTTCAAGTATAAATGGTAATATTAATAAGGTTAAAGAACACTGAATTTTGTGTATAAGGCTCAAAACTGAAAGTCAGGAAACAATGTTCTGCTATTCTGAATTTATTCTCAAAAATCTGTGAGGCAACACAGAGCAGATTATAAAGCAGGGATTGGCAAACTTTTTCAGTAGGCTTTGTGGGCCACATATGCTCTCAAAGTATGTGTACATTCTGCTAACAAAATATACCAAATTGAACACTCATTAAAATGTATCTAGTCCTCTAAAGCAGACAATTGCATTAAAAAAAGACATGAGGCAGGACATTCACAGGCAATAGTATCAAAGCCTTGAATAAGAAAATGAAGGTGCATAATCACTCTAAAATATTACAGTATTGATATACTATAGATTCTCATGAAAAGATAAGACATAACTTCTTTTAAAAATGGATCACCTCTGTATAATGCTTAATAGCTTACCAAAGGCACTTTCAGATCACTTCATTAATTTCTCTTAAGTACCATCTGAAGTTAGATATTTTTACTCCCATTTTAGAGCAATGAAACTGAGGGAGACAAGTGACTTCAGGCCCCATGGTTAACATCTGGAGCCACGTGTAACTAATTGGTAGAAGTATATGTAAATATAAACGTCCTAATTTCAACATTTGATTCCATTTCCAGGGCTTTTGCCACTAAAGAAACATTTACGAACATTAAAATGAAATCACCAGCTAGAATTAGGAAATCAGAGCAGTATGTGTCACCTTGTTTATATTCTTTGGGTTTGACTTCTCAACTCAGAATAAAATTTTCTTAAGTTTGTTTTTCCTGCTAAATTTTTTGTCAGCAGTAAGAAACTGGATTGTTCCAAGATACTACAACATGTTCTTTTAAACAGCACTAAAAATTAGTACTTGGGACACCTGGGTGGCTCAGTTGAGCGTCCTACTTTGGCTCAGGTCATGATCTCATGGTTCATGAGTTTGAGCCCCGCCTCGGGCTCACTGCTGTCAGCGCAGAGCCACCTTTGGATACTGCCCACCCCTTCTCCCCTCACCCCTCCCCAACTTGCACCCCTGCACGTTCTCTCCCTCTCAAAATTAAATAATTTCAAAATTAAAAAAAAATACTGTAAGTCATTACAACTGTTTCCCAGGACATTTAATAGCAATAACTACTGCTGAAATAAAACTATTACTAAGTATGATGAGAACAAAAAATATTTTTGAATGCTTATGTGTTTCAGGCAGTTTAAGTCCATCATCTGTATCGACTCATTTAATCTTCACAAGTCTGAGGCAAGGCATTAATAATTATTCCCCATTTTATTAAGAAGGAAAGTGAGGTGACTTTCCCATGATTACACTGTTAGTAAACTGCACAACTGCAATTCAAACTCAGGCAGTCTGGCTCCAGAAGCTGGGCTTTTTATTGCCATTCCCTGTTGCCTTTCTCACGCAACCTAGTTTGCAAAATGTATTTCTTTTACCTGGAATAGGACTACACTGACAATAAGGCAACCAGTTAATTTATTATGTTTGGAAGGCAGATCGAGTTTGTAGAAACTTACCATGTTTTTCACAGAATTGTTAAATGGTTTTTAATTCAAATATCAGAACTTCAAGGGCTTTTAAAATGAAATATCTGCGACATAATGCTTCAAGAAATAAGCACATTAAGTGTATACAATATGCTTATAATGACATTTTTATATTAGCATATACTTTAATTTTTTTAGAGGTTATTATTTCCAATATTCTGACCTGCTTGAGAAGCTGCCTGCATTGGACCGGGCAATGCATTTGGTAGCAGACCTCCTGAGGGTAGAAGGCCACTCAGGTTTATTCCTGCAGGAGTTATGGCACCAGTGTTACAGCCCAGCATAGGGTTTGAACCACTCATCAAAGCCTGGGCTCCACTGTGGGAGAATAAGACAAAGCATTAAACTTGCACTACAAAAGAAAAACTCAACTACACAGTAATTCTTTGGATTAAAAAACAAACTACTAAACAAACACAAGTAGCTACTTCTGGTCTTAAACATCAGCTTTGGGGCTCAGTTTCATTTTTATGGTAGACAGTGACAGTAAGATTATCTAAAAACTAAGCACCGTATATTTACCAAGGTTTAAGATATAATTTGGAAGAGTAAAACATTAATTAAGGGATTAAAAGGTGGTAACACTGAGAATAAACAGGATAATCTATGCTGCGGTCAATACGAAGTAGTATCATGTTAGTGCACTAATACATGCATTACCTAAAATAAAAACATTCTTGTTGAGATAGCTTCTACTCAAATCTAAACTGTTTTTCAGTTACAGATATATGCAACTTGTTATTAATTTCACAAGAATTTATTTAGATCAGTGACAGTATCTTTAAAAAAAAATTCAGAGCATCAGTGCAAACTTACCAAACAGAGCCCACTACATTGATGAAGTTAAGTCCAGCAGAGTTTGCCATGACCTGGGTGGCCGTGGTTCCTGTAGTTATGGATGTTACCATGGTGGAAAGAGGAATGGTCGTTACAGGCATTGCCTGGCTCAGAGACCTTTGCTGCTGAGCAAACTGAGTTAACAAAGTGGGCTGAGGGGTGAAGCCTGAATCTTGGGGAGTAGGGGTGGCTGAAGGGGTAATAGGAGTTGAGCTCTGAGCATCAGGAGGGTGTGGGGTCGATGAAGGGGTTGGTGTAGGAGTAGATGGCTTAGGAGTTCCAGATCCTGCTCATTGAGAAAAATAAAAATTGCTAGTTTGTTATAAATGGCCAGTCCTTTTTTAAAATAAGGTTAATGGAATCTTACTTAGCACTGACAATTTGTTCCAGTTTTTTTTAAGCAGTTAACTGCAAGTGTTAATTTCTACACATGATACATGAGTGTTGCTACACTCAATTACAATTAAGGATGCAGTATATCACCTAGCAATTCCATCAAAGATGCTATTACAGTAACAGTAAAAATATACATTTGTATTCTACCACAATACCCATTTGAAAGTTAATTTCCTACATGCTACCTTTGGCCTAAAAAGTTTAAGGGGAATTCAAATTATTTTTTGTTATTTACGATTTCACTAATTTAGAACTTCATTTTAAAAATATTGCTTATTTTCTGTAACAGTCTGAGATAAACTCTGAACATATTTAATAAATTACATATGGTTAACAATCATATTTGGCACCTAAATATACATGTTTAATTCCTAACACATCAAGTTTATCCTGACAAACAAATTTACAAAACACAGTTATAAAAGCAAATATTTGATAGATAATACTGCATCTTTAACAGTAACTGTGTACTTCTGTTTAAATGTAAGAATGTATAGAAAATCTGTTGTGAATGAAGTATGCACAGTTTATCAACTTTTTAAAAAAAAACAAAAACAAAAAACAAAAACCAAAAAAATAAAACCAAAAGCTCTTGAGGTGTTTTCTTTTTTAGCTTTCATGTCCTGCAGAAAGAAAGGAAAGAAATGTGAATGTCCAGAAGCTGTCACTCAACCCTTACTTAAAGTAACAACTGTGTGCAGTAGATTAACATAATCCATACCCACAACATAAGAAGTGTGAATAAGACTTCCAGGAAATTTATAAATTTTTCTTTGTGCAAAACAAGAAGGCAGAAAAATTACACCTTTTGAGCTATCAAGATGAAGATGTTTATATCTAAGGCAAAGACTACCCTATCACTGTGCAGTGTATTAAAACTTTCAGCACACTTTAGTTATCTACAAAAAAATCTAAAAAACTGGAATGCTTTTTTGCAAATTGGTACCTAAATATCTCAGAAATCTCTAATATGAAGAAATTCTCCCAACTGAATGCTAGAATTCTTGCATAATTCTTGATGTTAAAAAAAAAAGTATTCAGTAGTAAAAATTACATTTTAATATTTTCAGAATGCTTTATGATCATTACCACATTTTAGTAACTGATTACAATTTTTAAGAGTGTAGGAGTGTTTTTGAAAAATCGGTTTTCAGTTTATTTTATCACCACCTTGGAACTAGTTGGTTTTTTACATATACAAAGATAGGACTGCAGCAACAACTCTTATGACATTTTTTTCCATATCAGCTACATAGTTTACATAAAATGTAACATGATCCTAGGGTACACTGGAATAAAAAATATTTTGGAATCTTATTGCCACATTTAACAGATTTTTTTTAAGGAGATGTGTAGGTTGCAACTCTGTAAGGTATACACACAGTGCATACATAGATACAGAAAAACAAATACAATTACAATAAACACATAATACATACAATCAACAAGAAATCTGCCTGAAGCTTCTAAAAACTTATACATTTTGGGTACATAGTACATTCAGATTTCAGTATTTTACTGGTCAAAAAAAAATAACTTTTAAGAAACGCTAATGCAAAAAGCTAATGAAGTATTTAAGTTATAACTCACTTTGTGATGAACTGGCAGGTGACAAGGCAGCTGGAGAAAGCATGCTGACTTGATTGAGATCCACAGATGACTTCCGAGAAAGACTTGGTGGCTTGGAAGCAGGAGGAGGAGTTGGAGATTTAAGAAAGCTGCTGGCCTGTTGCGGTGTAAAATAGTTACCTAGAAGAATACAAAAGTTATTTTCCACACTTATAATTCAAAATTCTGTGCGTTATGTCAAAATATGAGTAAAGTTTAAAAAATAGATAATGACTGTATGACGTTTCTTACTCAAGATGAGAGAAAAGTAAAGAATGTGATACCTGAAGAACTATTTCCTGAGCTCGAGGGGAGTTTGATGGGTGGAGGTCGGTGTTTTACTCCCTTCCCCAAAACTGAAGACTGAACTGACACAGTCTCGGGCTGCTGAGAAACAGGGACATTAAATATACTTGTTAAAATTAAGTTCAAATCAGAAATTCATAAACTAATCCCACTACAGCTTCTAGATGAGAACACACAATTTAAAACTCTGCAAAGTACGCTTAGTGTTATAGGTTGGGTATTATAAGCATTACAAAAAAATATAATTTTGCATAAGGCTATCCATGAAATAAATTACAGTATACATACAGGATGAAGGAAAGATTTCTAAGTAGGTGGAGACAAAGACTTTGAGGGAGAAGGGCAGAAAGGTATACTGAAGGCAAAGCTTCCATTCTTAAATCTTTTTCAGGAAAATAATAATTGTTGAGGCCGGGTGATTAGTATACACAGGTGTTCATTATACTTTTCTCTCTACTTTTGTGTATATTTGAAAATTTCCATTATATAAAGTTACATAGTAAATAACACCCCCATCTCTCAAAAAATAGTCCTTAACATTTCTTATATTCCTTGATTAACGATTAGGCACAAAAAAGTAGCAGTGCAAAAAATTAGGTGCATAAAAGTAACCAAACACACTTCTGTTTCTTTCCCTGGAGAAAGCTGACTTAAGCTGGCTGAGCCACTGGAACTGTGTGACATTTTGACTGGACATTTGGCTTCATTCTGGACCAACTCCTGGTACTGATTGACTACCCTGGAATATCAGGAGTAAACAAGTAAGGATTAGTTAACTGTTTTAAACATAAATTTACAGGCAATAAATAATAACTACTAATAAAAGAATTTCCATCAAAATTAACACAAAAACCTCAAATTAGACAATTTAACTGTGTGCCAGAAGTATATTCTTTTAATCTTTTCAATGACAAGCTAATGCTCAAAACATTTTGCTAATTAACAATTGAAACATAAACATACACATCTTCCTTTTAATACAGATATTGCACAGATTACTTAACCAATAAGCAGACAAAGAAATTACCCATTACCTTTTACCCACATTCTGATTAAAGTACTATTTTAGGAATTGTCTTCCTTAGCTACCACAGATATGTATTTACTTATTTAAAATAAACTATATTTTAAACATTATTCTTTTAAACATTAATTAAACAAAATCCTTTTTTTCCTAATTCTATAAAAAAAATCCTAGTAATAGCTAAGGTATAACAAAAAAGTTGTGACTCCTAGCGGAGTACTCCCTTATCCTATAAAAATGAAGTTTTTCATATCCATCCAGATTAAAGATAAAGACACAAATCAAATATTTTTACCTCTCAGCATCAGTCTTTGATCCAATAACAAACCTGAAATGTTTAAGAAAGAGAAAAGTATTAGGTTAAGAGTAGTGTTAAAGAGCCCTGGGATTACTTTTGAAGGCTTCCATATTTTAGTGATTGTAGTTTTAGAAAAGGAGTCAAATCTACTGAGATATTCCAACAAAAAAAAATATTTTTTAAATACATTTAAACTTATGAAGCAATGACCAAGTTTTGCATGCATTATAAAATAATCCTGTAAATAATTTGGTTGATTTAATTTAAGGGAGATGTAGTTTTGCACAAAACTTATGTGTCAAAACAAAATCTGGGCTGAAAGTTACCAAATACTATACATCCTTGCAAGTGTCTGCCCTACAGTACAATTCACTGGACTGCTGTGTGCAAGGCCTTTGGCCTTCCTCTCACTTTAACCTTTGATTTTCGTCATTATTAATGTCTACAGAGCAGATCTTAGAAGAGATTTTAGACAAGGAAGGTAGTTTATTGCCAATTCAATAAAATGTCTTTACCAAATCCTTTTAAAAAATTTGACATTTATATGATTTCTTAACAGATTAAAGTAGTGAGTTTGTTTATTTTTTAATTACCAATTTGAATGGTCATCTGTGGAGGAGCTGAAATATAAAATGTAAAAAAAAGAAAAAACTTGGTTAATGCAGCTCAAACTTTAATTTCATAGTTATTAACTCAAGTAATTTATGAATATGGAGGAATGACTGGAAGTAATAAATCATGCAGCATTTTTGCAGCAACTCCCTGACATAAAGGCAAAAAATTCAATTCTTGTTAGATTTAATCAGTTGGGTTTTGAACTGATTTTTTTTTAATTGAAAAAAAGAGTATCTATTATTTTCTTGTGTTTGAGAAAAGTTAATAATTTAAAATGACCAATGTGTCTTTAAGGGGAAGATTTTTTAAAATACAGGTAATCAAAACATGTGACCTTTCTACATAGTATTCAACAAAAGAAACTGCTAATGTGAAAAATTACCTAACGATTCTGTAACAAACTATTTCTTCCCATTGACTTTTATTTAGATACTGGTGAGGTTGTTCTTTATAATTCATCTTTCTGTTATAGTTTCAATTAGTATCTTGTGTTAAAAGCAAAGACTTTATAAACAATTTAACATAGGCCTGGCCCCTGCTTTTTTTTCTGTTGAGCTCCTCTTCTTTGTAGTTTCTTCTATTCGAAACAGCATCAACTTCATTGAAAAACTAACAAACTAACAATAAAAACAAAACTAACTACTATTAGCTTGTACTAAATATATGTAGTCCATAAGTTTTGGAAAATCAAATATATATATGTACATGTATGTATAGACACATAAACACTAGATATATACATCAAATTAATATAAATATATAGAGATTTCTAGAGCCAATAACTACATTAAGCACAGAGTCTTTGTCCTTACATGCAGTACCACAATACCAAGTATCTTTAATAGCTTCATCATTTATAGTGAACTTGCTTCCTACTTAAACAAACTACTTCTTGGAAAAACTTCATGCTCCCAGGAAGAAGTCATAATGAGTAAGAGGGGTATCAATGGCATACCGTTCAAAGCAAGTATGAAAATATTTATACCACAGATTTTTAAAAATAAATCATTATTATTTTAAATAACTCTTGGACAACATGGTAACGGTAATTTAGGTTTACTTATGTCCACTCACAAATCTAACTGGAGTACTTAACTAACAAATGAATCCTCAAAGGGAAACTTTTATTCATTAATGGTTCATCAGTAGTTGCTGAATAAATTCTGATGCCTAATTTTGTCAATTACATGTATTTAACAGAACTCACTGGGATGGAGACATCTGGCTGTCATTTTCTTCATCTTCTTTACATGGCTGTATTTTGCCATAGTAAAGTGGATCACCAAGTGACTGCAAAATGGTCAGCTTTGTTTTCTGATACTGATTACCAGCTTCACATTCAAATACATAATCATCTTTTACATCCTGAAAAAGACAGAACACCCCAGATAAGCACCTTCTTCAGTAAATACATAATCAAAATTAACAAAATAAACGACATATTAACTTGTATTGGGCAATAAGAAGACACAGCATTTTGGTTATAGACCTGTTTAACACTTCTGAGAGAATAAAGACTAGGACTCTTTTTTACATAGCACTTTAAGAATGAAGAGTTCCAAATAGTTAACCAAGCCCAAGTGAAATATGGCAGAATTTCATATGGACATATGAATGCAAATACTAAATACTAAAAAGATAAAACTTCATTATGCAACCAAAAGAGAAGTAAAAATGCAGTATTACATTAAAATTGCCCTTTACAATGGAAACCATACTTTATGAAAAACAAAACACCTGTTTTTTCCTTTAATTCACTAAACCCCCAATACATCCTTTAAATTAAAAAAAAAAAATCCTGGGCACTTCATGTTTAATAAATTCAGATCCCAGATTAGAAACTGCTTTATTAGAAAGGAGACTGCTGTAGTGATTACTTACATGGGCTGGCCAGACTGTTGGTTGTGAGTCATCAGATTTGATGGACTTTTCCACTTTAGCGTATTTCTCCACCTAAACAATCAAATCGATAGACAGCAGATGTAATGGAATCAGTATTGTGACGAAAAGAGAAAAACCTAAGTAACAATATAATTTCAAGCACAAAAATTCCTGACTCGCTAATGTCACCAACTATTTATGCTTGGTTCAAAACTCTCCTGATTCGTTAAGCTTGACCAACTGGTTTTAAAAACAAAACAAAATCAGAATCTCTTTTGTCATTAAATAGGTGTAACAAACACAGCTGCTTTTTTGGACAGTGCCTCTTCTTTTTATTCCATAAATTGGTATCACAGTCATCCTTTAGCAAAGTTGGAATGTCAGAGAGATCAGGACCAGGATCTTTTCCTTCGCTGGACTTGAAGGAAACAGGAGTTGTCATGTAACAGTGGGGACAACACCGGAGGAAGACTAGGGAAGTTATGTATTAAAGTTGGTAAGATTTTTGTGAACCTTTTCCATTTTCTAGTAAGATAATGACCGTATACTCTGTATTATCTCCTACTAGTCTGTGTGAATCAAATATACTCATTTTACTGGCAACCATGATCTTAAGAGTAAATCAGACTCCCCTGGGAACTTGGTAAAATTTCAGATTTCCATGTCCTTCCCCTGAAGACCTGACTCCACTGGAAAGTCTGAAGTGGAGCCTGAAATCTATATTTCACTGGTATTCTAGATGAGTCTTCTGATGGATTCCGACTGAAAAACTTTGTATTAGGGTTTTGTTACTCCAAGTAGGCTGTGGACCCCAGTTATCATGCAACTTGGGAGCCTGGCAAAACTGCAGCATCTCAGGCGCTAGCCCATACCTGCTGAATTAAAATCTGCATTTTAACAAGCAAGCCAGGTGACTAGGATGTATATTAAAGTTTGAGAAGCACTGCTTTAGATATCCAATCTACCCTTCAAAGCTAAATTCCACCATTTGGGATTTACACTAACATCTCTTCTCAAGCAGCATTCCGTCAGAAAACACAGAAGTTATCAAAAAATAACGTGGCTTATTCCCTTGAGTTGTATAGCGCAATTCTGATGGTTTTGGCTTTGTGTTTTCCACAAATTTTTCTTCTAATCTAAAAAATATAACAATAGTACATGTGCCAGCCTATGAAGGATACAGAAGAAAAATAAACACCTATTAAAATAACTAACCAATTGTGGAACCAGAAAAGACCCTGAATAGCCAAAGCAACCTTGAAAAAGCAAACCAAAGCAGGAGGCATCACAATCTTGGGCTTCAAACTGTATTAAGAAGCTGTAATCATCAAGAGAGTATGGTACTGACCCAAGAACAGACATTCAGCTCAATGGAACAGAATAGAGAACCCAGATATGGACCCACAAACACATGGCCAACTAATCTTTGACAAAGCAGGAAAGAATACCCAATGGAATAAAGACAGTCTCTTGAGCAAGTGGTGCTGGGAAAACTGGACAGCAACATGCAGAAGAATGAACCTGGACCACTTTCTTACACCGTACACAAAAATAAACTCAAAATGGATGAAAAACCTAACTGTAAGACAAGAAGCCATCAGAATTCTTGAGGAGAAAGCAGGCAAAAACCTCTTTCATCGTGGCCACAGCAACTTCTTACTCAACACGTCTCCGGAGGCAAGGGAAACAAAAACAAAAGTGAACTACTGGGACCTCATCAAAATAAAAAGCTTCTGCACAGCCAAGGAAACAATCAGCAAAATTAAAAGGCAACCGATGGAATGAGAGAAGATATTTGCAAACGACATTATCAGATAAAGGGTTAGTACCCAAAATCTATAAAGAACTTATGAAACTCAACCCCCAAAAAACAAATAATCCAGTGAAGAAATGGGCAAAAGACATGAACAGACACTTCTCCAAAGAAGACATCCAGATGGCCAACCGACACATGAAAAAATGCTCAACATCACTCACCATCAGGGAAATATAAATCAAAACCACAATGAAATACCACCTCACACCTGTCAGAATGGCTAACATTAACTCAGACAACAACAGACGTTGGCGAGGATGTGAAGAGAATCTCTTTTGCATTGTTGGCAGGAATGCTAGCTGGTGCAGCCACTCTGGAAAACAGTATAGAGGTTCCTCAAAAAATTAAAAATAGAACTACCCTACAATCCAGCAATTGCACTACTAGGTATTTATCCAAGGGATACAGGTATGCTGTTTTGAAGGGACACATGCACCCCAATGTGTATAGCAGCACTATCAACAATAGTCAAACTATGGAAAGAGCCCAAATGTCCATCGATGGATGACTGAATAAAGAAAATGTGGTATATATACACAATGGAGTATTACTCAGCAAACAAAAAAAAAAATGAAATCTTGCCATTTGCAACTATGTGGACGGAACTAGAGGGTATTATGCTAAGCAATATTAGAGAAAGACAAATATCATATGACTTCACTCATATGAGGACTTTAAAGACACAGAACAGATGAACACAAGGGAAAGGAAGCAAAATATAAAAACAGGGAGAGGAATGACACATAAGACACTCTTAAATACAGAGAACAAACACAGGATTACTGGAGAGATTTTGGGAGGGGGGATGGGCTAAATGGGTAAGGGGCATTAAGGAATCTACCCCTGAAATCACTGTTACACTATATGCTAACTTGGATGTAAGTTTAAAAAATAAAATTCAATTAAAAAAATAAAAATAAAAAATAAAAAAAAAATAACTAACCAATTGTAAAATTGAGTGAATAACAAAAAGTAACACAGGAGAAACAGGAAAGTGAAAAATATGAGACCAGTCATCAAAAGATCTTTTTCATGTTTTTTACCATTAATAGTTCATGGTTATTATGGATCAGTAGAGAACACCATCCAAAGTTCCTAATTTAACCACTTCTCCAATATTAATTTTTAAATTTAACCAATTTGAGAAAAGGAGCATTATCAGGAAATTATAATGAAGTATTATGAAAAAAGACATATTAAATGCATATTATTGCACTTTTCCCATGGTTCAAAATTCTTTGGTTTTTAAACACAGGCCTTCTACAGCAATACACAGAACGTATTAAGGGGCTACATTCTTACACGTTAATGTGAAATATTCTAAAATATCCTAAAAACGAGCAATTGGTTAAAAAAATCATTATTTTGTTTTTAAAACAAGTAAGAGTCTTTGTTTTTCCAAAGTATCAGTTGCTATTAAACTTAAGAATCTTGTATGAAAATAAATGCAATTCATGAACTGACTTACATCCACTTCGGAAGGTATGGCCAAATTACAGGGACTCCGTTTCCACATATCTACACACTGAAAAATTAAAAACAGTATTAAAATGCTGAAAAATTCAAAATGAGCAAGGTTTTTGAAATAATAAGCTTCATTTAAAAAACACACTTACATTTCCTGCTTTAGAAATCTTGAGGTCATAATGTTGACCTGCTTTTCTTTCCTTCCTTTTTTGTAAGAAATCAAGTAATTTTAGCTGAGGCGGAGGTGGACAATGAGAGAGATCCTGCTGCCGATTCAGAGACGACCTGGAATACCTCTTGAAACACCTGAAATATAAAGAGTTGAAAATAAAAGAAACTCAGAATAAATCTGGGTTTAAATCAGTAAGCATTAAAATATAATTAAATCACCACTATCACTTATCAAACAGAGTCCCAGGCACTGGCAAAATAAAAATGAACAAGACAAAATTCCTACCATGGAGCTGATAGTCCAGAGGAAAAAGACATTCACAATTAAACAGATAATTTCAGAGAGCATTGGTCAGGAGGGGGAAAAAAAAAGAAAAAAAGAAGACAGGATACTGCAGTGAGTCAGTGATAGCGCAGCAGCAGGTAAGAGAAAGGAAGGACTAGACTCTTTGAAGAAATGATGTGTGAGCTGAGACATAAATGGCAAGAAAGAACCAGATACCGTTAAGATCAGGGAATGAGTATTTGAAACAGAGAGAAAAATTAAAAAAAAAAAAAATTAAAAACTTACTTTGTTTTAAAAACAGAAATAGGTATGATTAGAGCATGAGGGTACACATAATAGATGAGGTCAGAGAGTGAAGCAGGGGTCTTGCAGATCAATGGTAATGTGTTTAGATTTAATGTGAAGTACAATGGGACGCTTTTATGGAAATTTAAGCAAGTGGTGGCATAATCTGCTTTGAAGTTTTTAAAAGATTATTCCAATTTGCTTATGTGGCAAACGGACCAAAAGGGAGCAAAGGTGGTAACAGGAAGATCAAATAGAAATTTACTACAGAAGTCAAGATAATGCCGACTTTAAAATTTGGTAGTGGGGCATGGAGATGTGAAGATACAAGGAGACTTTAGAGAACTGCTGACAGATCTTATATAGACTTATTTTACTATTCCTGAAACTGTACCTTTTCCTTAGCATATATTGTTTACGTAGTAAACTAAGGAGTTTAGAAAATGGGTATGTTTTTGAACTCTTAAGATGACCCAAAATGGGCAACTCAAACAATTGTTAAGAGTACCTAATGATGAACCAATTATAACTGTGATCCAAGTTAATATGCATTCTTTTATTAAGTAGAAAAGATAGCTAAAACATGTAAAGAACAAATTACCACGTTATAAAAAGGTATTTAATCACAAACTGGTATTTTATCAGATATCAAAAATAAATTATGAATTGTTTCTTTAAAAGCAATATTAACGGGGCGCCTGGGTGGCGCAGTCGGTTAAACGTCCGACTTCAGCCAGGTCACGATCTCGCGGTCCGTGAGTTCGAGCTCCGCGTCAGGCTCTGGGCTGATGGCTCAGAGCCTGGAGCCTGCTTCCGATTCTGTGTCTCCCTCTCTCTCTGCCCCTCCCCCGTTCATGCTCTGTCTCTCTCTGTCCCAAAAAGCAATATTAAGAAAACAAACAGGTTACTGGTAATTAGTAATAAAGAAATTATTCTGTTTATACTTGTGTCTTCTCAGCCTGTTTTTGGTAAAGACTCTAAACTTACAGGAAGCGTGTCCTTTCACAAAATGCAGAGAATGCATCACTCCCATATAAAGCAGACAATAGTTAAAAACAGTAATGCACAAAAAATGTAACTTAAGGCCATAAAAATCCTATTTAAAAAGTCACAGTACTTATATATATACTTTAGAGAGAAAAGATACCATAAACAGCAAATTTTTTTTTAAATTAATGTATTTATTTTAATGTTTGTTTATTTTTGAAGGAGAGACAGAGAGAGAGAGAGAGAGAGACAGAGACAGACAGTGTGTGAATGGGGGAGGAGCAGAGACAGAGACACACACAGAATCCGAAGCAGGCTCAGGCTGTGAGCTGTCAGCACAGAGCCCAACACAGGGCTCAAACCCACGAGCCACGAGATTATGACCTGAATCGAAGTTGGACACTTAATTGACTGAGCCACCCAGGTGCCCCCATAAATAGCAAAATTTAAAGCTAATTGTCTAGGAGCATCTTTTGGTTTACCCATCTACAAAGGCAATTACCGTTTCATCGGGCGCGTGTTCATCTTTTGCTTGTTATAAAGCAGTCTATTTGCAGTACAGGTTACTGCTATAGAAGGATCAAGACACAGTGGTTCAGCTGTAGCTAGGATCAGTTGGCTCTCAAGCAAGAGTTTATCTTCCTAAAATGTATAACATATGTCAGTACCAGATTTACGTTTTTCAAATCACACATATTTCTTAATCTAGAAATATTCCTTGGAACTCTATGTACTACCATAAAACACAATATTTCACGTCACAACTTTGCAGACTTCAGAAACTTGACAGCATAATGAAATTATTAATGGAAATTCAGTAATTTGTAGTTTACAAAATGGTCAAGTTGTAAGAATGCCTATTCACTGATTCAATAAATATTTACTGAGCACCTACTATGTGTTAGCCTCTGTTCTAAGAGTTGAGGATCAAGTAGTGAACAGATAAAATCATCTGCTCCCACAAAGCTTACAAGATCACGATGAATCATAGAATTTTTAATAACCATCCTATTCAATACTCAGCTTAACTTCATTACAAGAATAAAAATGATTACACTAATACTGTGTAAACTCTATATTCCCAATTCTAAAAAGTATACAGGTGCTCTACAGGTTTTATTTACTGTTTTTTTTTTCTTTTTTTTTTACTTCATCAGTGAAATGTTTTAACAGCAACAGCTAAGTATTTTACAGTCAAATGAGTCAATTAATATTACTGCTGAATAAGGATTTTTGCAAAGAAAGAAACACTGCTTCTTTCAACAGTTCAACTTATTATGGACATTTTCAAATGTACACAAAAGGAGAAGTGTAGTGACATCCATGTACCAACACTCAATTTCATTTAACAACCGCCCCTTAACTTCTTATGCTTTTCTTTTGCTGGAGTAATTTAAAATACATCTTTGATGTTGTATTGTTTCATCTCAAAATACTTCAGCCTGCATTGCTAACTGATATGGACCTCTAACATCCAGTCTGGATTTAAATGTCCCATTACCTCAAGAGTGTATTTTTAGTTGGTTTGTTTGAATTTGAACTCAAACTCTACACTTTGTATTGGGTTTTTATCTTTTAAACATCTTACTCTGTTCTGTAATGATCACTTCTTCTCCCACGTTTTTCCCTTTTCTCATGTAATTGATTTGTTGGATTTGACCCAATTACTTCCTGGCTGACTATCTCTACACTGTGTCACTTAAGTTTCTCTTATTTCCCCAATTCCATACACTGTTAGATCTAGAAGCTGAATTTAATTCTGGTTCTATTTTTTTAGACAAGAAATCTTTATTGGTATTGTTATATACTTTCTCTTGCATCACACCAGGAGAAACACAATGACTGTCCCATTTTTACACCCATGGGGTCAGTCAGATCTCTGCATTATAAAATTTCCCATGAACCTATAATCTAATGGCTTTTATACCTAAGAGTTACACCTGTCTAGATTAAGACTTCCAAATTGATATTTTAAAAAGTCCATCATTTATTTCTTCTGTAGCTATTAGCAGGAATTCTTTTTTTTCCTTTCTCTATTGAGGCTGTATATGTGCTACGCAGTTGGGAGTGCCAACCTTTCAATCGTGGTAAGATTACCCATCAAGCAGGAATGCTATGGAGCCTACACCAACATCTAACAGTTGAGATATCAATAATATCTATAACATGTGAAATCACAAGTAGAAATTTCTGTTTGGAATCCTTAATTACAAAAGCACCATTTATATGCACCTCATGCAAAAAAATTAAAAATTTTTACCAATATCAGAAATGTTAATTCAGAAATGTTAATGCTAAATTATTTTCTATACTTCCTGATTCTTACTGGAACCCACTTAAATAGATCATTATTGAAGCATATTTGAATGTATTATATTCTCAAAAGTTAACTCTAAACTCATGTTTATAAGAAAGCAAATTAAGAAAATAAACTTTTGTGCAGAGAGGCAGGTGGTTATTTTTCCAAGACAGGAACTATGCATCTACCTATAGGCGATCTCCCCTACTAACATTTACTCTTTACCAGGATAATTCTGTCTGTTCTCTCTCTTTTCTGTTGAGGTGTAACGGACATAGAACATATTTCCAGGAGCACAAGTAATTTGATACTCCTGTACACTGAAAAATGATCACCACCCTAAGTCTAGTTAACAGGTTTCATTACCCACAGCTACAATTTTTTTTTTCTTGTGAAAACTTTTAAGATCTAATTTTCCTAAAGAACTTTCTAATCTTAGTTATTCTTTGGCCACCTAACATACAGTTCATACAAGAAAAGCAGAGTAAAATGCTACAGACTTTCCCTTTATTCATCTTCAGAATAAGAAACTGATACCCTTGGGGCGCCTGGGTGGCTCAGTCGGTTAAGTGGCCGACTTCGGCTCAGGTCATGATCTCGCGGTCTGTGAGTTCGAGCCCCGCATCGGGCTCTGTGCTGACAGCTCAGAGCCTGGAGCCTGTTTCAGATTCTGTGTCTCCCTCTCTCTGACCCTCCCCTGTTCATGCTCTGTCTCTCCCTGTCTCAAAAATAAATAAAACGTAAAAAAAAAAAAAAAGAAACTGATACCCTAGCAACATCTGATGGTGGCCAATGATTTTAATTGTTTTGAATATTCTTTCAATAGCTTTTAACCCTGTAAAGATTATAGCCCAAATTAAAACACACTTGACAGTTACTGACAACTCATAACCGTATTTTGCAGATAATTTTCATTATTGGTATTTTCTTTGGTTTAGTAACTATTCCTCTCTATAGCAGCAAAGAAATAAGGGAACACTATTGTGAGTTAGCACCTCATATATACTGAGTCAGCACTGGAGAGTTACTGGCTATTCTCAAGGGTAATAGAGTTCCCCCAGTGCTGCAACTGGTACGAATGGCAAAGACAGGGTAAGCTCGCTTTAGAATCCTAGATTATGGAAAATCAGAATCCACTTGTATCCATGGTATAAAAGAATTTTTTTTCTTCTGTTTGAGAGAGCATAAAAAACTGAATTTCACATATTGGGCAGCTCAGGTCAGCCTGACCCTATTTCATCATGGTCCTAAAGCAAATGGGATTGAACTGCTTAGTTCTTTGAAGGATTACTGCATGGATGATGAGACCCTTGATTTCTTTTTTTTTTTTTTTTTAGTTTATTTTTTTGAAAGATAAGAGAGCAAGCAGGGGAGGGCAGAGAGAGAGAGAGGGAGACAGAATCCCAAGCAGGCTTCATGCTGTCAGCACAGAGCCAGATATAGGGCTTAAACCCACATAGTGTGGGATCATGACTTGAGCCAAAGTCAAGAGTTGGATGCTTAACCAGCTGAGCCACCCAGGCACCCCAACAGACCCCTGATTTCTAAAACTCATTAAAGAATCCCAAAATTTACTCATGAATAAAATTACAAATAAAATATCTTTCGCTTTACTTCTTGTTAAGTATTATTCCATCCTGTATTTTCCCTGTTTGGAATTAAAAAACAACTAACCTGGGTCCATTTATGGTTATCACTTGTTATTGAATGCACATCACAGATTAAAGTCTAAAGGAAATAAGAGTTTTAAAAAACACATTAATGTACAAACATATGAAGATACTTAATAAAACTCCAAATAAAATCGAAAATACATTTTTCTTTTTAAAGATTTTATTTTATTAAAAACATTTTTTTAAATGTTTATTTTTGAGAGAGTGTGAGTGAAGGAGGGGCAGACGAAGTGGGGAACAGAGGATCCAAAGCAGGTCCTGTGCTGATACCAGTGAGCCCAATGCGGGGCTCGAACTCACAACTGCAGAAACTGGGGACCTGACCCAAAGTTGGACGCTCAACTGACCAAGCCACCCAGGTGCACTTCAAAGATTTTATTTATATTTATTTATTTATTTATTTATTTATTTAACATTTATTTATTTTTGAGAGAGAGAGAGACAGAGCATGAACAGGGGAGGGTCAGAGAGAGGGAGACACAGAATCCGAAACAGGCTCCAGGCTCTGAGCTGTCAGCACAGAGCCTGACGTGGGGCTCAAATTCAGGACCGCGAAATCATGACCCGAGCTGAAGTCGGCCGCTTAACCGACTGAGCCACCCAGGCGCCCCCAAAGATTTTATTTTTAACTAATTTCTGTATCCAACATGGGGGCTCACATTTGGAACCCCAAGATCAAGTCTCACACATTCCACTGACTGAGTCAGCCAGGCACTCCTAAAATAGTTAAACATTCCTTACCTGCATTGTTGGACGTAAGAGAATATGCCTACTTTGGTAACCAGGAGATTTCATATTACTGGACTGCCTGTAGTCACGTATTTCTGCTATGACACATCCACAATGAAAAATATTAACCTGTTTTGAGTGAAAATATTTAAGTAAATCTCATTTTTCAAAAGCCTACAGAAGTCTGCTTATATTGAATGTTTCGAGTTCTTTACATGCTTATGCAATACTTCTAGCCACTCGCATACTCTAAAGTGGACTTCCTTGATGGATTTACCATTATATAAACTTTTCCAAGGAATTATTTTATGTTCATCATTATGACTCAACAAGCAGTTTCAAATTGTTTAATGGTTTCTTAGTTATAGATTGGGTTTTGACATTTATATACTATTAATATTACAAATCACTGGAAATGCTATTCTTGACGCTCACTGGCTGTTATACTTTGCTAACTCTGTCATTGTTACCAAGTTTGTCTTTTGTTATCAAGTGTCAATCAACCCTGCCAGTTTCACCTTTAGATGAAACTTCTATTCGCTCTAAGATATCCAGAAATAGGACAGTCTTTATTAATAAAAGGAAGAAAGTAAACTATAAATTCAAATATTGTGTTTTCCAATCCTTTTGTAAGTCCAAAAGTAAGGACTTTTATAATTCAAGTCTTGCTAATTACAATCTACATTAGTCATTTATAGAAAGTGTTATGTTTTTTCACGCTTTCAGAACTTTTACTGGAGCCTGTGACTTTCTATGCTATGAGTCATTATTATGTCCATGACAACGTGAACTATAGGCCAGGCACTAAAGAAGCTTCACAGATATACGGGTGGTGGGACAACATTTGCTCTTAGTGTGGGAAGACAGGCAATAAGCATGTACAGAAATAAACAAGATAATCTTAGTGATGAATGCTAAAAAGGAAATAAAATAGGGAGGAGCTAACATAGATTGTGTGCTCAGAAAGAAACCTCTCAGAAGGAGTGACTTTTTAGCTTAGGCCTGAATCACAACAAAGGACTGGACATCTGGCACAGATCATTCCAGACAGAAGGAATAGCAGATGACAGGCCTTAAGGTAGGAATATACCTGGTGTGTTTTAGTACGTAAAGAACAATGCATGGCTGGAGTATAAAGACTGGGATGAGAATCAGGAGATGAAGACAAGAAGATAGAGGTTTTATACAGTGAGAAGACACTGAAGAATTTGAAGCCTGGGAACTTTTTTTTCCTATTGTTTGTTTTATAAGCTGAATCTAGTTGTCTGTGGAGAACTGATTTCTGGGGTTCCAGAATGAAAGCAAAATGCTCAGCAAGGTAACTATAGCAGGTCACGACCATACATATTTTGAAGGTACAGCTGACATTTACTGTTGGACTGAACGTAAAAGGTCAGAGCAGAGTCTGAGATTAGAAGGACAAGAACTGTTTTGGAAGGCAAAATCAAAAGTTCTGTTTTTGTCATTTTAAGTTTGAGGAACCTAATACATATCCTAGTAAACAGAAGTTTGGAGCTTGAAGGAATAGTTCTGAAGATATAAGCAAGGGATAAAATGTCACTTTTATTTTATTTAATAAAAAATTTTTTTTTAATGTTTATTTATTTTTGAGAAACAGAGACATAGTGTCAGCGGGGGAGAGGCAGAGAAAGAGGGAGACACAGAATCCGAAGCAGGCTCCAGGTTGAGCTGTCAGCACAGAGCTCAACCGGGGGATCGAACTCACGAACCATGAAACCATGACCCAAGCCAAAGTCAGATGCCCAACCCACTGAGCCACTCAGGCACCCCTAGATGTCATTTTTCAACTCCTGACACTGGCTGAGATCATCCAGAGACAGTGTTACTAAAGAATAGAGGGCCTAGGAATGAACTCTGAAACCTGCACACATTTAGGAGTGGAAGAGGGAAGACAGTAAAGAAGACTGAAGGAACAGAGAGAAGAGGAAAACCAGAATGAGATGTCTCAGAAGCCAAAAGAAGGGTATTTCAAGGAGGAAAGTTCATTTGCACTGTATTTTGTTGAGACCAATTAAAGATGAGAACAGAAAAGTGACCAACTGATTCTGTGCCATGGAGATCATTGGTAACCTTGACAAAACTGCCTCTGTAGAATGGTGATGTTATAATGCTGAAAGCGGTGGGTAGAGAAAATAACGGGATGTGAGAAAAAAAGACAGTATGATTATAGACAACTTTGTGAGTAGCTTTGCCATCAAGAAAAGCAGAATTGTACAACACTAGCTGAAGAAGGACATGGGGTCAAGGGAGGATTATTTTTTTAAGTTGAGATACAGTAAAACATACTTGTATTTTTCATCTAGTAGAAAGAAGTAAAGAGATGATAGAAGGAGAGATTATAGTCACAAGTCCTTGAGAAGGAGGATCCAGAATACAAGTAGAGGGGATTTCTTAAGAACAGAATACTTTTCATCCACTTTAACAGAAAGGCAGGCAAAAAGTGTGGACAGACCTCTAGACGACTAGGGCTAGAAGAAAATGCAAGTTCCCATCAGATGGCCTTTTTTTCCTAAGCATACAGTATCGCTGGAGTGAAGCCAAAGTCAGGAGTTTCTCCCATAATCCTTGTTGTAGGTATAGAGAAATTTCTAAAATGAGCGAATTATTAAAGGAATTTTAGAAGAATCAACTAAATCTATACATTTCAGTACAGCCTAAGGGTAAGTATCCCACAATAAAATGGTTACCACCTAATTACAATGTCTCACTTCCTATTCCAAATACCATTGAGAATGTAATATCATTTAAATATAAATATCATTTATAACAAACACCACAGAGATGACAAATCTAACGACATTTAAAAAAGATTTTTTTATTATTTTTGAGAGAGAGAGTGTGAGCAGAGGGAGAGGCAGAGAGAGAGGGAGACACAGGATCTGAAGCAAGCTCCAGGCTCTGAGCTGTCAGCACAGAGCCCAATGCAGGGCTCAAACTCACAAGCCAAGAGATCATGACATGAGGCAAAGCCGGACAGTTAATTGACTGAGCTACCCAGGCGACCCTAATGAAATTTTAGAGACAAATTTGTACCTGAGATTTTTCTAGGAGATCAACCAAAATTGGAGGTAATTCTTCTGCATCCAAGTATTCAAGCAATTCCCCTTCTTCATAAGGCAGTCGAATGGTCTCAGAATCTTAATTTTAAAACATAAAGTTTCTGAAAATATCAGGCTCACCATAAAGCTTAGGTGCATAATTTAAATGAGTTTTCATAAAAAAATAAAGCAAATAAATCCAAAAGGCTCTTCTAAAGTCCTTCTTTATTTGTCTTACAAATAAATCACTTCACATACTGCTATAAGACTTGGTAAACTGTATACAATTTTAGGCCAGAAAGGAGAAAACCTCCAACACATGTGAAAAAGAATCTGGCATAACAACATAATGCAAACCACAGCCAGTAGTGCAAAAATGAGAATATGATAAAATTCCAATGCTGGTAACTGAAAATTCCCTTTAAAACAACTTAATCTAATCTGAAAATAAGAGTGATAATTTGGTACCTCATATGAAAAATGGTCACTTACAGAACAAAATTCTCTGGCTGTTACATTTTACAATACATTATCAACAGAAGAAGAAATTCTTAAATAGGTGATTTCCTTGTAGAACACACATCATCATCACCATAACACATTTCTAAGATGTCTTTAGTGAAATCTAAGAGTGCTTATATTCCAAAACTCTATTTTCAAGTTTACATTAATAGAAATGTAAATATGAAAAATTATTCAAAAGGCAGTGAATCTGCTTAATTTTGAAGGTTTCAGACTCAGTACAGTCAAAATACAGAAGAAAAACATAAAACACCTTATGCTATCTTAAAGTATAAATAGAAATAGAAAATTGTGACAATTATTTTTTTTTTTAATTTTTTTTTCAACGTTTTTTATTTATTTTTGGGAGAGAGAGACAGAGCATGAACGGGGGAGGGGCAGAGAGAGAGGGAGACACAGAATCGGAAACAGGCTCCAGGCTCCGAGCCATCAGCCCAGAGCCCGACGCGGGGCTCGAACTCACGGACCGCGAGATCGTGACCTGGCTGAAGTCTGACGCTTAACCGACTGCGCCACCCCGTGACAATTATTTAAAGGTTGGGTCTTATACAATTTAACTTCAAAGACCTACCTCAATTAGAATTCTTTACAAATGCATATTCATGAAGGCTAATCACCTTAGAGATAATTTCTAACAAAACATAGTAAAGAGGAAAATTTGGACTCAAAGGGTTCTTTTATCAAGTCATCAATGACCTGAAGGACAGACCACTTCTACTTCTAGAAGACAGCACACCCTGCCTTGCAGAGGGATATCTGTGGCTGTAGCTCTTTGGAGGTTCTTACCTGATCCATTTTTTCCCCTGAGCATCAGAGAATATCCTTCATTTCCTGGGTATAGGTTGACCACTAAACAGGATAATGTCTCTTGCATAACAAGCTTCTCTAACAGATTCACATTTCTTCTTAATTTCTGCTTTAAAAAGAGGCAGAGCTCATGAAAATAATCAGGCATAACCCTAACAAAAATGCTATTTTAACAAAATTAGATCAATTATATTTTGGTGCTCCTTCCACATATGAGGAAAATGCACAAACACTACAGCTACCAAATACAGAACATTTACATAAACTTAATTTTGATTACATTTTATAGAAATTAGTTCATACGACAAAGAAAAAAGTCTATATATGAAATATGTATCTTTGAGTACATAAATAGAATATAACAAAAATATTTAAGTGAAAAGTAAAACCATTAAATGCAAACATATAAAACATAGATGCCATATAATTAGTTTCTATTAAATTTAAGTCTACACAAAAATAAATAATGAATTTGGGGTTTTATCTTCAGTTGTACTATTATAGGTATCTACTTCTTAACACGTTTTCTGGCATAATTAGATCTAAACAAATCAACAGCTCTGGTCAGTTGTAATGTTAGGCTCAAAGACACTTAGCTTGTAAGAGGAAATAAGAAAACTGGGGTGCTGGGTGGCTCAGTCGGTTAAGCATCCAACACCAGTTCAGGTCATGATCTCACAGTTCTTGAATTTGAGTCCCACATCAGTCTCTCTGCTGTCAGCGCAGAGATATCCTCTGCAAGGGACATCCCTCTGCTTTGAATCCTTTGCCTCCCTCTCCCTTTGCCCCTCTCCCACTTTCTCTCTCTCAAAAATAAACGTTAAAAAATTCTTAAAAAGAAGAGGAAATTAGGAATTTAAGCAATTTCCGACAAATTCAATTTAACAGCTCCTTAGAAACTATTTTGTTAATAAAAAAAAACAAAAAACCATCAGAAAATATAATACACATACCTAAAAATTCATTATTTTACAAATGCCTATGATTTAAAATGAAACCCACATAGATATAAGAATTCACTTCATCACATCTTATTTATAAAAAATTGAATCAATAGAGTATTTCTGTAGAATCTCAAAAAACAAACCTAACTATTTCTATATTTTATATTAAACATGTATACATACAGTTTTATGCACAGAGAAATGAAAAACTGATTTATTGTGACCAGGAAACAAAAAATCCAGCATTTCGAAAATTAAAAAAAAAAAAAGCAAATCAACATTTACTTCAAAAAACTAGTAAAGAGAGAGTAAAATTTTAAAGTATTTTCAAGTGTAAAGAAAATGTCATACTCACTCATATGAGAACTTTAAGAGACAAAACAGATGAACATAAGGGAAAGGAAACAAAAATAATATAAAAACAGGGATGGGGACGAAACAGAAGAGACTCATAAATATGGAGAACAAATTGAGGGTTACTGGAGGGGGTGTGGGAAGGGGGATGGGCAAAATGGGTAAGGGGCACTAAGGAATCTACCCCTGAAATCACTGTTGCACTATATGCTAACTAATTTGGATGTAAATTTCAAAAAAAAAAAAAAAAAAAAAAAATTAAAGTTAAAAAAAGTCGTAATTTGACACATGACAGAATAGTCAGAAAAACTGTGACAGCATCTCTTCAAGACAATAAAAGTTGGTTTCCACTTAGTTTTTGGGTCAATATACAAATCAGAGGTCAGAAAATTTCTTAAAGGGCCAGATAGCGTATTAGGCTTGTGGGCTATATGGTCTTTGTTGCAAATACTTAACTCTGCTGTTGTACCTCAAAATCAGCCACAGACAAGACAATGAATGGGTGTGGCTGGATTCCAATAAAACCTCATTTACGAAAACGTGCAGTGGGCAAGATTCAGTTGGCAGGTAATGGCTGCCAAACCCAATTTAGAACCTTTATCTCTCCTACCTTAATTCTGTCTCTGAAGTGATGGACATATTTGTTATATTGTGATGATGGCTTCATGGGTGTACATATATGTAAAAACTTACAAAATATATATTTTAAACACATGTAATTTATTGTATATCAATTATACCTCAAAAAAACTTATGAGAAACACAGTGTAAAATTTACTCAATATTTAATGTTTTCTCCTATTGAAGATTTTAAAGGCAGGATATTACTGGAATTCTACTAATTTTTTGTCTAAAAAGTAAAATGTATTTTTTTTTTTTTTTAAGTTTATTTATTTTTTGAGAGACAGAGCAGGGGAGGGGCAGAGAGACAGGGAGTCACAGTATCTGAAGCAGGCTCCAGGCTCTGAGCTGTCAGAACAGAGCCCCGACACGGGGCTCAAACTCACGAAAAAACAGTATTCATTTTTAAAGAAGCACATAGAAACTTTTTTTTTTTAATTTTTTTAACATTTATTTATTTTTGAGACAGAGAGACAGTATGAATGAGGGAGGGTCAGGGAGAGGGAGACACAGAATCTGAAACAGGCTCCAGGCTCTGAGCCGTCAGCACAGAGCCTGATGTGGGGCTTGAACTCACAAACCGCAAGATCATGACCTGAGCTGAAGTTGAATGCTCAACCGACTGAGCCACCCAGGCGCCCCGCACATAGAAACTTTTTAAGGCTTTTATGCCCCAAGAGTCCAAAAGATCTTAAGGAATCAATTTGTTACATTTCTACTGCCCATACTTTTATGCTAATTAAAAATGAGTTCTGTTAATCTAATCTGGAACTAGTATTTGTGACCAAATTCATCTTTTATTATCACACCTGAATGTCCTACATCCTGTAAAACCTTTAAATTTCCAGTACAAATCACCATGAGGAAACAGGTTACTTTTTCTTCCAGTCTACAAATCACTTATCAGGGGAAAAAGAAGCAAAAGATAATATATATAGGAGCTTTGCTTCTTTGGACTTCTCAATGATTTTCTGTTATTCGATAAACACTGGTCGTCTCTCCTACCTAAGCAGGTGATCTCTACTTGGTGCCAGATTAGCCAAGGCTGTGGGTGAGCTGCAAAACTGGCTACAGTCTGGCTAGGAAAGATGTTAGTTCTCTCACAAAAATATAAATCATTACCTGCTTCAAATGTAAATCTTTCAAATGTCCCTGTTCCTTCTACATTTCAAAAGCCATAAAAACATAAAAAATTTATACTTACCTTAACCTCAGGCTCTTTTTCACATTCTTCAATATATAAGTCATAAAGTTTTTGAAATACAGATTTTCTAAAATTTAATGAAACAAAATGTGAATATTCTAATCATAAAATGGATGTTATTTTGAATTTTCCCATAATTCTTCCCCCCAATTTCCCCCAAACTGAGGATGAAGTAAGCTGGATATAGTAGCTAATATCAACTCAGAAATTTCAAATACACGTAAAGTACCTTTAACATTTCTAGCACAGTGCCTAGCAGGAATGCAATAAATGGTAGATATCATATTTTAAATAATCTAAAATACCAATCAATAAAATATTCATACCTTCCACTAGACAGGTATTTCCTTTTAGGAGGTCTCTGTCGGGCACTTTCAATAACATACTAAAAAAGAAAAGTTTATGAAAACAGTTTGCTTTTTGCTTATTAGCACATGAACACCTATATTAAGTATACTTAAAACACGGGTTAAGACTGAACAGACTATTTAGTCGCTTCAATCTCTGATTCATATTAAAATTATACCTTGGAGAAAAACTACTTAACTTCTAAATATATGTTACAAACAAGTGAAATTTAAACTGTACTAAAACTTAGCATAATATTTCACTGCTATGATATAAAAAAAATATATAGTTTCAGAACTGAGGTTTCACAGGTCAAAATTATTCTCAATATGTTTTATGGTTATTTAGAATATGCACAGCGTATCCAAGTGCAAGAAATCTACACATTTTGAATTATCTTCCTCATTAATTGAATAATTAGAAAACTTATCAAAACAGGAAAACACAATTTTGGAAATCCTATGTCTTTATTCGATAATTTTTATTCCACAACATTATCTGAGAATTCTAACAGATGACCTAAACATCATCACAGAGTATTTTTATAATTTATAGCAAAATTATATGCATACTTGTCCTAAAATGTTAACGTACTCCTTTGACAACCACATATAAAAATCTCTTAAAACTGAGTTTGGTTAATTAAGACAAATTAAGACGACACTATTTCATATGTAACTTAGTCATGCCTCACCTCAGCACGATCCAAAGCTAGTTCTAAAGCTTGTTGCTGTAAAGAGTAAATAGTGTATTTGATATTATTCTCACAAAAAATTTTATATACATATAACATTTCTAGTTAAGTGTTTAAATATGTTTTATCTCCTAAAATACATCTAACATATTTTCCTTTATTTTTGTACCCTCTACCCACCCCACTCTATGTTAGAGATATGTTACAAAGAGAAAACATGGCAGTCTTGGGCACCTGATTAGGACCACAAATTATATCAGAAATGCTAAAATGGTTTTCTCTGGCTACAGAGCCAAGAGTCAGAGAAACTACTACCACTTTATGAACTTTAACTTCTACAACACTCTAAGAGCACCATTCAGGAAAATATATGAATATCAAGCATGCAATTAAAGTGAATCTGCTAGGAATCCTGAAAACTGGGGGAGCTATTATATTGGTACATAACACCAATATAGAAATTTCTAGTATCTTAATGCATGCAATTAAAGTGAATCTGCTAGGAATCCTGAAAACTGGGGGAGCTATTATATTGGTACATAACACCAATATAGAAATTTCTAGTATCTTAATGCAGAGAATCTATAATATAAAGTTTCTAGGTCAGTGCCTACTAGAAACGCATTAAATGATGGCTATCATTACCATGTTTCAATGACTTTAAGATACCATCAGTTATAAGCATGTTATCAGTAACCCAGGTTAAAAAAAAATTTTTTTTTTGAGACAGCAAGTGAGTTGATAGAGAAACAGAGGGTGAGGGAGACAGAATCTTAAGCATGCTCCACACACAGTGCCAAGCTCGCCACAGAGCTTGATCTCACAACTGTTGAGATCATGACCTGAGCTGAAATCAAGAGTCACACGCTTAACTGAGTCAGTCAGCCAGGCTTTCAGGTAATATTAAGAAAAGCCAATTATAATTGTAAGATGTCATTAATTATAGACTCATCATTAACTCAATACTAAAATGTAAAAGAAAATGTATCTAGAATGAAGTAATAGTTTTATTACTGCACATAGGGTTTGAGATCTTATAGTAGATTCCCACCCTTCATCCATTTCTTAGAGACCATGATTTCAAGCCAAGAGAAGAGGAGTCTCTGACTTCCTCATTTGTAAAGCTTTCTTTTGTAAGGACATCTAAGAATAAAAAGTATTAAGTTTTAAATAACAAAATTTAACACCAATGATATCCCTTTCTAGTTTTGTGGTTTGGTTACCACACAGGATTACAGTATTTTTCATTCACAATGATAGTCCTCTTTAATTTTTAATTCCATCAAGAGACAGCTTTCATTGTTAACATACAAGGACCTAAATTTTTGTTTTATTTTGTAGACTCCAATAATTCAACCTACCAAATTCCATGTAGTAAAAACTACTAGCACCCACCAAAATCCCAATGCAATGGGAAAAAGAAATAGTGCCAGCCTTTGGAAATTGTGAAAAGGATTAAGTGCCCCTGCCACTCTAGTCGTAAGGATGGAGAATTCGTAGGATTACAAAAATAGTTTGTCTGCGTTTTTACTGTAATAAAAAAAAAAACCCGCATTAAACACCTAAAATTTAAAAGTAAAAAAATCTGAAATATGCCATCATTTCAAAAGGTTGTTAAAATAAATTTATACCAATTTATGAAAAAAATCTTATGAGCAGCTGATTCATAACGAAATTGGTTCCTAGGATTCAAGATGAGATTCTTGAGTATAAACCATTTCCTGGATGAGTACTCTGAACAAATATATAAGGTTTTTAAATTATTTTGCTCATAAAACCTTAACGTAAATTTATATAAAAAACTATAATAAACACAATCAAATGTACACTTGAGGACAATCTGGCTATTGTTAGTCTTCTCAAGTAAGTACCTCATCTTCTGAAATCAAAACTTCAAAAGCTCTAGAGAGAACTGCAAATGTAAACATAAACATCATTTATTCACTACTTCCTTCCAACATTTAAGAAGGAATTGATAGCTAATATGGTGCAAAATATAAGTCAAGGTCAGCATCTCATTGTAACAGCTCCACTATTTTTTTTGAAATTTTTTAATGTTTGTTTATTTTTCAGAGAGAGAGGTAGGCACAGAATCTTAAGGAGGCTCCAAGCTGTCAGCCCAGAGCCCAACTAGGGTCACAAACCACGAGGTCACGACCTGAGCCGAAGTCTCAGATGCTCAACTGACTGAGCCACTCAGGCGCCTCAGCAGCTCTACTTTTCTGTAACAGGGCAGTGGTGGATACGCAAGATTGGAAAAGAAGAGAACTGTTCTCAAAGGTTTATTCAACACGGTGGTCAGTGTTTATTTTTTCATTGTCAAATGCTGCTGATTCTTTAAAACATAATAATTTTTTCCATGTGTTTATTTTTTTTAATGGCAAAAGGTAAACACCCAGTCCCTAGTATGTTTAATGACTGTAGTCAGTGAACAGAAATGTGCCATTAAAATCCAACATGGATGCTGCTTAAAATGTTATTTGCAGTAAGCAGGTTACATTTGTTTTTGAATTAAAGAAAAAAATCTAAATTAAGAGAAGTTTTAAAATATGAGAAACCTGTGTCCCCCAAAGCCATTTGTATTTATACCCATCCTCCTTGGCAGTGATTTGACTATGGCAGAAAGAAGTAACTATTTAAAAAACATTTTTTTTTTTAAATGTTTATTTTTGAAGGAGAGAGAGACAGAGTGAGCAGAGGAAGGGCAGAGAGAGAGGGAGACACAGAATCCGAACCAGGCTCCGGGCTCTGAGCTGTCAGCACAGAGCTTGACACGGGGCTTGAACTCACGAGACGTGAGATCATGACCTGAGCTGAAGTTGGACGCTCAACCAACTGAACCACCCAGGCGCCCAGAAGGTAAGTATTTTTTAATGTTTCACAAAGATAAGGACAGATAATTGATCAGTTTAAATTGGGCATAATTCCAACACTGAATCGAGAGATAAGCCCCCTATTTTCTGAAACAGATTTTGCAGGTGATTGCTAAGTAATTCACCAGTTAGGTTAACTTGGGCATACATTAAGTATTTCTGTACCCGTAATACAGTATTTTTATGGAAATGAAGGAAGAGAACATTCTAAAATACAACCACAAACATAATGAGCTACAACTTACCATTGTGGTATAAAATAGGGGTCCAAAATGAAGAGAAAACTTATGTGTGTTGATGAGGAGTGAAAACCATGTCTTTAATATCAATCTTATAGTACTAAAAAATCAAAAACAAAAGAAACCCATATTAACATAAAGCTATTATGAGCAATGAGATTATTTCATTATTAAAGGAAAACCATTTAAAAAATATAAATTTTTGAGTACATTTTTAAATAATCAGCAACAAAGAAATCACATACCACAATCTTTTCAATTGTTGAAAGGTACAGTTTTTATTAGGTACGGCAAAAAAAGTTTGCAAATTAAAATCATTACTTGCTTTCTTCAAAATACTTAACATCCAGGAGAGAAAAGAATGTTTATTAATCTCTCCATCACCACTGTTGCTGTCATTGTTCCCATGGGTCACTGTACAGTTCACTTTACAAATCATACGTTTCATCATACCTGCTGATAAAAGTCCTCTAAAAATATTCCCCTAAACGTGCCAAGCTACATATTCCAGATGTCAGATGCAGCTCCAGTTCCTCCAGCCATTCCTTCCTCAAGCAAACTGGATACACTGCTGAAGAATCTCATTCCTCTAATACATGGATTCTCATCCTAGCTGCACAACAGAATAACTTGGGGAGTTTTAAAAAGTGGTATACCCATGTCGTATCTTCCAGAGATTCTGATTAATTGGTCTGGAGTAGGAACCAGGGATCAGCATTTATTTATGTATTGAGATTGAGAGAGAGAGAGCCCCAGAGATGGGGGGGGGGTATCGTAAGCGGGCTCATCACTCAGTGCAGAGCCTGAGGCAGGGCTTGATCCCAAGACCCGGGGATCCTGACCTGAGCAGAAATCAAGAGTCAGACACTCAACCAACTAAAACACCCAGGCACCCCAATATTTACTGGGACCAGCATTTTTGAAACTCTCCAGGCAATTCAAAGTCTAATTCTGTATCTAACACCCTCTAACTTGTCTGTCTACATAACACTAAGCTAAAAAGCACATCTTCAAGTGACAAAAAACAGTGTTTTTCCACTGTAAAATGATTTTGGTTTCTGGTGAACCCAAAGCTTAGGTTTTGCCAGTCTGGGTTCAAGAAACAAACAAAAACAAGTGACAGGCATCATACAAGTTCCAGGAATAGTATCTTAAAAAGTAAATAAGACATTAATCCTACCTTGCAATAGCTCTTAGATTTAATATGAATTTAAGTTAAGGTGAAAACTTTCTGACCAATGAATCTAAAGACGAAGGCATACCAGGTAGAGGCAAAATACAGTGATTTTCAAATCATATCTTCTTCCACGAAAATTGGGGGAGGATGGGAAGACGAGGCTTAGCAAACTTTAAGTTTTATAGATAAAAACCATTAACTACGTGTACAACTTACAAACCAAACATTATGATTGTATACAGGATTTGCCAGACACTGTGAGAAAACCACTGAAATTATCATCTCCATTTTACAGGATAAGGCACTCAAAACTAACGACTTTGCCAAGATCACACACAGACAAATTCAGTTCACACCTCTCTCAATTTTTACTCTTAGATTCTTTCTAGTAAAGCTTACGACCTTCAGGCTATTCAATCCAGCACCCATTTTTAGATTTTTAAAAACAAAACACTAAAAAAAAAAAAAAAAAAAGACCCAATTCTGCTCAGACTAATATACATATTTTTCCTTAATTTTGATCTAACTTTACTTCATGGTTCTCAACATGTACACGGACTACACTGCACCCAATCTAACCCCGAAAATTCTGTTAATCACTTTCTATTTTCCTATCCGGGACTTTAATGTATTGTACTCAGGCAAACGCAGCCGCTCCTTCAAGCGAAGGTTACAAGAGATGGTTTCCAGGAGCAGTTAGCTTATTAAGTTAAATTCTGAACTCCCGGTAACCAATGCGACAACCAGCAATTAATCCAACTGTAAAACTCGCAATCGTTCCATCGCTTTTCCTGATCGACCTGACTCTTCAACTGTTCGAACTGTTTTCTTTCCAACAACTTAGGGTTTAGCAGTATAACGCCGCAACTCAACAGCCAGGCGACCAGCCTTTATTCAATATGGACACCAAGAAACCCTCCCCCCAATCCCCAGAAGCGCCACGGGAAATTCTCGGGAATTTCCGGAAATACCTATACCTGGAATCCAAAAGTGAAAACTACAACGAAAAGCGTTGCTTGTTAGCACTTCGAGAGGCAACTGAGGCGACTACCTGGAGGGTGCAGGGCCGGGGGGTGGGGGGGGAGCGGGTGGTGCTCAGCTCAGCCCGCCCCGCCTACGGGAACACCGTCCTCCTCCTGAGGAATCCGGGGTCTGGAAAGCCGCGAAAAGCCACTCGGGAAACCGCTCACTCACCTCTGACCCCGGCCAAGATCTCGCGTGCCTAACCGTCCGCAGCGGTCACGCCTCTCCCACCCGCCACCGCCCACCTGTGCGGGATGCCGGCGCGCTGGGCGTCATGACGGCGCCGCTGACTTTGCCGGAATGCGACATGCGGGAACGGGCCCTGCGCTGGAGGCTGCAGGCTCGCTCCGCACGTACCTCACGGGCGCGCCGCAGCTCAGCTGAAGGGTGGTTCCGGCGTCCGCACTTCCGACTGGCGCGCAGGGCGGTGCGAGCCTGTAAACCGCGGGCGGAAGAGGTGGAGCTGGGACGGCTCGGTGGCCCCCGGGAGGCTCGCGGAGCCAGGGGGTGGTGTCGCAGGGGTTGGTACCTACAAGGTTCGTGGGGACTGAGGTCCGGCAGGGGGCGGGGTCCATATTCTCCTTCGCTGGCCCATCTTCCAGTACTGTAAAATGCGGGATAGGATGTGGCTATTTGGTGGGTAGGCTGCCTTTTTGAATTTCTAGAACGAAGAAACTTGCCCTGAGCTTTTATTGCCCAACCCATGCAAATGGAAGGAAATGTCACCATTCCTACAGTTACTAGTCCAAGCCATTCAGCCCTCGATAGTGTATCGTAAAATGCCAATGAATTTAATGTTTAAAAAATTCCAAAAAACAGACAAAAGTAACCTCACTGGGGAGTTCTAACAATTCAGAAATGGAATAACCAGGATATATTGCAATGTCTGATTGCAGTTCTGTACCTTTAAACAACTTTGGTTTTTTGGTTATAAACTTTATTGTTAATATTGAGGTGAAATTCACAGAATATAAAATGAAACATTTTAAGAGTATAATTCAGTAGCATTTGTTACGTTCACGATGTGCAACCAACAACTCTTAATTCCAAAACATTTTTATCACCTCCATTAAGGACTTTCCATTTTTCCCTCTCTTAGACTTTAGCAGACAATAATTACTTGGTGTATTTACCTAATATGGATATTTCACATAAATGGAGTGTGTGACCTTTTTTGTGTCTTTCACTTAGTATAATGTTTTCCAGGTCCACGCACCTTGTAGCAAGTATCAGTATCAGTATTTCATTCCTTTTTATGGTTTATATTCTGTTCCATTGTATGTAAATACCACAATTGTATGCATTCCTCCATTGGTTACCATTTGGGTCATTTACACCTTTGGGCTATTGTGTGTAGTGCTGCTATGGATATTTGTGTGGAAGAATTTGAGTCCTGGTTTTCAATTGGCGGGGGGTGTAGGATGGTATATACTATTACAGAAAACCAGGGCCTGACATAGTTCAAGTATTAAAAAGAGATTTTAATCAGGAACTATTGCAAAAGAGGGAAAGAGACCTCAGTATAGAACTGAGCTCACTTCCAAATAGAGCATGAACAAGTAGGGATTTATAGCCAAGGAGCAGAGTTGGAGGGCAGTGGGTGGAATTTTTTTTTTTTTTTTTGGATGGAAATTTCTTAGTAAGAAATACAGGGATTGGGGGAATTCTGGCTAAGTTGACTTGACAGGGTTCTGGCTGAAGGCACATCGGAGTGATCAGACACCAAGGGTGGAGATTGAGAGTTTGATCAGATATTGAAGGTGATCAGATATCTAGGTGGGTGTTCTTTGTAATCTGATTTAGGATTCTTGCTACAACTGGTTGATACATGTCCCACAAGGCAGACTAAAATCATGGAGAGAGTCTTTGCCAAATACTAGGAGTGGAATTTCTGGGTCATATGGTGATTTTATCCTTAAATATTTGAGGAGTTGATAAACCATTTTCCACAGTGGCAGAGACATTTTATGTACTAACAACGTGTGGTGGTTCCAGTTTCTCCACATCCTCACCAACATTTCTTCTCCTCCTCCTCTTCCTTCTTCTTTTTCTTTTTTTTTTTTTAATTTAAAAAAAAATTTTTTTTAACGTTTATTTATTTTTGAGACAGAGAGAGACAGAGCATGAACAGGGGAGGGGCAGAGGGACAGGGAGACACAGAATCCGAAACAGGCTCCAGGCTGTGAGCTGTCAGCCCAGAGCCCGACGCGGGGCTTGAACTCACGGACCGCGAGATCATGACCTGAGCCGAAGTCGGCTGCCCACCGCCCAACCGACCAAGCCACCCAGGTGCCCCTTCTTTTTTTCTTCTTCTTTTTTTTTAATTATAGCCATCCTACTAGGTATGAAATTGTATCTCATTGTGGTTTTGATTTGCATTTTCTTAAGGCTAGTGATGTTACACATCTTTTCATGCCCTTTTGTCCATTTATATATCTTTGGAGAAGACATTATTCAAGTTATTTTTTTTTTATTCAAGTTATTTTTTTTATTCGTTACTTTATTCAAGTCCTTTGTCTCTTTTTTTTTTTCAATATAATTTATTATCAAGTTGGCTAACATACACTGTACACAGTGTGCTCTTGGTTTGGGGGGTAGATTCCTGTGATTCATCACTTAAATACAACACCCAGTGCTCATCCCAAAACGTGTCCTCCTCAATACCCATCACCCGTTTTCCCCTCTCCCCTGCTCCCCACCCATCAATCCTCAGTTTGTTCTCTGAATTTATGGTTCTCCCTCTCTAACTATATTTTTCCCCTTCCCTTCCCCCATGGTCTCTGTTAACTTTCTCAAGTTCCACATATGAGTGAAAACATATGATATCTTTCTCTGACTGACCTATTGCATTTAGCATAATACCCTCCAGTTCCATCCACATTGCTACAGATGGCAGGATTTCATTCTTTATCATTGCCAAGTAGTATTCCATTGTATATATAGACCACATCTTTATTCATCAGTTGATGGACATTTAGGCCCTTTCCATATTGTTGAAAGTGCTGCTATAAACATTGGGGTATATGTGCCCCTATGCATCAGCACTTCTGTGTCCTTTGGATAAATTCCTAGTAGTGCTATTGCTGGGTCGTAGGGTAGTTCTATTTTAATTTTTTGAGGAACCTCCATACTGTTTTCCAGAGCAGCTACACCAGTTTGCATTCCCACCAGCAGTGCAAGAGGGTTCCTGTTTCTCCACTGCCAACGTCTATTGTTTCCTGAGTTGTTAATTTCAGCAACTCTGACAGGTGTGAGGTGGTATCTCAACGTGGTTTTGATTTGTATTTCCCTGATGATGAGTGATGTTGAGCATCTTTTCATGTGTCTGTTGGCCATCTGGATGTCTTCTTTGGAAAAGTGTCTATTCATGTCTTCTGCCCATTTGTTCACTGGATTATTTGTTTTTCAGGTGTTGAGTTTGGTAAGTTCTTTATAGATTTTTGGATACTAACCCTTTATCCAATATGTCACTTGAAAATATCTTTTCCTATTCTGTTGGTTGCCTTTTAGTTTGGTTGATTGTTTCCTTTGCAGTGCAGAAGCTTTTTATCTTAATGAGGTCCCAGTAGTTCATTTTTGCTTTTAATTCCCTTGCTTTGGAGATGTGTCAAGTCAGAAATTGCTATGGCTGAGGTCAAAGAGGTTGTTGCCTGCTTGCTCCTCTAGGGTTTTGATGGTTTCCTCTTTCACAATTAGGTTTCTCATCCATTTTGAGTTTATTTTTGTGTATGGTGTAAGAAAGTGGTCTAGTTTCATTTTTTTGCATGTTGCTGCCCAGTTCTCTCAGCACCGTTTGCTAAGGAGACTGTCTTTTTTCCATTGGATACTCTTTCCTACTTTGTCAAAGATTAGCTGACCATACATTTGTGGGTCCAATTCTGAATTCTCTAGTCTATTCTATTGGTCTATGTGTCTGTTTTTGTGCCAATACCATACTGTCTTGATGTTTACAGCTTTGTAGTAGTGGCTACAGTCTGGGATTGTGATGCCTTCCGCTTTGGTTTTTATTTTTCAAACTTACTTTGGTTATTCAGGGTCTTTTGTGGTTCCATACAAATTTTAGGATTGTTTGTTCCAGCTTTGAGAAGAATGCTGGTGCAATTTTGATTGGGATTGCATTGAATGTGTAGATTGTTTTGGGTAGTATTGACATTTTAACAATATTTATTCTTCCAATCCATGAGCATGGAATGTTTTTCCATTTCTTTGTGTCTTCTTCAATTTCCTTCATAAGTTTCCTATAGTTTTCAGCATACAGATCTTTTACATCTTTGGTTAGGTTTACTGCCAGGTATTTTATGGTTCTTGATGCAATTGTAAATAGGATCGATTTCTTGATTTCTCTCTCTGTTGCTTCATTATTGGTGTGTAGAAATGCAACTGATATCTGTACATTCATTTTGTATCCTGCAACTCTGCTGAATTCCCGTTATCAGTTCTAGCAGCTTTTTGGTGGAGTCTTTCAGGTTTAACACGTAGAGTATCGTGTCATCTCCTTTGCCTATCTTGATCTATATTCTGGATACTAGACCCTTATCAGATATATGATTTGCAAATATTTTCTCCCATTCTGTAGGTTGTCTTTTCACTGTCTTGCTGATGCCCATTGATGCACAAACTTAAATTTTTGAACAAAGCCCAGTTTATTTTTTCTACTATGGCTTGTGCTTTTGACGTCATACTTAAAAACCCATTACCGTGGTGCCTGAGTGGCTCAGTTGGTTGAGTGTCTGACTTTGGCTCAGGTCATGATCTCACAGCTCGTGAGTTTGAGCCCCGCGTCGGGCTCTGTGCTGACAGCTCGGAGCCTGGAGCCTGCTTCGGATTCTGTGTCTCCCTCTCTCTCTGCCCCTAACCCACTCACATTCTGTCTCTGTCTCTCTCAAAAATAAAAATAAACATTAAAAAAAATTTAAAAAACCCATTACCAAATCCAAGTTCATAAGGGTTGTCAAAAACTGAACTCTGCACACTGAGTGAAGTAGAAGGATGAGTTTATTGTAGGATAAAGCAGAAGGATGAGTTTATTGCAGTTGTTTTGACCTGTAAGCTGGGAAACTCAAGGCTAAAAGAATAATGAGTTTCAAGTTGCTCATAGACTAAAAGGTGTTTATGGAGTTAAATGTGGAAGTTACTTGGCTTTTTCTGTTGATTGGTTGCTTGGTCTTCTTTCTTATTTGTATCAGTGTAACTGAAATGAGAGATAGGAGAAACAAGAAAGTTGAAAGATGTTACGAACAGACTTGGCATTGGGGATTGTCTAGCATCCTGTGCTGATTTCTGAGAAGAGCCATAAATTACTGCAATTTTTCAGGTAAGGCTAAGTTTTATTTATTTTTTAATGTGCCTGCATTGGCCAACACCATTTTGTTGCCATGATAAGTGACTCCATTTTAGTTTTAATTTTATAGTATTTAACCCTAGGATTTCCTATAAGAATTTTATTATTTTTAGCTCATGTGTTTAAGTCATTGGTTCACATTCAGCTAGTTTTTGTACATGTTGTGTAATCAGGTTTTTGTTCCATTCTTTTGTATGTTGTCCCAGAACCATTTGTTGAAGAGACTATTCTTACTCCCAATGACTGGTTTTGACCTCCTTATAAAAAAATCAATCTGCCATGCATGTATGGGTTTGTTTCTAGACTGTTAATTCTATTCCATTGGTCTATATGTCTATCCTATGTCAGTATAGGTATTCCCTGCTTTTCAAAAGTTTGTGTTATACCACTTTACTTTTACAAAAGACCTACATTACTACCTACTTTTGCTAACTGAAAGAAATCTGAAAAGGATTTTCCCTTTTATGACAAAAGGTAAAAAGAGACACACTAGCGTTCAGCATTTGTTTTGCAGTGAGTCTTTATAGAGGCAGTGTGCACCCTTAGCCATAAGAGAGGCACAGCCAAGCTCTTTCCCTGGGAACTACATCTCAGCACCAAGCCATCATAGCTTTGAACTGTACCTGTGAGCATCTGTGCTTAATCTTGATGTATGTTGTGCATCCATTAGCAAGATCAGAGTATCAGAAAAGCCTACTACAAATTATTTTTGGGGCCTGGGAATGTTCAAAAATATTTTCCATCTAAATTTATGGTAATTGCTTCTTCACTCCTTGCCATTTCTGTTTATGAAAGGTTTCATAGGAACTCATTTTTGGATAGTAGGAAGAAACCTGTACCACACTTTTGATTACAGTAGCTTTGTAGTAATTTTTGAAATTGGGACGTGTAAGTCCTCCAGTTTTGTTCTTCTCTAATATTATTTTTTATTTAAAAAATAGTTTTTTTATTTAAAAAACGTTTGTAATGTTTATTATTTTTGAGAGACAGAGAGACACAGAGTGCAAGCAGGGGAGGGACAGAGAGAGAGGGAGACACAGAATCCCAAGCAGGTTCCAGGCTCTGTGCTGTCAGCACAGAGCCCAACATGAGGCTTGAACTCACAGACTGCAAGATCATGACCTGAGCTGATGTCAGCTGCTTAACTGACTGAGCCACTCAGGTGCCCCTCTCTAATATTATTTTGGCTATCCTGCAACTTAATATGAATTTGAGGGTTAGCCTTTCCATTTTTGCAAAAATGCCAAAGGGATTGTATTGAATTGGTAGATCACTTTAATAAGTATTGGTCTGTTAATCCAATCCATGAGCATGATGTCTTTCCATTTACTTAGGTCTTCTTTAATTGTTTTTCATCAATGTTTTGTGAGTTTTAGTACACAAACTTTTCACCTTTCTAATTAAATTTATCCCTAGATATTTCATCTTTTTGAATGCTGTCTTAGTCTGCTTAGGTTGCTGTAACAAAATACCATACACCAAGTGCCTTAAACAATAGAAATTTCTTTCTTACAGTTCTAGACACCGGGAATCCAAGATCAAGGTTCTGGCCAATGTGGTTTCTGGTGAGAGTTTTCTTTTGGGCTTGTAGACAGCTCCCTTCTCACTTTGCCCTTCCATAGTGGGGAGGGAGAGAAGGAAAGGGAGACAGAGTATACTCTTGTGTCTGTTCTTAAAAAGCTACTAATCTATCAGATCAGGGCCTCACCCTTATGATGTCATTTAACCTTAAATTACCTCTTTATAGGCCTTATCTCCAAAAAACAATCACATTGGGGATTAGGGCTTCAACATATGGATTTGATGGGGGGTGGGGAGGGAGATGATTCACTCCATAGCAGATGATATTATAAATGCAATTATTACTTAATTTACTTTTTGGATTATTCATTGTTGGTATATAAAAAAAAAACACAACAAAAAGTTTTTTGAGTGCTGATCTTGTACTCTGGAAATTTGCCAGATTTGTTTATTAGCTCTAATAGTTGTGTGTGTGTGTGTGTGTGTGTGTGTGTGTGTGTGTGTGTGTTCTTTAGGGTTTCTATATATATAGTATTATAGCATCTGTTAATTGAGATAGTTTTATTTCTTCTTCACAACTTGGATGCCTTTTAATTCTTTCTCTTGCCTAATTGCTTTGGCTAGAGTCATTCTTTCATTTTAAGGAATTGGCTCATGCAATTGTGGAAGCTGGCAAGTCTGAAATTTATAGGGCAGACTGGTAAGCTGAAAACTCAGGCAGGAGTTGATGCTGCAATCTTGAGACAGAATTTGTTCTTTTCCAAGAAACCTCAGTTTTTGCTGTAAAGGCCTTCGTGTATTATCAAACTTGATTAAAAAAGTCCTACCCATATCATCAAGAATAATATCCTTTACTTAGAATCAATCAATTGTAGATGAAAAACACATCTACAAAATACCTTCACAGTACACCTGGGTTACTGTTTGATTAGATAGGTGGGTACTGTGGCCTAGGAAAGTTGACACGTAAAACCAACCATCATGCCCAGTGTGATAGATAGTTTTATTAGTTTATAATTTTTTTAAATAAAAAAATTCACTTTTCTCATGGCTTAAGTTTGGGTAGAGTATACTTCCCCACCGTAGTGACTTTGCATTTTGCCATATGACTTACTTTGGCCAATGGAATTGTGAGTGGATGTAACACATGTCCACTAATTGGGAAATTAGCTGGGGTCTTGGAGAGAAGGAGAAGGCATGTATATTCTGAATCCTTTGGCTTTTCATGTGCATGTGTGTGTTTCTGTAGGCAATTATATAGTGTCCAGCTTGAAATGGCTCCTACTGGCAAAAGAAATAATACTTGCAGCACCAAGGATAATTAAAAGGTTTTTACTGCAATGGATTGAAGCATATTAAATATGTTAAGAGTACATGAATTCTTTTTTCTTTTTTTAATGTTTATTTATTTATTTTGAGAGAGAGAGAGAGAGAGAGAGAGAGAGAGAGAGTATGAATGAGCAGGGGAGGGGCAGAGAGAGAGAGAGAGAGAGAGAGATCGAGAATCCCAAGCAAGCTCCTTGCTGACAGCGCAGAGCCCAATGTGAGGCTTGAACTCATGAACGATGAGATTAGGAACTGAGCCAAAACCAAGGTTTGGCGATTGACTGAGCCACCCCAAAAGTTCTTGATATTGCTACATGAATTCTTAATATTTCTTAAGAAAAAAAAAAACACCTCACTAGTCACGTTGAGGAATGCTAGGACACCAATTCATTATTCTGAAATTAGTAAATAAAGGTTAAAAAAATAACTACCCTGCTTTCCTACACAAACTGAAATTCAGAGTAACCAAATTGCTGATGAAGAAAAACTAATAGAAAACATCCAATGAATAAGTGAAGGAGGAATGATAGAGTTATCGCTGTTTTGCAACCCATAAGAAAATAATGCTTCTAGGAAATAATAGGTCCAGTTCCACATATAAGGAGCTCAGAAGTTGATACTCCATCTTAATAATAAGCAAAAAGATGAACAAACTGAAAAATCAACAACTCTTCTTAGATCTGCAAGAGAAGTGAAGTCACAGGGCACACACTGCCCCCAAATTAGAAACTGACAGATGACTACAGATTCACAACTTATTGGAGCAGCAGCCTCTGTGAGAACCAGTGCTGGGTAGGGAAACTGAACTGCAATTGAATTGCTGGAGGTTCAGTGTCGACAACGTTGAGAGTTAAAATCTCCAGGGGGACCCAGTCATGAGGCAGCCCCCACACTTATAAGTTTATACCTCCAAGAATTCTACCAGGATCTCACAGTAAATATCAGAGAAAAATCTTATGATTCATGCAGGAGAAGAGGAAGAAGAACCATTAAAAAAAAAAAAAAAAAAAAAAAGAACTGTATTCTTAGTAAGGTTTGTCCTCAGAGGAAACCAGTTAGTCAGATTAGGGGTTTTATCAGAGCCTAGATCACCTGGTGGAAAGGAAATACTCAACTCTAGCCCACTCTAGCCATCCTGTCCCATATGTGGGAGGAATGGGGAGGAGGCAGAGAAGCACTTGTGAGGTTCATAGTTCAGAGGCATAGGCTCACTGAAAGACTGAGGCCTACTCATGGGACTGTAGAATGCTTTCCTCCCCTAAGCCTCACCATTATATTACTAAAGGCCTATTTACAGCAGTTCCTTTTACATAGTGCATCATGTCCAGCTATCAAGAAAAAATTACAAGACATTTTAAAAGGCAAAAAATATAGTTTGAAGAGACAGAGCAAGCATTAGAACCAGACATGGCATGGATATTGGAATGATCAGACTGGGAATTTAAAACCGAGAGTAATTTGCTGAAGGCTTTAATGGATAAAGTAGACAGAATGCAAGAAAAGATGGGCAGTGTGAGCATGGAGACGAAAGTCTTAACAGAACCAAAAATAAATGCTAGAGACCAAAAAATGTGTAAAAGAAAGGAAGAATGCCTTTGATGGGCCTATTAGTAGACTGGGCTGGCAGAGGAAATAATAACTCATGATTGCCAAATAACCATTAGGTAGAATGTTGAAAGAGAACTTTATAAAAAGTGGATCAGGCTGCCAACACTTGATCAATCTTAACAGTACCATAGTGAGATGATCAAATATTCTGTGCTTTGTCATATGACATGTTTCATATTGTTACTATTTATGATATATTTTCACAAAATCAGAAATTGAATCTGAATCTAATGAAGCCTACAGGTCTACCAGTTTACTTGAAAAAAGAGGCACAGAGTAACATGTTAAGTAACACCGTGATACTACAATCCACCCAGTACATGATGTGGTAACCACTGTAGGAAAACGGACTGTGAACTTGCCATGTTGATATTAAGGAATTACTGTTAACTGATATAGGCTGGATTTTGTGCCTCCCCTCTCCCCATTCATATGCTGAAGCTCTAATCCCTAGTACCTCAGAATGTGACTACAGTTGGGAATAGAGCCTTTAAAGAGGTGATTAAGTTAAATGAGGC